TCGACATAAGAAATTTTCGAATGTCTAGCTGATTGCGGATTGTCTAGCTCAACATTCACTTTGAGAATTGTTTGATTTTTATTATAGATCGAATGTTGAGCTGAATGCCGATTGTCTAGCTCGACATAAGAAATTATCGAATGTCTAGCTGATTGTTGTTTGTCTAGCTCAACATTCACTTTAAGGATACTTTTACAATTATTACATGTCGAGTGTTGAGCTGAATGTTGATTGTCTAGCTCGACATAAGACATTTCTGAATGTCTAGCTGATTGTCGATTGTCTAGCTCAACATTCACTTTGAAAATTCTTTGATTTTTATTGTAGATCGAATGTTGAGCTGAATGTCGATTGTCTAGCTCGACATAAGAAATTATCGAATGTCTAGCTGATTGTTGATTGTCTAGCTCAACATTCACTTTAAGGATACTTTGATATCTATTACAGGTCGAATGTTGAGCTGAATGTTGATTGTCTAGCTCGACATAAGAAATTTTCGAATGTCTAGCTGATTGTCGATTGTCTAGCTCAACATTCACTTTGAGAATTGTTTGATTTTTTTTATAGATCGAATGTTGAGCTGAATGTTGATTGTCTAGCTCGACATAAGAAATTATCGATTGTCTAGCTGATTGTTGATTGTCTAGCTCAACATTCACTTTAAGAAAACCTCGATCATTATTATAGATCGAATGTTGAGCTGAATGTCGATTGTCTAGCTCGACATAAGAAATTATCGAATGTCTAGCTGATTGTTGATTGTCTAGCTCAACATTCACTTTAAGGATACTTTGATAATTATTACAGGTCGAATGTGAGCTGAATAGTGATTGTCTAGCTCGACATAAGAAATTTTCGAATGTCTAGCTGATTGTTGATTGTCTAGCTCAACATTCACTTTGAGAATAGTTTGATTATTATTATAGATCGAATGTTGAGCTGAATGTTGATTGTCTAGCTCGACATAAGAAATTATCGAATGTCTAGCTGATTGTTGATTGTCTAGCTCAACATTCACTTTAAGAAAACCTTGATCATTATTATTGATCGAATGTTGAGCTGAATGTCGATTGTCTAGCTCGACATGAGAAATTATCGAGTGTCTAGCTGATTGTTGATTGTCTAGCTCAACATTCACTTTAAGAAAACCTCGATCATTATTATAGATCGAATGTTGAGCTGAATGTCGATTGTCCCTAGCTCGACATAAGGAATTTCTGAATGTCTACCTGATTGTTGATTGTCTAGCTCAACATTCCCTTTGAAAATTTTTTTGATTTTTTATTATAGATCGAATGTTGAGCTGAATGTCGATTGTCTAGCTCGGCATAAGAAATTATCGAATGTCTAGCTGATTGTTGATTGTCTAGCTCAACATTACCTTTAAGGATGCTTTGATAATTATTACAGGTTCGAATGTTGAGCTGAATGTCCGATTGTCTAGCTTTCGACATAAGATATTTTTCGAATGGTCTAGCTGATTGTTGATTGTCTAGCTCAACATTCACTTTAAGGATACTTTGAAAACTATTAACAGGTCGAATGTTGAGCTGAATGTTGATTGTCTAGCTCGACATAAGAAATTTTCGAATGTCAGCTGATTGCTGATTGTCTAGCTCAACATTCACTTTGAGAAAATTGCTTTGATTATTATTATAGATCGAATTGTTGAGCCTGAATGTTGATTGTCTAGCTCGACATAAGAAATTATCGAATGTCTAGCTGATTGTTGATTTGTCTAGCTCAACATTCACTTGAGAAAACCTCGATCATTATTATAGATCGAAATGTTGAGCTGAATGTCGATTGTCTAGCTCGACATGAGAAAAATTATCGAATGTCTAGCTGATTGTTGATTGTCTAAGCTCAACATTCACTTTAAGGATACTTTGATAATTAATTACAGGTCGAATGTGAGCTGAAATGTCGATTGTCTAGCTCGGCATAAGAAATTATCGAATGTTCTAGCTGATTGTTGATTGTCTAGCTCAACATTCCCCCTTTAAGGATACTTTGATAATTATTACAGGTCGAAATGTTGAGCTGAATGTTGATTTGTCTAGTCGACATGGAAAAAATTTTTATAAATTTTTCCAGCTGATTTTTAATTTTCTAGCCCAAAAAATTCATTTTAAGTACTTTTTATTATTACAGTCGAAAGTTTTAGTGAAAAGTCGATTGTCTAGGTCAATAAAAAATTAAAACGAAAAATTAAGCTGAAATTTTTGATTGGGCTTTGCCCGGGGAAAATTTACTTTTAAAAAAACCCCATCCTTATTTTTATCGAAGTTGGTTTTGGGAAAGTCGATTTTCTAGTCGACATTAAAAAAATTTTTTTGAAAATTTTAGCTGATTGTCGATTGTCCCACTCACAAATTTACCTTTGAAAATTTTATTTTATTAAAAAAAGCGAAAGGTTTTACTGAAATGTTTGAATTTTCTAGCTCGGGTTTAAAATTATTTAAATGCTAGTGATTTTGATTTTAGCCCCAAAATTTCACTTTTAAAAGGAAAACTTCCATAAATTTATGACAGGTCGATAATTTAGCTGAATGTTGAAATTGTCTAGCTCGAAATAAAGAAATTTTCGAATGTCTAGCTTGATTTTGATTGTCTATTAATTATTGGAATTTTATTATTATTATAGATCGAATTGTTTGATCGGTGCTGAATGTTTATTGTTAGCAATAGAATTGAAGTTGTAAATTGTGGGATTTTTATTGTTTACCAATTATTTCCATACAAAATGCCCTTGTTGGTGAAGTGGGCACCTTGTAGAAAAATTTGTTGGGACTAAGCTTCTCACAAAAAACCTCTTTTCCCTTTTGTTTTTAAATTAAAAAAAAGGTGGAGAAATCATCATGAGCAACTAGGCAGTTTTTAGTTGAGATCAAAATTCGAATACAAACAATTGAAAGGACCTATTTTGATTTGTAGTTGATGGTTTCCAATCACTGAGGGTAATTTAACTTACTAATTAAAGACATTTAGTTTTTATCGAGGTTACTGATATTCTTAATTCAGTCTTTCGATCCTGAGGTCTTTCTCCACCAGTAAAGCTGGAAAGTCGCTATATGACCTATACTAGGTTTGTGGGACGTAAATCCCAAGCAAATTAAAAAAAAAAAATTCAACCTTTTACGATATTACATTTTTTTATTTAAAAACTCACTTGGTAAATTCAGGGTTACCTGGCGTAATTCAATTATCTGTATACTTCCCTTATTAAAATACCCAAATAGTTTACACTGCCCAGAACTTACATCCCAAATAGGCTTCAAAAACCCTAATGGAATCTTCCAGAACCCTCCTTATTTGTTTACTGGTGATTTAAATGGAACAAATCTTTAAATCTTGGCAGACATTGTCTAGTCCTATACATTTGATGATGATCGTAAACCATTAACTTTTGATCAAAGTCAGTAAGAAACATAATTTATTGTATTGATTATTTTGTCACTCTGTTATAATAAATATATCAATTAATACTTTTATCTCATTAAGCAATGATAAAAGAAAATGTAATTAGTTTTTTGTCCTTATTATTTGAAGAAGATTTTTTATCTCTGATAACTATTGTTTTAGTTTTGGCTTTTTATATGTCCTACATTCTAACTTAATGAGAAGTATAGAAAACAGTTTTAAATCTTATCTGTTATTGTATAGCCCTCCGGTTAGCTCAATTAGGTAGAGCATAAGACTGTGAATCGGGCAACCAGGGTTTGATTCCCGTATGGTGCAGGTCTGATTATAAATCCTTTCTATGTGTAATGATATCAGTTTAAGCTGAAACATTAACCTTGACCTTTATATGTTAGTACAGTATTATTCCATGAATGCCTGAATGGGCAGCTCATATATTAGGCAAGCGATTCCCGCCATTTACTAGTACTTAGATTAAACTAGATTAATTCACATCTGTGGTCTTCTTATTAATTTACGTTAGAACTCAGTATAATAACAAGCTGTATATATACATACACAAAATAGAAAAATATGACACTACGGTCATTTGCACTGTACCTTTACTCTGACATGTACAGAATTTGCAGACCTTTGCAAAAGTGAAGGCAACTAGTACTGGTAAACTGCTCGACAATCTGCCCAGGAATGATGCGGTGGCTGAACTGTGCTCTGGTAAACTCAGTGGATCCAACCACCACTATATCTGTATGTGTTGAAAAAATAATGCAATAAATCATTTTAACCTTACAGATTAAGGGCTTAATGGACCTTTCCAGTGTTTACAGATTTATGTAAATTGGCTAACTTGTTATCCAATTACTACCCTGGGATAATACATAGTCACTGGTTGACCTGGTTTGCACAAAAGAACACATGGTTATGTTTGTGATACTGTTTGTGAGCAGTTGACCTAGCAATGAATGGAAAAGGTGTGGCTAAATATTCTGCTACGAAATACCGGAAAGGTCCATAAGTTGGGGCTTTACTGTTTGACAATTAACCAGGGTTTAAGAATACAGGCAGTTTCTGCTACTCCCTAGGGTGAGGGGTAGGATGGAGGGGTGAGGTGTGGTTATAAATGGCGGGCACATAAATAAGGGTGATTATCATTTTGTCTGTAGTTTTGTTATCCTTTGTCTAAACTTCACTTTCTTGCTTCTTGGCTGGGTGGTTAATGTTGCTGATCTTCAGTCACTTGGTCCATATGCGTTTGAATCGTTCCATATGAAGAAGTTGTAGTTTGACTGCCATATAAAATACTAAATCACTATAATTATACCAATTGCCATAGAGCATATAGAGATAACATAGATTATCAGTATCTATATGGTCAATGAGTAAAGTTTTGGGAACTGTAAGAAAATACCAGGAACCAAAAAAACATTTTAGAAACAAAAATAACAGCATTTTGGGGGGCTTATTTATTATGAACCTTTAATACAAGAAAACAAACTAACCAAGAATATTAGAGACTTCAGCAGCATTCATTTACTATCATTGAAATTGTGTTTTTATTAATTTATTTTATTTTTCAGATAGAAATAAAGGAAGGTGGCATGGATTGCTGGGTATACCTGAGTGGTTTAGAGATCTTACAGAAATGTGAGAAAATGACTGACACAATTAACCCCAGAGCCCAGGCTTTGAACACTGCATACCTCTGGGATTATGTCTGTAGAAAGGTAATGAATGGATGAATGATTTATAGTGTAATTACAGTGTAACCCTTTACCTGCTGGACTGGAAAGTGATTAGCTTTTGCCACCAGTAAAGAGCCAGGTCTGTCTGACCAGGCTCTATACTGTTAGTAGCTCAATTTCTCTATTTTTGTCTTGAAATCTTTCAAATATTAAAGTGAATAGACTTACTCCGGAATTAAGAATATTTGGGGGTTTTCCCAGCTAATCCGTAGGTACAAACAAACTTTTTACAGTTATAGCTTCGAAAATAAGCGAAACAGGTTGACTAATCTATTGTGACATAAGTGCACCGTGAAGCTAAAATGGTTAAAGTTAGTTTGTCCTACAGATTAGCTGGGAAAAACCCACATTTGCTGAGTTCCATATAACGTCTATTTGTCCATTATGGAAGGTCCATAATTCTACAAAAAAAATTGTGTAATTTAATTTAATACCGTATGTGATAACAAACCAGGAAATATTTTAAACATGGATGGTTTTGGTAAGTGTGAGATACATGATTTTATACGACATATCTTTATATAGCATATAATAAATTGTACTGGAACAAAACATCATTAAATGTCCATATACATAACCTTTTAAAACTGAATCAAAATTTTGTTCGAGAACTATTTTATAAAATTTGTTTTTTAATATTTGAAATACTTATGGAAAATGTGTCCATTGTAGACCAATTCACTTTAAATGGACTATTCCAAAAAAAAAGATAGGCAAATTCATAATGCTTATTCAACAGGTTTAATAATAAGATAGTTCTGTTGTAAAAGCCTTGCTGTTTATAATTTATAAGCAGCAATTACTATAAGAAGATTTGATGCAGCACTTGTATTTCAATAACTTGTATTCCTTTTGAACAATCAAGTGTTGAAATGTGTTCCAAACTTTTTTCTAAGCATCTTTGATTATTTTCCCTTTTGAGCTAGACTATTAAGAGAATAGGGAAAGCTATTGAACTCACCCTTAGCATCTGTGTTGGGGACACATTTTGATTAAGTTTTTGCATGCAAGTTGATGTCACCAAAACTACTGAAGGGAATGGGCTAAAACTTCATATTTGAGAAGATCACTCTCTAAAGCCCATGATTCTAACAGGGATTTTGACAGAATTATGGCTCTTTTTTATTGTAGAAAATTCTACATTACCTAGACTGTTGTTTTACAATCAAGCACTGAGAATAGTCAAGTACACTTTCTTATGTTTCTTTTGGTGTATTGATGTAAAAGTTAAACTATGGGTGGATGAATTTCAAAGTTCAAAGTTTAAAGTTCATTTCTTCTTGAAATTTATGTATGAAAATAAACCAATCTGACTAAAGTTCAGATCTTCTTATTTCTTAAATGCGTTGCGTTATGTAGTAGCTGATTTTAATCAGATTGGAAAATAAACCTATGTTTTTTTCTTGTAGTTGAACAAGCTAGGAGAGTTATGTGGACTAATGCCTGGAGATAGTAATTCCCCGAGCTCTGACCAGCTGTCTCTTGTTGTTGATCTTACCTCGGGTATGGGCCTGGAAATACAGTCAGACGATGATGATGAAGGTTAGAATGTTAATTAAACATGAGATTCTGTTTAACAATATAAGGCTAAATATACAACAGATTTGTAACAAAAATCATAGACTTAAGATATATATTTCATCCAAAACTTTTTCTTATATCAACTGTTGTCAGGCACCACTATTATTGTCAATATTGAAATTTATAGTCAATAAAACTCAACTTGACATTGAAAAAAAAAAGAGCTTAATGTTTTAAATATAATATGATGATATATGCCATGAAATGATAATGTAAGGTACAGTAGGGGATGGCTCTCCCACCCCACTGCACCAATTACGGGGGAAATAAATGGGCAACCTATGTTGGTGAAAAATTAAAAAAAAATAGAAAAATCATTGACTTAATGCTTTCACTTAAAGAAGACATATTACATTTTGCATGTAAGATTGATAGTGTTTGCATCATTGCTATAAAAAATCATTAAACCTTGCACCTTCAGGTGAAAAATGAATAGCATACAAATAATATGATTTTGCCTGTACTATAAACAATATTCTAAAATTCTAAATAGTGGTAGATATATATTTTTGTTATTTCTTATTTTGAAGGATGATTTATAAGTAATTATTACCCTTCCAGATTTTTTCCACCTTTTTGATTGGATATTGATCCGTCTAAAGAAATTGATATTACCGAGCCAGACGGGTAATATACACACTAAATATACCCGTTTGGTACCCCACGTTGTAAGCAACATGCGTTGTGGCGATGCGCGTATGGTTCGATTTTACATGGTGTAAATCCCGATATACAAGCACTTTTGAAATGTCAAATGAAAAATATTTACCAAAAGAAAGTAATGATGAATATTTTCATCAGTATTGAAAACAAAAATGGCCTCGCCAATGCTTGATATTAATTACAAAAAGTGTCTTCGACAGACTACCACTTTTCTCTTGTTTACATTCGTTAGGTACGAAAGCAAATACGTGTACGTCATGTATTTATGTGATGTCATGTTGTGGTGAAGGGGTACCCTAAAGGGAATCTTATTTCGATGTTTCAATTGAAACAGCAATGATTTATTTTAAAATCTTACTCGGCATGGGAAGGGTAATAAAATTGTTATTTTGGTTTTGGAGTGATATATGTGGATATATAACCTGGCAAGATTTTATATCACCCTTGCCTAACAGCTCGGAAGATATAAAATCTTGCCAGGTAATATATCCACATATATCACTCCAAAACCAAAATAATATATATTATGTAAGAAAAAGTTCACACTGGATTCCTGTTAGATCTATATCCTTCACTTATTAACTTTTCAATTGCAGCCTTGCGTCTTCTTTAAGCTGTACTCACTACTTTTAGCTGTAGTCGGTTTTAAGATTCCATTAGTATATGTATTATCATGAAGTTTTTTTTTTGTTTTTTTTTTTAGGGGGGGGGGGGGCTGCTCAATTAATCAAATGAATTTATCATGGCAGTAGAGTCCTGATATAAATTTTAAACTGCCTTTTATTAGTATGAAAGATTAAAACATTAAAATTAAATGTGGAAGGGCCAACTTTCTAAGGCTTGCTTAGACCATAAAAAAAAAATACTGAGTGGCATACAAAAAAAAAACAACAACAAAAAAACAAAAACAAAAAAAGACTGAAATTGAAATGTTAATCATTTTGACATTTTCATAAGAAATTGTATAAAACTTGTGAAATTTTATTTTCAGAAAGTACAAAGAGTTCTCCTAGGGATAAGCTAAGGGAGGCATTATCATCCAGAGAATCCTTCCAGAGGATTTACTTGGTATAGTTTAATTTCTTCTTTTTGTTATCATTCACAGGCTGTGTAAATGTATGCATAAAACTTGTTTCTAAGATAATGTCTTCAATTATTTTTCAAAGATTACTTATTCAGTATAGACTGTGGCTAATTTCTACCTTTTGGCACTAATTGTGCTATATTTTTAGCTCAGGAACATCAAGAAACATAAATTATTGGATATTACTATCTTTTTAACATAATTTGTAGGGTATTTGCTCTGAAAACTATAAATTGTAGCCTATATCTGCCTTAAGATATAGTTATGTTTTGATATGGAAAAAAAATCAACTTTATATTAAGGTTGACTAGTCGAGGAATAGGGAGAGCTATTATACTCACCTCCATTGTTGGTGTTGGTGCCACACTTTTATTAAGTCTTTGTTTGCAAATTGATTTCTCCAAAACTATTGATATTGTTCTTGTAGGAGCAATCTGAGCTGGCTATGGGAACATTTAAATACATTGGTAGATTCAGGTCGGCACGAATGATTGGTAAAAATCTGGCTGATTTCTATATGTAAGTTTTGTTTATTTACAATTTTTATAAGCACCATAATATAAGTAAATGAATGTGGAAATATCATTTGGTTTTAAATGCTTAAAATCATAGTGGTGAAATATCATTTTCTTTACAAAAGTTGATTCTACACTAGAATCCCCTTGTGGATGAGGGGTTGCCTTTAAGGGTTAAGTAATCAGAATTGCAGCCACTGTCTATCCCGGCGTGATTGTAAGAGGCAACTAAAAGGGCTTAAATTCCTAGAGTCTATGCATCTCTTAGCTTCAGCAGGTGAGATTGCTTTGATGCTTGGTTTTGTAACACCCATGGTAAGCCAAAATCATCTTTCCAGTTCCTGCACAGTATGACCTAGACTGTGTTAGTGCAGTAAAACCAAACAAAACAAAACAAACTAGAATTTTAAGTCTGTGCTTAACTATTTTTCTTTAGAATGAATGTAATAGCATGGCCATTTAGAAAACTTGTTGTATGTATAAATTCTCGTATGTTCTTTGTGTTTGAATAGGAAGTTAGGAGAGCCCCAGAAAGCAGAGAACTTTCTAATGGATGCTATGACGAGCTATCATCAGGAAGGCTGGGAGAAGTTACGAGATGAAGCGAGGCTAGAACTGGCACAGTGCCAATATCAGGTTGCGGATCATTACAAGTAGGTATTCTACTGTCTTATGTCATTAATTAAACAAGAAATCATTTCATGTCATTTAGATATTTGTTAGTAGAAGTTTTTATTAACTATTAGTAATTATGCTGATGAGCATAATTTTAAGTTTAAACATATTTTATTTAGCAAATTTACAAGATTGATCATTATAAACCATACTATATGATATTTATACCCTGGGATCAATTAATTGGGATTGTTTTTGGACTGTACTATTGCGAGACCCATATAGAGGTCATTGGGTCAAAAGTCAAGGTCACCAAAAACAAGGTTATGTCCACGAAAATAAAATAAAAGTCCATATTCTCATGGCTGAAAATTAAGACTGTGTGACATTATCATACATCATCAAATATGTGCACATTTTGTACAGTTTATGCTGATTTGGATGAGCTAGGTAAGTAAGTACTTGTATGTGATACAAAAGCAAAATTTGATTGTGTACCTTATCATGCTTACAAAATACTGTATAATTCACTTGCCTTACTTTACTTTGGAACTGTTTATTTGAAGTTTTAAGGGATTTCAATATCTAAGTAAAAAATTGAGTTTTCTGTAGAACAGAGTTTGATATGATCACACCTTGACATTACTGATGTCTAATTCATTTTCATGGCCCCGGAAATTACGTTATAGTTACAAGCCTTAGATATCAGTGCCACATTTCCATCAATGATTGATAATAACCTTGTTCTGTTTTATTTTAAGGTATGTGAAAACAGCATGTCAGGTGGCCAGTAGCACATCACTACAAATGGAAGATAGGACATTCCATATGGCTGAAGTGCTTAAAATAGCTAATTCAACAGGTAATATTGTGTTTAGTTCAGCATTAGAATCTTTGAATATGTCAATAAAAAATGAATTTGTTGCATTGGTAAAGAAATGTACAGCTTGAAATCTAACTCACTTTATCTGATCATGCTAAATTTAAATTTGGAACTGTCATTTGTTTGTACTTGTAAGGGGCTTTTGATATCAAATGAATTTAAGTGCCACTGTGCAGACTGGCCTGGTTTTATGCTTCTTGGATATAATGCTGGCCTGATGTTATTCTGGTGTCATTATCACAGCTAGCTTTATTTAAAGACCTAAGGAACTTTGGTGGTGTAGTTGAGGAAGATTGGTATAGGACTTAAGCATCAGACTCCTATTTCAAGGGTTGTGGGTTTAGAATTCCACTAGTAGTGAAATTCTCTTTCAACTTCCACAATCCACACTTTTGTAATTACTGGTTATGGCACCCAGGAACAGTCAATTGGTGTGACTTACAGGGTGTTTCTTGGATTCCGCAAAAGCAAAAAATATGTATTATCAAATAAGCCCAGCAACATCCCAGTTCATGACTTTGATCAAAACAGCAACATTTTAGTGCCATTTGACCTTAACACAGTGCTATAGAAAAGTTTTTAGTGAGAATTTTTTTCTCTAGAAATGAATCTTTTTTGAAAAATATTTGATAATTCACATGCTTTGATTTTCTGTTTTGTGTATTTTCAGGAACTCAGATAGTTTTAAAGGCATCCCCGCTTCTTAAAATAGAAATAACAGACATCAGCACATCTAAAGTTACTGTTGAGGAACCTTTCAATATCACCATGGAGATTGACAACACTGGACCATGTGACATATCATGTGATTCAATATGGCTGACTTTGACAGACTGTGCCTCTGATTTAATCATGGGTACTGATAAAAGACTTGAAACTTTGAAAACACCTGTAACCAGACAAACAAGTAATTCCAGTCTAGATAACAGACATGTGATGAACCTAAAACGTATGAAGAAACAAGCTCCATCTGCTATTGATTTATGTTTGCACTATGAAGGAAGTCCAAGTGAACCGGTTACAACCGGTATAGCATGCGTTAACTCGCATGAAGTGCTCAAACGAAATGACAGTTCTGGTGGTATGCTTAAAAAGGTGGATGAAAAAGTGACAAAAGATACTTATAATCAAAGTGTATGTTTGAAGAATGTGATACTTAAGCCTGGTAAAAATATGGTGGAAATAATCTGCGAGGTATTGAGTCATTCATTTTATTATATAGTTGAGTAATGTATATAATAATATGAAGACATTAAGGTTCATAACTATCCAAAATCAAATTGACTACATAATAAATCATAATTGGACATTCATTACCTTTCCTGGTATTGCTTATTAAATTATTAACCTGTAACATGTTCATGGACTTGTCCTGCTTTGATTTGGGACAGTCCATTGTTCAATATTCGGGATATTTGTATTAAAATGCTCAAAGTAAGCAGACAACAGTTAAGAATTTGGAAGCACAGCCTTGCCTGGCTCTGTCAAGTATTTATCAGTGTTTGTATCTGTAAATTTTAAATTGCAGAAGAAAATAATATTGTCTAGTTAGCCTGCATGCTTGACTGCTAAAAGCGTGAATAGCCAACAGTTAGTTATTTATGAATGTACATTTAAGGACAAGTTATAATAATAATAAAGTCGAATAATTTTTATGTAGGAAAGCAATTCATCCAGATTATAGAACATATAAGATTCAATGCAGACGCCTGTTTGTGCGTTAAATAATGCACAGATATCATCCATGGCTTCCATAAAGTTTCAAAATTTGGAAATCAGAGACTGAAAGCGTCTGTCATTGGAGGTCACATTATATTGGTAAAGAAGGAAAAGCATTACATTTTGGAAGCCAAAATTAAGGAGTAAATGACTCACGAACTTCCACTAATGGAAGCCCTGATCATCTGCAGTTGTTCAATTTTTCAATATATGGTTACTGTAAGGATGCCAGCATGTCTTTAAACCTGAACTAAAAAGGAATAATGAAAATTATCATATCATTTATTATTAATTTATGATTAATATGATAACTCATGTACCAGTATAAGTTTGCATTCCAAAACTGCTGGTAGGTTTTCAATGAAACTTCACAGGAGTGATCAGTACCATTCCTAGTTGTGCATATTGCAGCCATATTCCACTTTCCTACACAAAAAGGCAGCCAGAGCTATAAATCGAAATACCTAGTCACAAGACAAACTGCTGGTTGGATTTCAGTGAAACTTCACAGAAGTGATCAATACCATCCCTAGTTGTTGGGATACATATGTTTTTGTGACAAAAACCCCTTCAAGTTTTATGATAAATTTTGATCAATATGCACATAATTGATACTTGTTGTTTTATTGACTTTCAGGGTGTTACATCTGGTAATTACAAACCAGGTCAGGCAGGTTTCAAGGTCAAACAATTAGAGTTAATCAAGGACATGGACTCTGACCTTTCTGTTATGGTAACCTGTGATGAAACTTTTTGTGAAATATTTCCAGGTTTGTTCTTTATTAATATTAATTTATGATTAGTTAAACATGTTCTTTGCTCTCTAGCTACTTAAATGAAGACTATTCAAACTTTTGTACATTAATAATTGGCGTTGTGGCATGGGGTAAATTAAAAAATGAATGTCTGATTAGAGCTATGGAGTAAAAGAAAAAATTTGAAGTGAAGGTCCATTAAATATATTGCTTTAACAAAGTAAATATGGTATGGATTGTTCACAGATTGATTTTTCATCTGATTTGAAATCTATAGTATCAATATATAATTATGACCTGTATATATAGTGATAGGTGAGACATTACCGCAAATCTTAACTGATGAAAAAAACTACATATATTTGTATTAATGTTTTATTTCTTTTCTTGTTTAGAAACCCTAATGGCAGGTACTATTCAGGAAGTGACAGTTTGTTTACATGCTGGAAATGTACCAATTGACCCTGGAAGCAGGGTTAAGGTCATGCCCTCAGATGACCTTTCCATAGAAACATGCTACCCTAACAACACTGTGATACAGGAAGAGGAGGTTGCTAGGGGCAACACAACTGAATGGAAAATGAAGATTTTACAAGAACCAGATGTCACCGGTGGCAAAACGATTGAAAATAAAGTGAATATTCTTGAACTTTCTTTTTTTTTCGTTAAGAAATTAGCTATTTTATCAGTCTTTTTTCATTTAAAAATTCATTACACTATGTCAGTTGTCTAGCAGTGTATTTTAAAATACATGTATCTGTTATTAATTTTTTTTCTACTTTTGTTGTAATTTATCATACTCTGTTCTTACCTAATGCACTTATTATTGGAACGATAATGGCTTAAACACAGTGCCTTCTTAAAGAGTTGTATTAAAAAGACATTATTTAAATCAAATTAAAAGAAAGACAATAAAAAATAACCGAGAGTATTTAAAATACAGTCAAACCTTTAAATTAAGGTCATACAAGGGAAAAATCATCATGGCCCTTATAAACATGTGGGCTTTATTTGGAAGTTATTGTTTTCTTTTCAATCAATGAAGAATTGTTGAAGAGTGACCTTTGTTTACAAGGTGATCTTTATTTGAAGGTGGTCTTTAACACATGATTAACTGTAAAGGTTTGACTGTTGCTTTGCATGATGGTTGTATTTTATTAGACATAATAGTAGATTTTAAAAAAGAAAAATATTTTTTTTACAAAATTTCAGATAGCATTTGACTGTTCCTGGTTACCCAGACCTCTTTTGACAACTTTAACATTACAGAACCCTTTTAATTTAACACATAAACTGCATACAGCAAGGGAAATGTAAGTATAGTAAATTACTATATTGTCATAAATTTAATTAATCTTGCTTAGATCTAGAGGGTGTGGACTGCTGTTTTTGTCCTATTTGATTTTTATTTTCCTCTGTGGAAAATTTATATGTTGGTAAGCCAGGACTTTTTCCTTCTAAAGCAGGGGACATATAGGGTAGATCACCTGTTTGCCAGTGTTTGGCCTCTTTGGCTGAATGGTTTATGTCACTGTCTGAATAATTTGCTGCTAGTTTGAATTCCACCAGTGAGTTTATTATGAAGAACTATCCAGCTTGTGACCAGAAGGTCAGTGGTTCTACTTGTGGGCCTATACATGTCTAAAACAATGTACAAAAAGGGTGCCTGAGGTATTCATTAACCAGTTCAGTTGAATAATGTCACCATATGACCTATACAGTTTTGATAAACTTCTATTATCCAATCATGGGAAATATGTCTCTCCTTGTGTAGGAGTAGTTACTACTATATTAAAAATTAAAGGCCCATTAAGCCTCAGAAATGCTATCATTTTTGTGTCGCCTCTACGGAGTAGTGGCGCAATATAGGGATCACTTCTCCGTCGTCTGTCTGTCCGTCTGTTTGTCTGTCTGTCCGTCACAAAACTTGTCCGGACTACTCCTCATAAACTACTGGTGCAATTTCATCCAAACTTTACAGGAATGATCAGTACCAAGTCTAGTTGTGCATATTGTCAGCATTTTCCGGTTCAATGATTTTTGTCAGAGTTATGGCCCTTTAATAATTTTTATTTTTAAAGTTTGTCCGGACTACTTCTTTTATACCACTAATGCAATTTCAATGAAACTTTACAGGATTGATCTGTAGCTCAAGTCCTTGTGCATATTGCAGCATTTTCCGGTTCAATGATTTTTGTCAGAGTTATGGCCCTTTAATAATTTTTATTTTTAAAGTTTGTCCGGACTACTTCTTTTATACCACTAATGCAATTTCAATGAAACTTTACAGGATTGATCTGTAGCTCAAGTCCTTGTGCATATTGCACGGGTTTTTCGGTTGAATGATTTTTGGCCGAGTTATGGCCCTTTGATAAAAAAGGTGTTTTTTTCTGTGTGTTGCCAGATACACAAAAGCTTGTCCGGACTACTCCTTATAAACTACTGGTGCAATTTCATCCAAACTTTACAGGAATGATCAGTACCAAGTCTAGTTGTGCATATTGTCAGAATTTTCCGGTTCAATGATTTTTGTCAGAGTTATGGCCCTTTAATAATTTTTATTTTTAAAGTTTGTCCGGACTACTTCTCTTATACCACTAATGCAATTTCAATGAAACTTTACAGGATTGATCTGTAGCTCAAGTCCTTGCGCATATTGCACGGGTTTTCCGGTTGAATGATTTTTGGCCGAGTTATGGCCCTTTGATAAAAAGGTGTTTTTTTCTGTGTGTTGCCAGATACACAAAAGCTTGTCCACACTACTCCTCATAAACTACTGGTGCAATTTCATTCAAACTTTACAGGAATGATCAGTACCAAGTCTAGTTGTGCACTGTCCGTCTGTCTGTCCGTCTGTCACAAAACTTGTCCCAACATGAAATTGGCCATTATGAGGCGACACATGTGATCACTGATCGCTCTTGTTATTTTTCAAAAGCTTTTTATTTCGTACGGAAGTCAAAATACTACTTTGTTTACTTTTTGCTACCTTCACAACAAACTATTTCACATTCAGTACTATTTTCATCAGGTGACAAGCATCTTAAATCCATTATAACAACATAATAAAACACATATTTGCCCTTTCAGCAGAAGAATTTTCATCACCTTAGTGCAGTAACATGGTAACTCCTGTTAAATTTAATACGAGCTTACTGCACTAAGGTCACAATTTATTTTTGAGGCATAATATCCCTTTAACTTTGTATTTTGCTTTTTCATTTTCCAGCAATATTTGTACATGTATGTTTAAGTTATAGTTTCAAGGTTAATTTGTTTATGACAGGAAATATATACAGGTGATGGTACATGGACAATGTGAGACACAGTTTGTGTTGAAGGATTGGTCCCTGGCTGCAGATACTTGTAAAGATGTTGATCTTGTTGGCATGAACAAACCTGGATCCCAGCTCGTATGTGATTTTGTTACAGATTCTTTTATCCACAGGAAGAAGGCTGTTGTCTTTTCAAGAAAATAAATTTTGTTGTATTTTAAACTGGATATCAAGATATTCTTTTATTTACCACCATTAGTCTTTATGGTCCCGTTTTACATTGCTTTTTTAACATGACAATTTACAGACAAGCTCTATCAAAGACTAACTTTACAATTTCAAGTTTTTAGCTCACCTGAGCTTGCTCAGGGTGAGCTTTTAGGATCGATGAATGTCCGTCGTCCGTCCGGCCGTCCACAATTGCTTGTGAACACTCTAGCGGTCGCATTTTTGCCTCAATCATCATCAAACTTGGTCAGGATGCTTATCTAGTTGAAAGCTCGGATGAGTTCGAACATGGGTCATCTCAGATGAAAAACTAGGTCACAAGAGCTAAAAATAGAAAAACCTTGTGAACACTCTAGAGGTCACATTTTTGACCCAATCTTCATCAAACTTGGTCAGGATGTTTGTCTAGGTGATAGCTCGGATGAGTTCGAACATGGGTCATCTCGGATGAAAAAGTAGGTCACAGGAGCTATAAATAGAAAAACCTTGTGAACACTCTAGTGGTCACATTTTTGAACCAATCATCATCAAACTTGGTCAGAATGCTTGTCTAGTCAATTGCTTGGATGAGTTCGAACATGGGTCATCTCTGATGAAAAACTAGGTCACAGGAGCTAAAAATAGAAAAACCTTGTGACCACTCTAGTGGTCACATTTTTGACCCAATCATCATCAAACTTTGTCAGGATGCTTGTTTAGATAATAGCTCGGATGAGTTCGAATATGGGTCATCTCGGATGAAAAACTAGGTCACCGGAGCTATAAATAGAAAAACCTTGTTAACACTCTAGAGGTCACATTTTTGCATCAATCATCATCAAACTTGGTCAGGATGCTTATCTAGTTGATAGCTTGGATGAGTTCGAACATGGGTCATCTCGGATGAAAAAGTAGGTCACCGGAGCTAAAAATAGAAAAACCTTGTTAACACTTTAGCGGTCACATTTTTGCATCAATCATCATCAAACTTGATCAAGATGCTTGTCTAGGTAATAACTCGGATGAGTTCGAACATGGGTCATCTCGGATGAAAAACTAGGTCACAGGAGCTAAAAATAGAAAAACCTTGTTAACACTCTAGTGGTCACAATTTTGACTCAATTGTCATCTAACTTGGTCAGGAAACTTGTCTAGGTCATTGCTGGGAATAAATCGAACATGGGACATCTCGGATGAAAAACTAGGTCACAGGAGCTAAAAATAGAAAAATCTTGTTAACACTCTAGTGGCTACTGTTGTGATCCAAATATTCTGTTAATTGGTCTGAAAGTTTTTTTTGATGATTTCTAAGTCAAGATCGAACATGGGTCATCTTGGATGAAAAACTAGGTCACACCGCCCAAATATGGAAAAAACCTTGTTAACATTCTAGTGGTCACATTTTCGACTCCATTATCATCAAACTTGGTCAGAATGCTTGTCTAGGTAATTGCTTGGATGAGTTCGAAATCGCATGTGAAACTAGGTCACCGGAGCTAAAAATAGAAAAATCTTGTTAACACTCTAGTTGCTACTGTTTTGATCCAAGTATCCTGGAAATTGGTCTGAAAGTTTGTTTTGATGATTTCTAGGTCAAGTTTGAATATGTGTCACCTGGGTAAAAAACTAGGTCGCACTGCTCAAATATGGATAATCCTTGTTAACACTGTAGTGGTCACATTTTTGACTCACCTGTCATGAGACTTGGTCAGAATGCTTGTCTAGGTAATTGTTTGGATGAGTTTGATAATTCAGGTGAGCGATCTAGGGCCATCATGGCCCTCTTGTTTAACTACTTCCTTAAAATAAAATATCCATATTTTTCAGTTGGAAGTCTTTTAATTTTAATAAAATAGTGTGCTAACTTAGCTATCCCTGCAAAGTTGTTTCAAAACTTATTGATATACACTATATATACATAAATTTGAGTCTCGAATTGTTCAACGCTGTAAAAGATTGATAAACTGTTCTTTATAGAGTATTATATATTATCAGGGTATTTTCAACAGAAATGGCTAGTATTTCCAATGATACCAGACTTGTGCCATTTATTTTTCCCATAAAATTCAACATAATAGTATTTGTTGAGAGAATATTTTTTAGTTTTGGGTGGATATGGAATATATTTCACTAAGAAATGAGAGTATTTTCATGACTGCAAAGTATTTTTAAACATATTTTAAAATTCTGACTTCAAAGTGATAGATGTTCTATAATTATGTAAGTGTTCTAAATAAAGTAAAAGTTTTACTCTGTAGTTTTTGTATTTACCTTAAACCTTGCATAACCGGTATCACCCATGCAACCAGTGCAGACAGAAGATCAGCAATGCACATCCTTGCCATCTGATCATGGTCTGCACTGTTTACTATTTAGCCAGTATATATGTTGAAATTTTTACATAAAAGATGACAGCTGGTCTTGCCCAGATTGAAAAATGGACAAACCTGTTGAAGATATCAAGCTTGTTCAGGGTTAAAACGAAACATTACCAAATAAAGAATGTGATATGATGTGTATCTCACTTAAAAACCTAAGTATCTCAAAATGAAATTATTTTGATATTTATTTCAGAAGGTGAATATTGATCAGAGCAGCTCATTTATGTGGCAGTTGAAATCAAACATTGCACAGTTACCTCCCTTGGACCTAACATTCACTTCTCATTATTGTTGTATAACACAAGATGGTGAAGAACTACGACAATTCCAGTACCAGTTCTCCTTGCCGGAATTTCATGTGAGTTCTCACTTTAATATCACAGAGCTATATTTAAAAGGGGAGGAAGCTATGATGGGCACTGACAGTTTGACATGTGTTAAGGACCAAAAGAAGTAACAAAAAAGTAGTTGCAAATATATTAAAAAGCATGCAGATTAGGAAGATGTAAATTACCAGTAACAGATCAAATTGTTAACACATTAGGTTATTTAAAACAAGATGGCAGAAATTGACCAACTTCAAGGGCCAATGAATTTTGTGCAAAGGATTGTGGGTCTAGGCAGGAAAATGTTTTACTTTTGGGCTTCCTATCCCTCTGTATTATATAAATTGGTCGCTTAACCAGAAGTATTTAAAATGAATAGGGTGTGTGTGAGATGTTATTGGATGAGGACAGATAGGGTTGGTAGGGGTAGAGAATAGTGTGAGTTGAATGGTTATATACTTTTTTGTAAAGAAACTAGTATTATAATCAACTCAAATACCATATAAATACCAATTTGTCTTTTTCTCTAAAAAGAAATCTCGAGTTTGAGCACCACTGGAGAATTTACCAAAGTTTGTATTTTATCATGTGTAATGTTAAGAAAACACTAAAGCAAATGAAAATGCTCTAAATGTGGCTAACTAGGGAAATGTGCTAAAAATTGAAGTGCAATAAAGTTTAAATTTAAGGCCTTATTTAAATTTGCTTTTATTCCGAGTCCTTTCAAGTTAAAGTCTGCATGACCTATACTATTTCGGTGCGACGTAAAACACAATCCAACAAAATCAAATAAAGTACAAAGAAAAGCAGTTATTTTGAATTGACTGTCTAGGGTGATATTTTTTTCAGACATTGTATACTGTCAAGGCAGAAGTGACTCCAAATGGGGAGAACAAAGTTTGTAAGACTGGTACCCTGTCAACATTAAAAATCCATGTCCTTGAAATGCCTGTGAGCAAGCCTTTGTCAGATCATGATTTGATGTACGAGGTCATAGGTCAGTCGAACTGGAATATGCATGGAATATCTACAGGTTTGTTTTTAGACAGTTTTAGTATAAAGATTGATTGACTTTAAGTGTAAAGTAATTGAAACATTTGTGCAAAAAAATTGTAAACAAATTGTGTTTGTAAAGTACAAATGCCCATTCTTATGTTTGCAATAACATAACTGTAATGAAAGTTTATTAATTTGGATAATATGACCTTGAATGTCAAGGGTATTTTGGGGTCAATATCATTTTTTATAACGTCAAAATGAAAGTCTTGTCTGGAGGTATGTTTTAAAGAAGTATGAAATATCTTGATGATTGAATCAAGATCTTTTTGTAGAGGTTAGTTAAAAAAATATTAACATGAATGTGGGGGCATTCTGCTTCAACCCTTTACCCACTGAATTTGTGTAATGGATTTGTCCAACTTTGAATTTGGAACAGTTCATTTTAAAATTAAGGTAAATGTATTTCAAAATCCAAATACCTTGCTCAGACTGGCCTGGCTTTATACTGGTGGCAAATGCTAATAACTTTCATTTCCTGCAGGTTAAGGGCTAAACATTTGAGCCGCCTCACTACAAAACCAACATAATGGGTTTGCGACCAGAATGGATCCAGACCAGCCTGCGCAGTCTGATCAGGATCCATGCTGTTCGCTGACAAACCGTATAACAAGTAAAGAAACTGATAGCCAACAGCATGGATCCTGATCAGACTGCGTGGATGCGCAGGCTGGTCTGGATCCATGCTGGTCGCAAACCCATTATGTTGGTTTTGTCATGGCGCGGCTCATTTATTATTTATTACAAACAATTATTATTTATGATTACAGGTGTGTTTACTGTTACTGGAGGTAGCTACAATACTAGCTTACAAGTGATGCCACTTGTTTCTGGGTTCATTCCATTACCAAAGATTAAACTATACAAGTATAATGGTGCTAAAACCACCGGTAAGTTACTACCTTCTTATGATTAAATTATTCTTCAAAGCAATGATTGTCATACTTAACTGGTAATGTTTTTGAAGGTGTCTTAAACAACACGCTGTTTTCATGTTGTATTTTTTAATTCAACTTCACGATTGGCTAGTCTGCTGTGTTTATTTTAAATCATATACATGTACATGTAAATGTATAATCTGTTCTTCACTTGATCTTTTTTTCAGACATAAATAATGGATGCAGTCCTAGAAATTAACTTGCAACTTTGAATATAAAAGTTAACAATAAAGATTTCTTTTAGCTAGATCAAGTGTTTCATAAAAAACTGTCACAATTCATGTATTATATATAAAAACAAAGCATTGGTATAAATCTCAAATGAGCTACTTTTACATACTAGTACAAGTGTACATCTACCTTGATTACTACAAATAAATCCACTGACAATTTTGTTTTGGAATCAAATGGCCCTGCGATCTAGGGGATTGTGTCTAGTTATTTGTTAGCCAATGATCTTGACTTTAAAAATTTTCCTGATAAATTTACATCCAAGTTTCAATAAAGGCACAGATAAAATTGATATTTTCACAGGAAGTGAAATGTTTTATAAAAAATATTGAATTAATATTTCTTTATCAGATGTATGGGAGAAGGACAATTCGAGTAAAGACGAGGTTTTAGACAGTACAGATGATGAGAGTTCAGACAGTGATCAGGTCACCGACCGTATAGACTTCAATAAAGGTCAGGTGTACTATAGCAGTCTGGGAAAACAAGTACATGTGTACCCGGAAGAGGTCAGAGGCGAGGTGGAAGTTACAATTGTGTGAGATGACAGCATGTTGATATGAGCGTCAATGACTAGTAGACTGATGGAGGACTTAAAAGTAATGCATTGCAGCTTAAAAAGGTCACATTCAAAGTTATGTACCCAGCAGCTTAAAAGGCAATTCTGAAAAGAATACAAAGTAACTTTGAAATAGGCTATATTTATCATTGTGTTTTGATCATTGTGATCATTTACAATTTGTAGACTGAAATTCAATGTATTTAATTTCATAAAATTTTATGTTTTGCTTAGAACAACATTCCTTACTGTTTAAACATTGCCTCAACTTCTTTTATAGATATTGGTGACCTTAATAAAAATAGTTTTGAATTTTTACTTACCAGATTTGTGCATTGTGAATGACATGATTACTTTAATAAACTTTTTGCGAGGTCATTATCAGTAAATAAGCTGTAATGTATATAAAAGATAGATTTATCTAATCAAATTTATCTCTTATAATTTGAATGGGAGGTGATATATAGTGTAAAATAACATAATTTTGTATTTTTGTAAATGTTCAGAAGACAGTTGGGCTTTAAAAGAAAGTTAAGGGAATATGAAATGAAGATTTATTTTGCTTGTATTTTGAACTAATAGTATGTGCAATAAAGTTGTGTTTAAATCTGTGATGTTATAATATAAATTATGTTAAATGATATATCGTTAATGATTAAAAACTATGGAACATTACTTCTGTTTTGTTTCTTTGTTGATTTTTCCAAGGGACTGCAAATGTTTCTATCTAAGCTTTGGGCACAATAATACTTTAAAGTATATTCCTATATCAGTTTATGTAAATCAAGTGACCATTGGACGAGCCAATATTGACATCAGGGGCACGATTAATGCCAGTTATTTTGTGGTCCACAAAGTGATGTTACATGCCAAATCCCTAAGCTCAGGACTTTTCACACAATAAGTCCCAAATGTGTTTTTCCAATGTAAGTCTACAGTATATTAAATCCAGTGACCCTTGGTGTGGGACCAATATTGGACTAAGGGGCATTAGTCAATAAGGCAATGCTATATGCAAAATATCTAAGTTCTAGACAGTTTCTTATAATGAAAAACCTGCACATCATCTCATTACCTTCATACAAAATGACTGTGACCTTGACCCGAGGTCAAATCTAAGCTCTGCATATTTTCTCATTATGGTTAACATTTCTGCCAAATAGTTTCAATTTCCTTCCACCATTTCAAAAGTTTGGTAAAGTACCTGAACACATGTTTCTTTGTCATATTTTGTTCCATTAAAATATTTGTTGTTAAGACTAAATTTAAACAAACAAGCAATGAGTAAAATTAATCTCAGTATCTGAAAAGTTAAACCTATTCATGTAAGATGCTGTATGAAAATGTGTTTTCAAATGATAGAAAAAGTTCGCATAAAAAGGAATAATTTTCGAATAATTTCAATTCGCAAAAATCGCAAATATTTCCGTGTCGCAAAATTAACCACTTATACAGTAGTGTACTATAGTGTCACACGAACACTAACTACAGGGGCAAGATAACACTTCTTTTTTTGTGTGCAGTTTTACTTCACACCAACACAGTACTTTTCAGCTTTACTGGTGAAGGAAGAGTGCATTTCTGTGCATTATTTCAGGCACGCACAGGCACCAGATTGGACCCACCAACATTTCGAAAGCTTGGTGGATAGCTATCTAACATGAAAGAATTCAAAGTTCCTGTCCGGTTTTCAACCCAGTAAGGGGCATGTGGTTTGAAGTCAACAACCTTAACCACTTGGCCAAGGATGCCCCACTTGTTTTCAATTTCAAAAATTCAGAAAATAGAGGCATTTAGATAGAGTAAATGATAAAGAGGACTCTTTAAATTTTATTCACTAACATAAAAGTATATATCTTTTATTTACTGTAAATGTATGAATTTCTGCTGTTTTTACATCACTTAAAGCGATAAAAACGACGCTTATCAAAATGCTTAAACAATACCAAACAAGAAAATTTCATTAAAAAAATTTGAATAGGTGTATGTTTAAAAGTATAAAACCCACAAATCAGACATAATAATAATTACTGTGTAATCAATTATCTGATATAATAATAACAAGAGCCATGTCAACATGGCCATCCCCCGCCGAATGTGTTTGCTCATTGGAAGAATGTATATGTAGTAGAGCAGAATAATTCCATTTTAAGAGGTCTTTTGGTAATGAAAACTGATGGCTATAGTGATTACAGATTTGAAACCTATGTGAATACTTATGGCTGAAAATAACAAAGGACAATAACTGAAAAATAATGCAGGGTAGATTATCATTCTTGTGCTGCATCCCTCCTCAGTAAAATCTATCCACCTATGAAGTTTCAAGTTGATACCTCAAATACTTTTTGAGAAAAAAATTGAATTGAAAAATTAAGTATGAAAAATAACAAAGGGCAATAACTCAAAAATTATAAAAGGTAGAGTTATCATTCTTGTGCACTGCACACCTCCTGAGTGAGATCTATGCACCTATGAAGTTTCATAATGATATCTCAAATGCCTTTTGAGTTACGCTCTGGACAAAAATTAATTTTGAAAAATAAAAAAAGGGCAATAACTAAACAATTATGCAGGGTAGAGTTATCGTTCTTGTGCACTGCACTCTTCCTCAATGAGATTCATCCACCTATAAAGTTTTAAGTTGATACCTCAAATACTTTTTGAGATAAGCTCCGGACAAAATAGCATGAAAAAGAACAAAGGGCAATCACTCAAAAATTGTACAGGGAAGAGTTATCATTCTTGTGCACAGCATTCCTCCTCAATAAAATCTATCCACTATGACATTTCATGTTGACATCTCAAACACTTTTGAGTTATGCTCCACTCGGGTGAAAAATTAGGTATGAAAAATAACAAAGGGCAATAACTCAAAAATTATGAAAGGTAGAGTTATCATTCTTGTGCACTGCACACCTTCTGAGTGTGATCTATGCACCTATGAAGTTTCATTTTGATATCTCAAAGGCTTTTTGAGGTATGCTCTGGACAAAAATTAATTTTGAAAAATAACAAAGGGCAATAACTCAAAAATAATGCAGGGTAGAGTTATCATTCTTGTGCAATGCACTCCTCCTCAATGAGATCCATCCACCTATGAAGTTTCAAGTTGATACCTCAAATACTTTTTGAGATAAGCTCTGGACAAAATAGCATGAAAAAGAACAAAGGGCAATAACTAAAAAATTGTATAGGGAAGAGTTATCATTCTTGCGCACAACATTCCTCCTCAATAAGATCTATCCAACTATGACATTTCATGTTGATATCTCAAAAACTTTTTGAGTTTTGCTCCACTCAGGTGAAAAATTAAGTATGAAAAATAACAAAGGGCAATAACTCAAAAATTATGAAAGGTAGAGTTATCGTTCTTGTGCACTGCACACCTCCTGAGTGAGATATATGCACCTATGAAGTTTCATGTTGATATCTCATAGGCTTTTGGAGTAATGCTCTGGACAAAAATCAATTTTGAAAAATAAGAAAGGGCAATAACTCAAAAATTATGCAGGGTAGAGTTATCATTCTTGTGCACTGCACTCCTCCTCAATGAGGTCTATCCACCTATGAAGTTTCAAGTTGATAACTCAAATACTTTTAGAGATATACTCCGGACAAAAATGTCGGACGGAAGGACGGACGGACAGACAGAAGGACAGAAGGTCAGACGGACGGAGACTATTTCTATATCCCCCGCCGCCTTTTCGGCGGGGGATAATTACTGGTATAATCAATCTTACTAACACACACGGATAAACAAGTGCACTGCATTCAGTGTTAACGCTCATCTGTTAAGTGTAATGACTATCAATAACTACTTTTGACAAAGATTCTAAGTTAAACAAGAGGGCCATGATGGCCCTAGATTGCTCACCTGACTTATCAAACTCATCCAAACAATTACCTAGACAAGCATTCTGACCAAGTCTCATGACAGGTGAGTCAACAAGAGCTGTCCGTAAGACAGCGCGCTCGACTTTTTTATTGCTTGCCAATAAAAAAAGTTTTTGCAGTAAAAGGCAATACAAGAATCTCTGTATTTTTAAAGTGAACAATGGCCATGAGCATTAAGATATTTAGTGAAGAATTATTTTACTGAATTGTGTGATACCCTTGAACACTGCAGCAAAGTTTGAAATGTTTAAGTCAAAAGAGGGCTGGTAAGAAAGAAAAAAAAGCTAGTTGTTTGATACCCTTGAATATTACAGCAATGTTTATATGACATAATTTATGGTAAAGTGAACAAGTGGATAGGAATGAATTTTTTTAGATTTTTTAAGTTTTTTAGTGCTTGCCTATTATACAAAACATTGACAGTTAAGGGCCATAATTCAAATAAAATCTTTGACAGAATTACCTTCTCCTGGACATGTTTGGGAATCATGATTGTAAACAAGTATTCCAACTTTCAAATTAATATCTCAAACAGTTCAGTCAAAAAGTGGACTGGTACTAAAAACTTAACCAAGATTCTAAGTCGATAAAAGGCCTTAATTTTTAAAACAAATCCTTGACAGAGTTACCTTCTCTTGCGTACAGATGGGGGTAATGATGTGAAATAGCATTAAAAGTTTCAAAGCAATATCTCAAAGGGTTAAGGCAATAAGTGGATTTTACCCATATTCAATGTATTTTCTAAGTCAAAAAGGGGCATAATTCTGTCAAAAACCTTGACAGAGTTATGTCCTCTTGTCTGTTGATGAAGGTCGTGATGGTAAACAAGTATGGTCAGTTTCAAAGCAATACCTCCAATGGTTTTGAAATAAAGTGAGGTGGTACAAAAAACTTAACCAAGCTCAATACACTTTCTAAGTCAAAAAAGGGCCATAATTCTGTCAAAAACCTTGACAGAGTTATGTACTCTTGTCTGTAGATGGAGGTTATGATGGTGAACAAGTATGGTAAGTTTCAAAGCCATACTTGTAATACTTCTGAAATAAAGTGGGGTGGTACGAAAAACTTAACCAAGGTGTGACGCCAACGCTAACGCCGACGCCGACGCCGGGGCGAGTAGGATAGCTCCCCTTTTCATAGAAAAGTCGAGCTAAAAATGTGACCACTACAGTGTTAACAAGGATTATCCATATTTGAGCAGTGCAACCTAGTTTTTTACCCAGGTGACACATAATCAAACTTGACCTAGAAATCATCAAAACAAACTTTCAGACCAATTTCCAGGATACTTGGATCAAAACAGTAGCAACTAGAGTGTTAACAAGATTTTTCTATTTTTAGCTCCGGTGACCTAGTTTCACATGCGATTACCAACTCATCCAAGCAATTACCTAGACAAGCATCCTGACCAAGTTTGATGATAATTGAGTCAAAAATGTGACCACTAGAATGTTAACAAGGTTTTTCCATATTTTGACAGTGTGACCTAGTTTTTCATCCAAGATGACCCATGTTCGATCTTGACTTAGAAATCATCAAATTAAACTTTCAGACCAATTAACAGAATATTTGGATCACAACAGTAGCCACTAGAGTGTTAACAAGATTTTTCTATTTTTAGCTCCTGTAACCTAGTTTTTCATCCGAGATGACCCATGTTCGATTTATTCCCAGCAATGACCTAGACAAGTTTTCTGACCAAGTTTGATGACAATTGAGTCAAAATTGTGACCACTAGAGTGTTAACAAGGTTTTTCTATTTTTAGCTCCTGTGACCTTGTTTTTCATCCGAGATGACCCATGTTTGAACTCATCCGAGCTATCACCTAGACAAGCATCTTGATCAAGTTTGATGATGATTGAGGCAAAAATGTGACCGCTAGAGTGTTAACAAGGCTTTTCTATTTTTAGCTCCGGTGACCTACTTTTTCATCCGAGATGACCCATGTTCAAACTCATCCGAGATATCACCTAGACAAACATCCTGACCAAGTTTGATGATGATTGAGGCAAAATTGTGACCTCTAGAGTGTTAACATGGTTTTTTAGCTCACCTGAGCATATGCTCAGGGTGGGATCACTCTTCGTCCGTCGTCTGTCATCTGTTGTCTGTTCACACTTTTCAAACGACATCTCCTCTGAAACCATAAGGCAGATCATAATGAAACTTCACAGGAATGTTCCTTGTGTGAAGCCTTAACAAAGTTGTTCAAACAATTCCATTCCATGCAGAACTCTGGTTGCCATGGCAACCAAAAGAAAAAACTTTAAACATCTTCTTCTAAAAAACCCAAAGAGCTAGAGCTTAGATATTTGGCATGAAACATCTTCTAGTGAGTGTCTACCAAGATTGTTCAAATAAAAGCCCCGAGGTCAAAATTGGCCCCGCCCCAGGTGGTCATTGATTTTCCCTATAATTATGCATATAGTAAAAACTTAAAAAAATCTTCTTTTAAAGAACCCAAAGAGCTAGACCTAAGATATTAACCATGAAACATCTTCCAATGAGTGTCTACCAAGATTGTTCAAATCAAAGCCCTGGGGTCAAAATTGGCCCCGCCCCAGGGGGTCATTGATTTTCCCTATATGCATATAGTAAAAACTTAAAAAAATCTTCTTCTAAAAAACCCAAAGAGCTAGAGCTTAGATATTTGGCATGAAACATGTTGTAATGGATGTCTACCAAGTTTGTTCAAATAAAAGCCCTGAGGTCAAAATTGGCCCCGCCCCAGGGGGTCATTGATTTTCCCTATATGCATATAGTAAAAACAGGGCTTCCAACAGCAAATTGCAAAATCAGCGGAAAATACGCCGGGGGTCAAGGGGGCTGCGCAAGCCCCTGTTGCTGGTCCAGGGTAGAGCCCTGGTGGGGGACTAGGGCCCCCAGAAGCTCCTGGATTCTGATGATTTGGTTTGCCCTAAAATCAATTTCCTGGACTCTAAATTTGACTTCCTTGGTTGCCTTTAAAGCCATTCAGAGACACTTTAGTTGGACTTCAGGTTTTCATCAGCCCTCAAAACAAATATCCGACATTTTGACGCATTTTGACAACAGACAATAGCAACAATGTAAACTGTAATTTGATTGTTTATTCTTAAATAGAATGCCGGAAAAGACTCGATTTGACCAATAAGATAAGCGCTTACAGACGTACCATAGGCGGCTAACGTAACGATAAAAGCCGAAGCGTGCCGGTTTTTGGGTACTGTATAAAATATGACAAATGAATTTATTGTCTTTGTCGAATTTACATTGATCTCAAAAATGACCCAGGAGCTCACGAAATCCGCGGAAAATTGGCAGCCCTGTAAAAACTTAAAAAAATTTCTTTTAAAGAACTCAAAGAGCTAGAGCTAAGATATTTAGCATGAAATATCTTCTAATGGGTGTCTACCAAGTTTGTTCAAATAAAAGCCCTTGGGTTAAAGTTGGCCTCGCCCCAGGGGGGTCTTTGATTTTCCCAATATGCATATAGTAAAAACTTAAAACAAGAGGGCCATGATGGCCCTGAAGTCGCTCACCTGTACATAGGCCCCGGAGCGGGGCCAGTTTAAAGCCTGGGGCTTTTATTTGAACAAACTTGGTAGACAACCATTAGAAGATGTTTCATGCTAAACATCTAAGGTCTAGCTCGTTGGAATTTTTAAAAGAAGATCTTTTTTAAGTTTTTTCTTTACACATACATGTATAGTTAAAAACAATGACACACCTGGGCCAGGGCCAGTTTTGACTCCAGGGCTTTTATTTGAACAATCTTTGTAGACACTTACTAGAAAATGTTTCATGCTTAATATCTAAACTCTAGCTACTCAGGTTTTTTCAAAGAAGATTTTTAAGTTTTTGCTATACTTGTATAAGGAAAATCAATGTCCTCCAGGGTGGGGCCAATTTTGATCCCAACAAACTTTGTAGACAATCACTAGAGGATGTTTCATGCTTAATATCTAAACTCTAGCTATTTGGTTTTTTCCAAAGAAGTCTTTTAAGTTTTTCCTATACACATATAAGGAAATTTGGAAAATCAATGACCCCCAGGGCCGGGCCAATCTTATTTGAACAAACTTGGTAGACACCCATTAGAAGATGTTTCATGCTAAATATCTTAGCTCTAACTCTTTTGGTTCTTTATAAGAAGATTTTTAAGTTTTTACTATATGTATATGGGGTAAATCAATGACCCCCTTGGGCGGGGCAAATTTTTACCCCAGGGCTTTTATTTGAACAAACTTGGTAGACACCCATTACAAGATGTTTCATGCTAAATATCTTAGCTCTACCTCTGGGTTCTTTAAAAGAAGATTTTTTAAGTTTTTACTATATGTATATATGGAAAATCAATGACCCCCTGGGGTGGGGCCAACTTTGACCCCAAGGCTTTGATTTGAAAAAACTTGGTAGACATCCATTAGAAGATGTTTCATGCTAAATATCTTAGCTCTAGCTCTTTTGGTTCTATAAAAGAAGATTTTTTAAAGGTTTTTACTATATGTATATAGGGAAAATCAATGACCCCCTGGGGCGGGGCAAATTTTGCCCCAGGGCTTTTATTTGAACAAACTTGGTAGACATCCATTAGAAGATGTTTCATGCTAAATATCTTAGCTCTAGCTCTTTTGGTTCTTTAAAAGAAGATTTTTTAAGTTTTTACTATATGCATATAGGGAAAATCAATGACCCCCTGGGGCGGGGCAAATTTTGACCCCAGGGCTTTTATTTGAACAAACTTGGTAGACATCCATTAGAAGATGTTTCATGCTAAATATCTTAGCTCTAGCTCTTTGGGTTCTTTAAAAGAAGATTTTTTAAGTTTTTACTATATGCATATAGGGAAAATCAATGACCCCCTGGGGCGGGGCCAATTTTGACCCCAGGGCTTTTATTTGAACAAACTTGGTAGACACCCATTAGAAAATGTTTCATGCTAAATATCTTAGCTCTAGCTCTTTGGGTTCTTTAAAAGAAGATTTTTTAAGTTTTTACTATATGCATATAGGGAAAATCAATGACCCCCTGGGGCGGGGCCAATTTTGACCCAAGGGCTTTTATTTGAACAAACTTGGTAGACACTCACCAGAAGATGTTTCATGCCAAAAATCTAAGCTCTAGCTCTTTGGGTTTTTTAGAAGAAGATATTTTAAGTTTTTTCTTTTGGTTGCCATGGCAACCAGAGTTCTGCATGGAATTAAATTCTTTGAACAATTTTCAAAGGTGACCACCAAAGGAACATTCCTGTGAAGTTTGGATGAAATTGGCTTAGTGGTTTATGAGGAGATGTCATTTAAAGTAAAAGTTTACGGACGACGGACGGACGGACGACGGACGAAAAGCGATCACAAAAGCTCACCCTGTCACTTTGTGACAGGTGAGCTAAAAATGTGACCTCTAAAGTGTTAACAAGGATTATCCATATTTGAGCAGTGTGACCTAGTTTTTTACCCAGGTGACCTATATTCAAACTTAACCTAGAAATCATCAAAACAAACTTTCAGACCAATTTCCAGGATACTTTGATCAAAACAGTAGCAACTAGAGTGTTAACAAGATTTTTCTATTTTGAGCTCCTGTGACCTAGTTTCACATGCGATTTCGAACTCATCCGAGCAATTACCTATAAAGCATCCTGACCAAGTTTGATGTTAATTGAGTCGAAAATGTGAACAAGGTTTTTCAATATTTGGGCGGTGTGACCTAGTTTTTCATCCAAGATGACCCATGTTCGAACTTGACTTAGAAAGCATCAAAACAAACTTTCAGACCAATTTACAGGATATTTGGATCAAAACAGTAGCCACTAGAGTGTTAGCAAGATTTTTCTATTTTTAGCTCCTGTGACCTAGTTTTTCATCTGAGATGACCAATGTTCGAACTCATCCAAGCTATCAACTAGACAAACATCCTGACCAAGTTTGATGATGATTGAGGCAAAATTGTGACCGCTAGAGTGTTAACAAGGTTTTTTCTATTTTTAGCTCTTGTGACCTAGTTTTTCATCCGAGATGACCCATGTTCGAACTCATCTGAGCTATCAAATAGATAAGCATCCTGACCAAGTTTGATGATGATTGAGGCAAAAATGTGACCGCTGGAGTGTTAACAAGGTTTTTCTATTTTTAGCTCCGGTGACCTAGTTTTTCATCTGAGATGACCCATGTTCGAACTCATCTGAGCTATTACCTAGACAAGCATCCTGACCAAGTTTGATGATGATTGATGCAAAAATGTGACCGCTAGAGTGTTAACAAGGTTTTTCTATTTTTAGCTCCGGTGACCTACTTTTTCATCCGAGATGACCCATGTTCGAACTCATCCGAGCTATCACCTAGACAAACATCCTGACTAAGTTTGATGATGATTGATGCAAAAATGTGACCGCTAGAGTGTTAACAAGGTTTTTCTATTTTTAGCTCCAGTGACCTACTTTTTCATCCGAGATGACCCATGTTCGAACTCATCCGAGCTATCATCTAGACAAACATCCTGACCAAGTTTTATGATGATTGAGGCAAAAATGTGACCTCTAGAGTGTTAACAAGGTTTTTCTATTTTTAGCTCTTGTGACCTAGTTTCTCATCCGAGATGACCCATGTTCGAACTCATCCGAGCTATCAACTAGATAAGCAACCTGACCAAGTTTGATGATGATTTAGGCAAAAATGCGGCCGCTAGAGTGTTAACAACTAAATGTAAACGGCCGACAGACGGACGACGGACAATCATCGATCCTAAAAACTCACCCTGAGCATGCTCAGGTGAGCTAAAAAAGGCATAATACCAAAAATATAGCTTTCAGAATTATGCTCCTTTGTCTAAAGACTTCACCTTGTCATGATAAGTTTCATGTTGGCATCAGTTAAAATGTTTGAATAATGGTTCACATTTAAGTTTTTGCAGAATGCTGACAATAACGCAGCTATCATAATAGCATGACTTTTCTTCGAAACGGGCAACCTAAAAACACTCTTTTGTACTGTACAAAAATATTGTTTTTCCAAAAAACAAAACAACATCCCTTAATATTTAGAGAAAATCCTAAGAATAAAGTACATTAACCAATGTTCAACCAGTCCATTTATATTAAGTATAACTACAAACAGATGAAGTGTCATCAAGACTGATTCAATAACACACTGTCATAGTTAGTAAAACATCTGAAATCATTCTGCAGCTGATTTTTATGTTGGGGTAAATATGAGCATGGCCGAGCATCCAGTAACTTGACTGCTAACTCCTCCATTACTGCTCCTGAAAATAGAAAGATATTGAAAGTAAAGAAATTGATGGAGGGACTTATTCCTTTATGTTATGAGTAACTCTTGTGTGTTCATTCTTTATTGTTATATCACAATTAATTTGAACCTAACACACCATGAAGATCAACAAGAGCTGTCACAGGAGACAGCCAAGCTCGACTAATAAAATACTGGACGCAGTAAGGAGGACAAAACTATGAAAGAAAAACCAATTATGTATAATTATGTATTAAGTTATAGTAAAAAAATATCATTTGTTAACATAACTTCCAAGATCAAGGGGAATAATTCTAGAAAAAGTCATGCTAGAGTTATGAACCTTTCACACAACATGTGTGTAATGATAAGAAATATATATTTAAAGTTTGAAGTAGATACCTTAAAAAGTAAAGAAGTTATAATATTTCTTAATGAAAATCCTAAGTTCAAAGAAAGATAAATCTGTAAATATTGCTTCAAGAGTTACATACATTGTCACATAAAAAGTAATTGATGATAAGGAATAAGTATTTGAAGTTTGAGGTAGATACCTTTAAAACTAAAAAAGTTATAGTAAAAAATAAACATTAATTAATAAAATCTAAGTTTATGGGGAGATAATTCTTGCAATATTAGTGCTAGAGTTATGAACCTTGCCACATAAGATGTGGATGATGATAAGTTACATATATTTGAAGTATGAAGTTGATCCCTTTAGAAATAAATAAGTTTTAGTAACAGTAAAAAATAGTATTTTTTAAGGAAAATTCTAAGTTCAATGGGAGATAAATCTGAAAATATTGGTGCTAGAGTTATGAACCTTGTCACATAAGATGGGGATGATGATAAGGTACATATATTTGAAGTATGAGGTTGATCCCTTAAGAAATAAAGAAGTAACAGTAAAAAATAGTATTTTTTAAGGAAAATTCTAAGTTCAAGGGGAGATAAATCTGAAAATATTGGTGCTAGAGTTATGAACCTTGTCACATAAGGCCATCCTTACAAAAATGTTTGTTTGCAGTAACGCGACCGACTCACAAAATTTGCCCCTACTCAAAAGTTTTTTTCATGGTCTGGATAAAAAAAAAATTTTTTGGAATCACAAAATTATGCCTTGTGCTTTGTTTTCGTTCTGTTAAAGGTTAATAGAAGAAATAAAATGTAGGTCTTATTAAATTAGAATTCAGTTATCAATATATTAATTGTTACAAGATTATCAAAGCATATATTGTCCAGCATTTTGAAATTCCATGTTTATTTGGGAGTACAGTTCAATAAAAAAAAAAAAAATCGACCTACCTACCCACCTTGAAACTTCTGGGTCGGGTTACTGCAAACAAACATTTTTTTAAGGATGGCCTAAGATGTGGTTGATGATAAGGAACATATATTTGAAGTTTGAAGTTGATACTTTAAGAAATGACAAAGTTATAGTGAAAAATATTTTACTGCACCAAAACTTTAATCTGAAATCTGGACGCGGACGTGGACACCGACGCCAGGGCGAGTAGGACAGCTCTCCATATACTTCGTATAGACGAGCTAAAAATCAGTTTGTTATTTCACCTATATTTTAAAACAAATGTTTCATATAAATTGTAAAATTTCAAAAATCTTAGAATTTTTTTTCAAAAATATATTTCATATTAATTGTAAAATGTTATTCAAAATGTCTTGTTTAAAGGTAGGCAATTCAAACAAGAACTCAAAGTTGGACTATTAATGTAGCTCCTATGACATTGGATAAGTAATAAGATTTGACATAATTGAAAAGGGTTGAGATGCATGAAAAAAAAATTGACCCCCATCCCTTTCCTCAACAATATTTGTTGAGAACCTTAAATTTGACTACTATCGTATAGAGTAAAGCAGCTGTAAAACCTTAAAGTCATAGTTTCAAACCAAACTTTTTGATAGGCTAAACAGTTTTAATATTATCTTACCCTTGCAAGCCATATCAGTTAGGATACTTATTTATCTATTCTACAAGTATACAGTACTGTATAGTCAATTCAGCCTGTAATTTTAACTATTAAGACCAGACTACTGTTGATTGCTCAGCTGTAACTTTTTAATCAGACAATCGTTATAACAATGGACAGCTATAAACATTTAGTAAAGTATCGGTTAAAACAGCACCATAGCGTAGTTAATCTGTTACAGAAAAATATGTTGTCCTTGTAGGAAGCTTTCTATTTTTAAACACTAGAGGGTTAATGTTCCTTTTTTCGTGCATTGACATCTGCAAAAGCATCAGGAGGAATTTAAAACCAGGTTAACCCAAGCCCGCAGGGTTAGCGATTTAATAAGTCTGTGGGTAGATGTTATTGCACGAAAATAAGGTACATAAGCACTATTCTTGCATAAAAGTATAGGTATAAAGCTGTCATTCTGCATTTCGATATCTGCATTTGTAATAAAAAAACATTAATTGTGTTGTGCTTTCCACATGCAAATGCCATCAAATATGGCAGTTTTGTTTTGATAATTAACCTACCGGGGCTGATATTGCCTTAAGCTGTTTTTAAATTAAGCCCTGAATCATGCACAGTGATTTTCCTACTTAAATAACAATCTCCAAATAAAGGCCTCTTTCCAATTGAAATTTTCTTTAAAATCATGCAGTTTTCCCAATAATCTGAACTTAAACCAGCTTTTTTACTTCCCAAATTAGCAATTATAGCGATAATTTTTCCCAAAATCAAGAGGCTAAGGCCTCTTCCCAATAAAGTGAGAAAAATCACTGACGCATAACAAAAATTGTGCAAGAGCACATGGTTATGCTATCATATTATGCATGTTTTCTTCCCTGATAATATATACATATACCTGCATGCACAGTTTATATGAAAGAATTAAGATAAAAATCTAAAAAATTCCTTTACCTGTACATAAGATTATTTTTCCTTTGGTCAGAAATTTCGCTGTTACCGCCGTTTTACACAGACACTCTTCAGACAGAAATGGTGGGTCTGCAATCACTATATCAAAGCTCTCTTTCCAATCCAGTGGTAAATTTAAAGGTTCTTTGTAGTCATAAAACTGAAAATCATCACCGTAGATCTGGAATCGTTTGTCAAATTCTAAACATTTTACGTTACAAGTGTCTGGTTTGATCTCTGTAATTTTCTTGTAAGCTGTTGGGGCGCTGATACATGCTATCCTAAAAGTGGAGTGACAATTTATAAATGACAGATTTTTAACAACATGTACATCAATGATGAATAATTTAATGGTATTCTCGATTATTGTTGTTGAGTGGATTAAAGCTTGTTTTACAAAAGACTACACATTTTTGCACAACATGAATACAGATAACAAGCAGTACACACATGTATTATGCAATGATTCATTGTGATTTTGTGAGATTTTTTTTTTCTTTTTAATTGGTATTCAGCTGGCAGACTGTTGATTGATTTTTGATACCAATGCATGCAAGTGATGGGCTTCTAACATATCTTAAGGTGAAGCTAAAGGATTATTTGTCAAAGTTAATACAAGGATCATAAAAACAATACCACTAATAGTTAATTCAAAATCTGGTATATATACAGCAATGAACTCTCAATTTAGCTTAGCCATGTCCATTTTGTAAATATATAGCAAACATTCTTCACAGCAAAGCTTTTTTATATCAAATATTTACAAGGTTAATTATTTATATCAAATATTTACAAGATTTATTAAATCTGCCACATCCTTCAGCTGACAGTAAATCACCGTTTTGTTTACCTGCCTTCTTTTCCAGCGAGAGACAACACCTCTTCTGCCAGTCTCTGGGCTGTCTCATCAGTGTACCAAAACTGACTTAATTGCTGAAAAAGTATACAAAATTACATACTGCAACAATTTAGCAAAAAACAATTAAAAAACTGTAGTATTAAAGAGATAACAAGAAGAAAGTAAAAACGTGTTTGAAACATAAAGACAGCTATTTGCATATTAGAAACAATTGCAAGGTTGCCCTTTCATATACATGTGCATAAAATATTTACAAGCTAACACTTGATATAATTATGTATAACAAGTTATCTTAAGAGTATTCCTAATTAAGCTTTAGCAGCTACTTTGAAGATCAAAATGTAACTAAACAGCATTTAAATTAAATAAAGTATCAGAATTTATTCTAATTCGATAGCAAATAAAGTTTCAGTAACATAAACATCTGGTATTCACAAGAAACTTATTAATTACCCAGTCTTCTTTCAAATTTACATCTTTAATTTGTCCTGCTTGAAGAGCTTCTTCAATTTGCTTCTGTTCCTTAGTCTGTTCTGCATAGAACTCATTCAGTGCAGATAAAGTGTCAGCTGACAGAGTTGGAGTATCATCATCACTGTCTGTCATCTTAAAAGAACTCCACTGATGACCAAAAGAATCTAAAGACATAATAATTGAAAATCTTACATATATCTGTTCTTTATTTTTAAGAGACAACTACATTGTATTAAAGAGGTTTTTTGATATGACAAGACTGGAATTTTTTTCCCAAGATTTCTATACCATTAATTTTGATGTAGGCCTATTAAAATAACTTGTGTACATTTGCTCACTCAGATTTTCCAGGATAATCATTATGATTATGGTCAATCCTGTTTCTCTAGATCAGCAAATATTAATGTCAAAGTAGTCAGTGATTTTTCTCACTTAATTCGGAAGAGGCCTTAGCCTCTTGATTTTGGGAAAAATTATCGCTAAAACTGCTGATTTGGGAAGTAAAAAAGCTGGTTTAAGTTCAGATTTTTGGGAAAACTGCATGATTTTAAAGAAAATTTCAATTGGGAAGAGGCCTTTTTTCGGAGTCTGTTATATAAGTAGGAAAATCACTGAACTGTAGAGACAGTTAAATTAAAATTTTAATAAAACTATTGAAATGACTGCTTTAAATAATTACTTAGGGGAGACTGATAAAATATATTTGTAGCTGTTAGCCAATCTCAATATTCGCAGCTCTAGATAGACCAAGAGACCGGAAATTAGAGGGTAATGTTTATATATGCACCAATTACAAATAATCCATTGCCTTTGAGAGAGACATTTAGTGGGATTATGTGGCTTTAGTTCTTTGTTGAAAAATTAATTTGGAAATTTGTTTAAAAACAGATAAAGATCTATCAGGTAAAGTAGGCTGTTTCTTCCCCAGGAATAAGACATTTCCCACCCAAAAATATAATTGAGCCGTGTCACGACAAAACCAACATAATGGGTTTGCGATCAGCATGGATCCAGACCAGCCTGCTCATCCGTGCAGTCTGATCAGGATCCATGCTGTTCGCTTACCAACCCTATTACAAATAGAGAAACTGATAGCGAACAGCATGGACCCTGATCAGACTGCACGGATGCGCAGGCTGGTCTGGATCCATGCTGGTCGCAAACGCACTATGTTGGTTTTGTCATGACACAGCTCATATTTTGATGTCTCTTTTGACCATATATGGCACAAAAACACAATTCTTTTTCACCCCCTCATGACATGGGATACAGGGATGTTTTCAGGACATATCTACTTTTGACAAGTCTAATTAGTTGAACAAATCAGTGTCTTTCAAATAGAATTCTATTTGAAAGACCCTGAACAAATGCAAAGGTTATGACTTATGTTTGTTGCCAACGTACGTGGTCCGGGATATGTCAATCGAAAAAATATCACTATGTAAGTTTCATTTTTTAAGCTACTTTAATAAAAAATTATTTCACATTCAACATTTTTTTAAACAATCTAAGTACTGTAAATCAATCACAGGTGCAGTCGGACACAGACGCTTGTGGTTATGTGCGTGGCTCCCCTTCTTGATCCGCACTTGTATACACCATGCCTATTTTTATCGTGCAAACCGTACGTCAAAATATTTTTGCATATTATTACGACCTGGTCACATGTCTTGAACATAAAACATGTTTCCCGCTATTTTAACCACGTTTAAAAAAGTCCATAGAATATCATAATTTCATGAAGATAACAACGTACGCTTTCCTTTGATGTGAGATGACTGGAATGAGTTTCGGCACTGTTTTGCGCTTTCATTTTCATGCCGAGAACCAAAACCCCGCAGCGGTTACTTCCCCTAATCAGTACAGAAACCAAATCAAGAAGACTGACGGAAAGGGCCGAGTAGTTGCGATTGAATTTCTTTTTCCCAGCGATTTTCCCGCTGTAATTTACGGGAAACATTCCAGTGGTCATGAATTCGTAAAGAAGCATGTGACTCAGTTATGAAAATATAATTAAATGTGCAAAGCTTGGAAGAAAGGTACGATCTGATAATAACATGCAGTTATTTATCAAAGGAATATATGCATCGACTGATTTACACCAGAAATAAATGGCATGCGATAACATAAATACCTGAAATATATGTAGGTCAGTTGTGTTTACATTTCGAAGCTTGGTATCTTCAGGAAATTGAAGCGTTGGAAAAAAATTGACTTTTTTAAAACGTTATGAAATTCTATTCAAACTTGTTCATGTGTTAGACACTTTACCGTCTCATACTAATATAAGCACAAATTTAAAACTTATTCTTGTAATAAACAATACTTTTAGTTTTTAATATTCAGGGGCGGGGAAGGGCGGGGTCCATACTCCAAGTGTCTGTGCAGTCGGATGACAAAATCCCGGAGGTTTAAATCTACCTTTTTTCCCCGGAGGTTTAAATCTACCTTTTTTCCCCGGAGGTTTAGATCTGCCTTTAAAAACATAACAGAAAAGTTAACATATAAGTTACAATTAGGTGAGTTTCTAGAATACTGTGTACAAATGTTTGTCATTTCTACAAAGCATTCAGATTTACCTTAAAAACGTGATGTGCAAATGGCGTCTTTGGAACAAAGGGCAGTAACCCAAGAAGAATTATAGAATTTCGTTTCACTAAAACGACATGTTTCGTCCTACGTAAGACCACTGTCCTTGATTAGACAGACAATCAGCTCCTTTATATAATTTTTGGATAAATCATTTTATCCAAATAATTGAATTCTATTTGAAAGACTCTCAGACTGGTTTTATTAACATTTTCCCACTTTTTTGGCAATGACGTTATATAGTTGACCTTCAAATCAAATCAAATCAAAATTTATTTATTGTCGGTATACATATATTACATTTTACAAAACATAAGCTATGTATAGCTTTTGACCGACCTCAAGATATAATTATCACAGGAACCCGAAATTCTATCCAAAACAAAAAAATAATTATTTAAAAAAAAAACCAATATAAAAAAACACATTTTTTATAGTAGACTCTATATATATATATGGGATTTTTAAAAAAAAAATTGTTTTGGATAGAATTTCGTGTTCCTGTGATAATTATATTACATGTAGAATCTAAATTAATTTGTTGTAGTCTTTTAAAAAATACATTTGTTTAACTAAACTTTGAATACTGATTCGTATGTTAACATCCATGTATAAACAAATGATCAAATCAAGTTTGTGTGCACTCCAGATAACACATCAAAATTGGCCTGATTAATCGATCCAGAATGTTTGCGTAGCTATCTTATCCCACAAGCATTTCAAAATCCCTACAGGAAGATAAAAATGTTTACAAATATAAAGTGACCTAGTGACGGCTATCTAAAATACATTTTGTATGTTCAGATATGACTGTAATTAAACAGGGGGCACATTTACTCGTTTTCGTTGTGATTTTAGCATTTATACTTGAAGGTAAGAAAATATTTTAATGGGTTTTTTAATCGTCTTTTTTTGCGAAATGGTTACCGACAAAGTAAAAAGTATTACTCTTCGCTGTATTGTAATTGTTGTGGTGAAATTTAGGTAAAATTTCTGCCTTTTTAAATATAAATAACTAGTGAATTGTGGCTAATTGTCTGATGTGAGCATTTTGTTTAGTTCACTGTTAATTTTCTATTATTTTCAACAATATTACAGTATCTTCTAAAAACCGACATTTTGATTGGTCAAGATTTTGCTATCACATCCCTCATATGTAACATAATTTTGTATGTAATTCTACACATCACTTGTTTAGTATATCAAAATTTAGTGAAAGATTAAATGTTAACAATGTTACATATGTTGTAAAACACGCAGAAACATGGGGATGTGGAGTTCATTTTTTATATTTCAACGTTTCCAAAATATTATAGAAGTTTATATATGTGCTGGTATTGACAAATAAACAATGTATTAGGATTTTAAAGCGTTTGCAGCTCCACACCCAAACTATCTGTGGTAAAACACATGCCATATATAGAAGTATATATTTTGCAGGATGTCTGATAGAGGCGCGAGGTAGTCGTGGTGGTCGATATAGGTGGGTGTTATTTTAGTTTATAAGTTATCTATATTGTTGATATAAGAAAACAAGAAAAACAAACAAAAAACACATGTAATGCTGGTGAAGATGATGATGATGATGATATTGTTGTTGTTGTTGTTGTCGTTGTTGTTGTCAATGTTGTTGTCGTCGTCGATGATGATGATGATGATGATGATGTTGTTGTTGTTGTTGTTGATGATGATGATGTTGTATTATCGGTTAACTCACTTTACATTTTTACATTAAGAATTGGAAAAAAGCAATTAAATAGCATTTCTAAATCGTTTAGTGGCAACACAAAAGATACATTTTGTAATATTGAATATCTATTTCGTAATACATGTAAATGTACTGATTTTGTCGTGCTAAACGCACGTGGCGTCACACTCATATTTAGTCAACATTGTGCACGTGATTTGTATGGTTTTTTATCCTTTAGAGATTGATGTACTCGTATCTTGATACATTATGAGAAATCAGACGTATGCATTAATTCATGCACTTTTACATTTGTTCCATTAGGAAAGGTGGAGGAAGCGGGGACGTTCCCTGGTGGACCCCACTTGTCTGTGTAGCAGGAGCTGCATTATTAGTTGGTGTTGGTTTACTAGTGACAAAGCTTTGTTTAAAGAAATACTGTCCTATGTATAGTGTGAGATGTTAAACGCTGCGTTCGCTTTGATTAAGCCTGCTCATGTACGAAAGTGATAAATGCAAGCGCACCCTTTACATAATTATTTATGTACCGTCCATAAAAATCATTATTTGAAAATGTCAATTGGAAGCTTCGTAGAAGTAATGTTATGATCATGACACGAATAAAATCAAGCAGCCTTACACTGTCTATTGAGCAACCGACAGTGCAAGATTCTTCTCAGCAGACGACAGTGCAAGATTCTTGTCAGCAGCCGACAGTGCAAGAGTCTTGTCAGCAGCCGACCCGGCAAGAGTCTTCTTAGCAGCCAAAGTGTGTATTGCTTGCTGCATGGAAATGGAAGATGACAGATCTTAGGATATTCTGTTGACATACTAGGCTTGCAGTGAATGACAGAAAAAAATTATTGTCAAAAACATATCCAGATATGCTTATAGAATATGAAAAACAATTGTACCGGTTATTTAGCTGTTTATCATATGCTTCGCACAAAGTTAATACTTTTGACAACAGTATATGTAAATGAACTATTATTTTTTATCTTTACTAATTTGTATAATTTTGTATCCTATTTCAATGTACAAATGACAAATGCTGCTAATTGACAAGAGGGCTATACTCTTTGTAAAGAGAGTTCTTCATTTTGTAGCCTGCACTATTTTTATTCTATCGTATTTTATTGTAAATGTTTTATTAATCATGTGATGCATGTGCCTTTATACTGTTATATTTTATGACTGTATTTATATGGAACTGCATAATACAAATGTATATGACTTGAATAATCAGCATGATCTATTTTCATTGTTATGAACATTACATTGAATTATCAATGAAGATTCGTAGCTAATGTTTCTTGTTATGTATATGTATGTGCCGACTTTAATAAAATTTCTTTTTTTATCTTGTAATATAAATAATTCGTGGGTTTGAGTTCTTCTTGTGTCATAACTATTTTACCTCATTTGTTACCAAACTTATAAGTTCGCACAACAGCTTAAAATTAGTTTAAATTGGCTACATATACAAAATTTCTCAATAATCAAACTGAAATAATTAATGTTCAACTTTAAACTAAACTTTAATTTACTCAATTTTCTCATCATTTTATGTCTAGTTGGAAGCTATGTGCTCTTATAAATGGCATTTAAAAAGTTCATGGAAACCCTAATATACATGTATTACATGTATACTACCTGTATCATTTTTCAATATTCCCTATACATGTAGTTCTGTTCTAGGGTTGTATACTATTAATGCATTGTAGATTTTCAAACTGGTTTCACACTATTGGAGTAAAATAGGTTATTATGTAAGCATAACGAAATATATTTTTTCCAAATAAACTTAGTAAAAAAATGTATAAACAGAAAAGCTTGGAGACTCCTCTTTCAAAAATTATATTCTGTCACAGTGATAAAATTAGACTTCAGAAAATATTTTTGATGCACGTGATTGGTCAGATAGGTATTATTAAGTGATGTTCATTATTTAATACTAAAAATGCTAAACTATGCACATTCGACAGGTGTACCCTGTGGCTATTTCACGAAAAACTCTATTACTAAAATCTGTAAAATTCAACAGGTTAATGAAGAAAAAATGTGTGTGTGTGTGGGGGGGGGGGGGGGGGGGGGTCAAAATGGCATTTTAGTAAACACATACTAGCAAAGTCAATAAGGCTATCAGATACCACCTATGACTAATAGTTAAAGTCAAAGCACAAAAGACGCTGAATTTGTTTGGGTCTCAGAATGTCAGAAAGGTGATGGTTGTGAAATTATAAACCAATTTGTTTTTGTTTAGTGCCACCAATGCTATTGAGTGTTAAAACTGAAGTAAATTAACTATAAGGCTAATTGTAACACTGATATTCAATTTAATGTTTATTTGGCTTAAAAAAGTTGCCTTATCTGGGATTTGAACTCAAGACCTCTCGCTTCCTAACCGAGCGTGTAACCCCTCGACCACTTTAAAGTTTTGAGATAACAGCCTAAAAAAAACATATCATTCTATATTAGGGTTTGTAATCCTTAATAATTTCACGGTAAACCTGTTGTTTAACACTGATGTAAATAATGGAGCTTAATATAAGTGTAAAGAATAATACAATATTAGAAAGCTTCGACCAATCGGGAACTTTTTTTTTTCTTCCCCGAGAATGGCTTGAAAATTAATGCGTCTGTCATTTGACAATCTTTACGCAGTGATTTCCCCTTATTTTTTCGGCGTTAGTGTACTTATAATGGGAAGTAACCGCTTCGAGGAGGTTGGACTACTTTGGATATTTGCAAATAAGCACATCAGGGTCTGAAATTTCGCTACCATTATTTGTTTGGTCTGACGACCCAAACAAATAAAAATCACTTATATGAACTGAAAAAAAATGTTTTCACTATTGTACAAATTACCCGCCAGACATTGAATACGTTTCTGTACTATATGGGCACCTTCATCTAAAAAAGTCTAATGTAAAACAATCGTGAGAAGATGTACAGGGTTCTAAGTGCCACTAGGGTGCTACGAGAATTATCTGGTAAAAAGGTGAAAGATAATTGAATTTAGGAATTCCCATTCTAGAATATAGTAAAAACAAAATAGAGAAGACATGACAGAAACTAACAGATTACTCTACAAAATCGAAAAATAAACAGACAAAGAAATATTATCAATAAGAGAGAGAACCAACAACAGGGGACATAGGGGACATTAAGAATTTACACAAGAAAAAAATATATTTAGTCACAGAGTTAGAACGTACTAAGTCCTGAATTCGTGGAGGCTTTAATTCTTTTATGTGAAGGTCGAATAAGCAGGCAGTTTAAAATAAGTTGAATGCAATGTGCTATCAAACCCAATGAAGTCCGGCATACCTAAATACAAATTAATGAATAGTGACAGTGTTAAAAATTGACAAGTTAAGCGGTCTGTCTTTTTAAATGTAATTATTACCGTGTAAAATGTGCTATATCTGTAATGTAACGCTTAAATTCCAATATTTTAAAAACAAATAATGTGAAAAAGGACCATCAAAATGGGGACAACGAAAAGGAAAACAGCCTAAGAAGATTAGCTCAGCATCGGGTCTTGGTCGATGATGACCACCTGAGCTTCGTACTCGTACCCCGGTCAAACGCTATGATCCTTAGCGTAAGACATAAAGCTCACTATAAAACATGGGACCAAAAATAATTGGTATATTTTTGGTCCCAGATAAAAAAACTCAAACATATTTCCGTATTTCACTGGTGTCTTGCTGGACTACTAAAATTCTTCTAAATTCAGCCAAAACACAAAAGTTTATTTGATATCTTTCAAATTTTAATGACAAAAAAGAGAAAAATGTATATTCAAGTTTTTTTTTCTATAAATACTGAATTTATTTTCATCTTGTGGTATGAAAGTTATCATATTTCACTCATGAAATATTTATTTTCATACCACTCGATGAAAATAAAGTCAGTATTCATAGAAAAAACTTAAATATCATATCTACACGTACATGTATTCGCGGGAAATGTTTAGACATGTTGATCAACGCAATATATTATGTGAGGGATACTCTAACGTCATCATCTTAAAGAAATATGCGCCGTGCCACGACAAAACCAACATAGTGCGTTTGCGACAAGCATGGATCCAGACCAGCCTGCGCATCCGCGCAGTCTGATCAGGATCCATGCTGTTCGCTATCAGTTTCTGTACTTGTAACAGAGTTGGTAAGCGAACAGCATGGATCCTGATCAGACTGCGCGGATGCGCAAGGCTGGTCTGGATTCATGCTGGTCGTAAACGCACTATGTTGGTTTTGTCGTGACACGGCTCAATTATTAGCAATCACATATCACCTTTTGATAGAAGGTCTTTCATAACTGTTATAGCAAGTTTATTGGCATCAGGGATCTATTTGAAAGACCCTGTTGTCATCTACCTACCAAATTCAATTGAATAATAATAATAATAATAATAATAATAATAATAATAATAATAATAATAATAATAATAATAATAAAAATAATAATAATAATAATAATAATTGTAATAATACTTATAAAAAAAAACAAAAAACATGTAGCTATAAAAAAACTTGTATATTATTGGAGTTATATTATTGGCAGATAACAACGTGCACATGTGAGATGAAGGTTTAACACGTGCGCACGTGGTAACTAACGTGTGCATGTGAAAAAAAAAATTGCCGATGTCTCCTATGTGTCACTGTAGTTAAACCAAAGAGAGGGGTCATAAAACTATAATTACAAGTTCTTAGAAAATAATTGTTATATCATTTCGTTAGAATGATTCTTTTTTCGCGAAGAAAATCTTTTCGCAGTTAAAATCCAAGCATTAAAATGATAGAGTTTACAACAATTACAAGCGTTTAAATGACAGAGAAGAATAAAATCCTCCCAAATTGATTTTATAGAAATTCCTTTTCTGTATCTGCTTAATTTGAATATCTCAAGATGTCAAGACAAGCCAGTCGAGCAAGTGATCCTAGGAAAGTGGTATGTATATTGTTGTGTGTTATGGGAGAATTGCAGTTACTACTAATTTCACATAGATACATAGTAATCGGATAAGTGAATGTCCGGATATAAGTGGCATAGAATTTAAAGCCGCAAAAATCCCTGCCCTGGTAGGGAGAATTTTGTAGGCGTGTTTATCAGATAAATCATGCAAAGGACGCTGTACCTGTGCTAAATTTAGCTGATGTAAACAAACACTATAGCAGACGATTACTGATCAGCAGCTCCCTTCCTATAGTAATATTTCAAGTTTCTACTGGAAAGTTAACACTGCCACGTGTATTTGTTTACAACCTGCAGTTCATGACCCCATTTACTCCGCCCCGGGATTTTCAAATTTTTGACAGTTAACTGATTTTTTTTTTCACAAAGTACATTTAAGTGAATCTTTTGTGATATTTTCTCTGCCATTTTATTTCAAATGTTGCAAAGAAGTTATACAAAAAGTTTTTAGGCAAAATACTTCTTGGTTATTTTACTATTTCAAAAAAGGGCTGTTAGATGTGAAGCATGTCAAAAATACCATGAAAATCTGCCCCAGCGCCATCTAGTGGCTTAAATAGTCAAGTTGCAGGTTTAAATAACAACCGAAATGTAATATCAGGAAAATAGTTATTGATATTTGAAAAAAAAGTTTAAAAAAAGTGTTTTGTTATGTAATATTTTATGATATCCTGAATTGTGGTCATGCATTGTTGAAGTCGCTAGCTGTACGACTAGTCAAAAGTTCTAGCTATAAGTGAGTCACATGCGCATGGGCATAGCCAGGACACACTGTTTTGTCTAAATTATACGAAAGTCTAAAATGCATATGTTATTTTGTGTTTTATGTGAGTTTTTTTTTTTAACCAAGAACCCGCATATGTTTACTTTTATAAAGAGATGTTCCGCCTTTTTTTGTAAAAAAAGGAAATGCAGGCATTGTCATATTAATAAAAGTGTCAAAGTTACATGACACATGATACAAAGTACATTGTATATGTGTATGCAAAGTTATATTTATGATTTAATGATAAATAGCTTAAATTAAAACGTCGTTTTTTATGCTTTTGATTTTTTGTTTTATTTATATGAAAGATGAATTATTAAATCATTTTTTATTAAGCACATGGAATAAATAATCATAACAATTTCAAGAATAAACAAATTCTCACTAGAACCCTGGCATGTATTTATTTGTATAATTGTATTTTTAAATAGATAAATATCGATCATAGACTAAGAGCTAAATGTATGTATATCTGTGGTAAGTTATAACGAACAAAAAAACACAACCAATTAGCCTAAATATGCCTATACAGGGACTGACAATACTCTAAGTAATTGACGCAATTATCACACCCAAAGGTGCTTTTTTCATATTTAAAGGTGCTGAAAATAAAACTTATTGAAACAAAAAAGGATATTGACTAAAAATATTTAAAAATCGATTTCAATTGATTTAACATCAATTGAAATCGTTTACATAATTATTAATATGAAATTAGGTGCTACCTATGGCGCGGAAAGCTCTTATGAATTATGATTTTAGCATAAAATATTTAGTGTACATGTGAACCAGATCTTTCTTGAAGGTATTTTGTACCATAAAAAACCGAATAAATTGGTGGTGTTCAACCTATCATCGGAGCGCTCGGAATATTCCGAAAATCTCCGAACATAAAGGGGGACCTCTGCGCATGCGTCTGCGTTTGTTAATCTCTAGTCACAGTTGTTGTTTAAATGTTATTTTTAAATTGCCATTCTTTCAAAAAGGATATGTTAAAGTAACTTTTTATACGGGGAAGTCAAAGACCGGGCCCGCGAAGCGGGTCCGGGCTTTGGCTTGCCCGGCTATAGACTACACGTGTATATTTAAAAGAAAATCAAATAAAAAACAATTAAAAAAATATATAGAATTCTATACCTATCAAAGAAATTTTCAGTATCAGTTCTAGTCGGCGCCGCCATTTACAATGTAACTTAATGATAATAGGCGGGGTATTCCGATTACGGAACAAATCTCAACTTTTCGGATTAATAATAATCGTCGAGTGTTCCGAGTGAAAACGGAAGCGGTGCATGTAATACAGAATGACACCTTTAAAACGGAAAGAAGAAAGAATTTTTTTAACGACTTCCCCGTTTATAGGCTTTGCCTAATTTCATATTATTTATAATCGTTACTATAATTCTTAATTCAATGAAATGCAGGTTTATTTTCTGATTTTGTACATCAATCTTTCACCGGAAGTGTTAATTAGCATGCGTCTGCTAGCAAAAGTCTGAATTATGTAGACGTTCATTTAAAGCGCTCTGATATCTATATTTAGCTCAAAAGGATTTCAAAATGGCGGCGCCCGGTTAACTTAGGATTTTTTCACAGCTCATTAGGTATAGGATATATTTTTTTGAAATTTTCATTTAGTTTGAATTTGATTTCATTTGAATTGATACGCGTCATACATGTTATCTAAGAGCGCTACAGCCTTCGCGGGGCCTTTGGCCCCGCTCGGACTTTCCGCATATTATGGAGATGACAACGATTGATATTCATACTGTATTTACTGTAGCCAACATGCGATTAATCTCTAAAAAGTGAACATACAAAGACAATTGTTATTTCTTGGTTGAAATGTTTGTTTAAAGACATAAAATAGCATATGCATTTTCGACTTTTATATAATTTTGAAAAGTGCCATATGGCTAGACAATACAGTGTGTCCTGACTAGCCCTATGTGACTCACGTATGACTAGAACTTTTCATACTGTATTTACTGTAGCCAACATGGCGATTAATCTCTAAACAGTAAACATACAAAGACAATTGTTGTTTCTTGATTGAAATCCTCATTTAAAGACATAAAATACCATATGCATCTTCGACTTTCATATAATTTTGAAAAGTGCCGTACGGCTAGACAATACAGTGTGTCCTGGCTAGCCGTACATGACTCACATATGGCTAGAATTTTTGGCTAGCTGTACAACTAGCCACTTCCTTTTTAATAGGCTGAGCTCACCCGTGCCATGTTTGTTTTAGACTGAATTGAGCCTGTACTGCTTTTACTAATACCAGGTCTTCAACTTTAAGGTATTTCCCAGTGTTTATTATGCCCCCGCCATGTAATGGCCGGGGCATATAGTGTTACCCTGTTCCGTCATTCCGTCCTTCCGTCCTTCTGTCATTCCGTCATCATCAGTTTCCGTTCATTATCTTAAGAACGGTTGCACACATTCAACTCAAATTTGACATATGGATATGTCATGACAAAATACAGGTCAAGTTCGAATTTGGTCATGGTTCGATGATTTTTGGCAGAGTTATGTCCCTTTTACTTTGAAAATAATATGAAATTTTCAGTTTCCGTTCATTATCTCCCCAACGGTACAACACATTCAACTCAGACTTGACATATGGATATGTCATTAGAAAATACAGGTCAAGTTCAAATTTGGTCATGGTTTGATGATTTTTGGCAGAGTTATGCCCCTTTTACTTTGAAAATAATATGAAATTTTCAGTTTCCGTTCATTATCTCCCCAACGGTACAACACATTCAACTCAAACTTGACATATGGATGCGTCAAAAGAATGGGCAGGTCAAGTTCAAATTTGGTCATGGTTCAATGATTTTTGGCAGAGTTATGCCCCTTTCACTTTGAAAGTAATATGAAATTTTCAGTTTCCGTTTATTATCTCTCCAACAGTACAACACATTCAACTCAAATTTGACATATGGATATGATTTTGGAATGCCCAGGCCAAGTTGGAATTTGGTCATGGTTCAATGATTTTTGGCAGAGTTATGCCCCTTTCACTTTGAAAATAATATGAAATTTACAGTTTCTGTTCATTATCTACCCAACAGTGTTACATATTCAACTTAAATTTGACATATGGATATGTCAAAGGAATGGGCAGGTCAAGTTGGAATTTGGTCATGGTTTGATGATTTTTTTGCAGAGTTATGTCCCTTTTACTTTGAAAATAATATAGATACATCTTAGGAATAAGCAGTTTATGTTTAAATTTGGTTGTGGTTCAATGATTTTAGACAAACTTATCTTTCCTGAATGTTGGAAAAATTTTGAACTTTCAGTTTCAGCACTCATACTTTTAGCCATTATTTTGGCTACAAATATGCAATATGCTTTTTTTAAAAGGTTAAGACTGAATAATTTCAGTGTCTTGAACATTGTATGAAAATGGTTTGTGTTAACATTGAAAAGTTTTAAGGGCTTTGAACTTAAAATGAAAAAAATAATTAATGCACCATCTGAAATTTTGGCTGCATGCGGGGGCATCCGTGGCATGATGACACATTTCTAGTTTTAAATATATATAATATTTTGTGCTTGTTATTTTTCATTTCACTTTATAACTTTTCTTTGTGGCTAGAAGCTACAGTGGTCTCTTTCTTGCAAGGGAACATATGTTTAAATTATTAAGGTGTTCAGAAATGAATCTTTGAGATAGGTATGTGTAGTATTCTCAGCTAACCTGTGTTTTGCATTTTAATTTCAGAATGGTGAATTATTCACGCTCACTTACGGTGCCCTAGTTGCACAGTTGTTAAGAGACTTTGAAGATGATGAAGAAGTTAACAAACAGCTAGAGAAAATGTAATAATATTTCCAGTATGATAATTGATTTAGATGTCTCTTTAAGAGTGGCTTTGATTTAAATGTTACTAAAGATGTCTGCCTCTGTAAACAGGGAATTGGGTTTAGATCATGTTTCCTTGAATGAAACCAGTACTGGTTTGTCTGAAGGCAGACTTTGAATAATCTGAAATGTAAAAAAGCATGCAGCTTACTAAAAAAATAAGACAAGCAACTTACATATAGTGTTATATCTAAACAATATAAGATTGTAAGGACCTAAGAATGGTTATCAGACTTAGTTTAAAACTAGTCCAGACTCTGCCAAGTTTGTAAATATCTTAGAAGTGAATTTGGGAAAATACAGAAATTTTAATTGACAGCAACATCCATTTTGAATATTGAATTATTTTGGGTACTTTTAAATTGACGTTTGAGAAGAATAGCAGATGGGATTGGATCTATGATTCTATCTTCATCTACCAAACCTGTCGGTAGAAGAAAAAAGTGCACCTTTTAATTTTCTAGCTACATTTAAAAAAAATCTTCATATAACATTTATAAAAATGACCTTTTTAAAGTATTGATTACCTTTTTGTTTGTTATAATTTTGAAGAACAAATATATTGACAGTTTATCTCGTTCAAGTTTGTAACATAATTGCCTTGAATCATTCTAGGGGATATAATATTGGTGTGAGGCTGATAGAGGACTTTTTAGCTAGATCTAACTCTGGGAGATGTAATGATTTCCGGGAGACGGCAGATGTTATTTCAAAGGTTTGCAGTAAAATCTGTTAATAAATTTTTTTAACAATTTTTTGAGTGTCGGGTTGCGATAATAACATAATAATATAGTGTCATGCTAGTTAGCACTTCTTTACAATCAAATAATACTCTATAGCATTGGCTGCTCAATTTAAGCTCTTTAAATGTGGCATATATTTGTCTAAAGAATACATATTGTTTGTTTTATGAAATTGTATTGCTGTTGATTTTATTTTAGTTTTTTTCAATTTGTACACCACCATTGAATATATTTATAAAATTAGGCGTTTAATCAAATAAACAAGTTTCAAGAACTTATTATTGAGCTCAATCTTTCCAGTTCTTCACTCTTTAGTTATTTTGTTTCATGACAGATTTTCTTATGTATTGTTTGTATTTCAGATGGCTTTTAAGATGTACTTAGGTATAACACCTGTTGTGAGTAACTGGAGCGCAGCTGGTGACGAATTCTCTCTTCTCATAGAAAATAATCCATTGATTGATTTTGTAGAGCTTCCTGATGGTCATAATGCATTAAACTATTCTAATTTACTGTGTGGTGTATTAAAAGGTGCACTTGAAATGGTATGTACATGATACACGATTTGATGCTGAAATGATTTTCAATAGACAAGTCAAGGGAATCAAAAGATATGATCTTTGTTTACAGATTGCTTTTAAATATAGTAAGGTCACACAGCAGAAGGTCATGCGAGAAATATTTAGAAATACAAAAGCTATTTTTTAAGTAGTATTTAAATGTACAGTAGAGATATTTACATGAAACTTTGTAGGTAGATAGATCTCTTTGTGTAGAAGTGCAGTGCTAAAGAACTATAACTCTGTCTTGCCAGATTTTGGAGTTATTGCGCTTTGTTCATTTTTACACTTTGAACTTTGTTCGGGACATAACTCTGAAACTATAAGAGATATCAACATGAAACTTTGTAGGTAGATAGATGTTATTGTGTAGAAGTGCAGTGCAAAAAAAAACTCTGTCTTGTCTTATTTTGGAGTTATTGCTCTTTGTTTATTTTTACATTTTGAAGTATGTCCAGGACATAACTCTAAACTCTAAGAGATATCAACATGAAACTTTGTAGGTAGATAGATGTCATTGTGTAGAAGTGCAGTGCTAAAGTACCATAACTCTGTCTTGCCGTATTTTGGAGTTATTGCTCTTTGTTCATTTTTACACTTTGAACTTTACCTGGGACATAACTCAGAAACTACAAGAGATGTCAACATGAAACTTTATAGGTAGATAGATGTCATTGAATAGAAAGTGCCTGGGTGCCAGTTTTCAGGGATATGCCTTAAGTTCAGGTTTTTTGTGACAAATTTCATCATGTTTTACTATTAGATTATGTAGGGAAATGATTATGAATAAAGGATTTCAGGTTTTTCCAAATTTTCAACTTGCACCCATGAAAGTGCAGTGCAAAGAACCATAAATCTGGCTTGCCTAATTTTGGAGTTATTGTCCTTTGTTTATTTTTTTACTTTTCTGTGTCCAAAACCTGCTCGGGGAGCATTACCCGGTTCAACCCGTTCTTGTATCCTGTAAGAAACTATCCAGGTAGCTTACTAAGGATGATGGTTCTATTCAGGTGTCTACTTGTCCCTGAAATGATGCATCAAATGGCACCTGAAGTCTTCATAATCATATGATCTCTTGTATTTTTTTGCTTGGGTTCATTTAACGTTGTACCAACACAGAAGAGGTCAGATTCGAACCCACAGCGGTGAAGGGAAAGTGGTTTGAAATTGATGACCTAAGCCTTTTAACCATGGATGGCCCTATTCAGATGAGCTTAATATAGTTGACATGACATAAATGCATTAAAATTAAAAGTCATTTCAATATTTTTGTGATATATCTTTCTTCTTTAGTATGTTTTATGGTTTAGGCTAATTTCTTTTATGGTTTCAGGTCCAAATGGAAGTAGATGTCAAATTTGTACAGGACCAATTGAAGGGCGATAGTGTCACAGAACTAAGACTGAAATTTGTGAAAAGACTAGAAGATGCCGTACCAGTGGGAGAAGACTAGTTTTAATATTCAGCTAATCAGTGCGGTGTTTAAATGATGTTTTATATTGTGTGTATGTTTAATCATTGATATTTGTATATGAAGATGAATTTTTGACAAGGAAGGAAGAGTGGTTGCTGATTAATGGGATCAACATTAATTCATAACAACTTCTTCACTGACCATATTTACATGTACTTTGTAAACTTTATTTGTTAACAAATGAAAAGTAATTTTTTGTAGGTATTCGGTATTGTAAACAGTATTTTCTTATCTATTATCTGTCTGTCTGTCTGTTTGTCTTAAAGATTTCACTTATAGAAGCAAGTCTCTGCTAATTATTTTCACTGTTTTCATGTTTCTTTATAGTTTATATTATATTCTGATACAAGTCTAAACTTTATGAAATACATATATAGATAATAATGAAGCATATAACACAAAATACATTGTATTTAATACTGACAAGGAAGGTTTCAAACTTGGTGTACCTGTTCATGATTAAATTTTTTATTATCAAAGTTGGAATGTATTTAAAAGTAATTCATTTTTGCTCAGTCATGCCTATTTTCTTGCTTAAAAATTTCTTGGTCACTATTTTTGTTAAGGTACATTTCTTAACAGTTATCTTAGATATCCACTTCAAACTTAAGACACTTGTTCACTTTCAAAGTATTTTAGTTCTTTTTATATTGAGAATGATTTCCTAATTTTTAAGAAACTGTTCGAGATATTCATTTCAAACTTGTTAATTGTCAAAGGCAGGTGAATCTGTCGCACACTTTTGCAGCATTACGTCCCTTTTTCTACTTTTCTTTCAACTATCCAGCTCTGCGAAAAATTGAGTGAATTGACCTCAGGTAGTATATTATTCATAAGTATAGATAATATCAGCTTGGAAACTTTGAATACATATGCTTTAACACAACCATCAACTAAGTGTATTGGCAAAAGTAACTCTGTCGGGAGGTTTTTCTGAATCATGCATATTTAAAAAAAAAAAGGGTTTTTATTCAACTTTCAGAGCATGACAAGCTCTTGTTACTTCTGATTTGAGTACATTTTGTACATGAACGTGTTATTTTCACTTGTTCTGAGTATCTCTTTTATTTGTATTCAAATAAGACATTTATATTCATTCAGCAATTTTTATTTGTCATAACATATACCCTGTTGGTAGCAAAAGTGATAAGCACTGTCAGGCCAGCCTGTGCATCCATGATGTCTGACAAGGCTCTATATTGTTGGTAGCTTGATGTTGGTATTTTGATATTAAAACCCATTCACTTTTATTGGATTGTTCCAAATTCATGGTTAGGTAAATCCATTACACGGATTCAGTATGTTAAGGATTAACACCAATTTTTTCAGTATAGTTAAGTGAAATATATGTAATTCACTAGTAGTTCATGGACAATGAAACATTCCATATTAGCTATGTTCAATATTGGGGGAATGTATTAAACAAACATGTTTCTAAAATGATAGAATTGTGCATTGAATTTCTTTCTGCATTTGTTTTTCACAACATTTGTCCATTTCTTAATGATATACATCTGGGACAATAGATAAAGTTATCTTTTGTACCAGTATACATGTAGTAATATTGTAGTCTGTTGTTATGATTGACATTATACTGAATGAGTAAATGAGCCGTGTCATGACAAAACCAACATAGTGCGTTTGCGACCAGCATGGATCCAGATCAGCCTGCGCATCCGCGCAGTCTGATCAGGATCCATGCTGTTCGCTACCAGTTTCTTTAATTGTTATAGGGTCTGTAAGCGAACAGCATGGATCCTGATCAGACTGCGCGGATGCGCAGGCTGGTCTGGATCCATGCTGGTCGCAAAGCCATTATGTTGGTTTTGTCATGACACGGCTCAAATGATCTAAACCCAAGTGTCCAGTTGTCTGTTTTTAACAAATGTTTAAACAAGTAACTTTGCACAAGTACTTTGAATTTCACTTTTAGATAAAATGTAGAATTGTTGTATTACTGTTAATTACAATCATGAATTAGCAAATGATTCTCTCGTTTGTCATTATCTTTGTTTTACAAAAATAAATAGGTATTTCAAACCTCGATTAGTTAAAGATATGTTTCCATCTTGTTAAATGGGATATGTGATGAAGATATTATATTATAAGGTTTCAAATGTAATTACAGATGAAGTTTTGTCCTCTTCAATCACTTACTTTGATTTTTTTAAATGTGTATTTGCTAATACTTCCGCTGTTCAGGAGTGCATTTTTTGACAGATTATTATTTATGGTTATATTAATTTGTTATGTGCAATATGTGAATAAATGAAACTAAAATAAACAGATTTATGTTTTGTTTCTTTTTGCATAGAGTTGACTTTATATCATTAGTTATAAAGATTGTTGACCGGTTATATGGCCCTATTTAAACGGCTTTTTGTAAATATAACCGGATCCGCTAGGCCATATAACCTTTTGGCAATCTTTATAACGAATACAGCGAGCATCATTTTTTAGGGAAAAAAGTAAGTTTTATTTATGAATCGACAACAACCGTGTAAATAAAATTATATAAAAGTCACGATTATCCAATGAAAAGCGACGTTACGTGCAGTATTATAATGCTATTTATAAAAGCCTGGGGGTGGAGGTCATATGCATTGTGATTGATTATGAATTCCTTTCTACGGTCACTCGCACTGCACGTACAGAAGCTAACAGTTGGCAACTAGTACTGATAAACTGATTGACAACCTGCCCACGAACGATGCGGTAGCTGAACTGTGCTCTTGTGAATTCAAAGTGGCTTATTGCCGTGATCCGGAGGGTACCACCGCCACAATACTGATCCATATTATTCTATCTTATGAGCGTAAGAGAGAGATGTAATAAGTAATATAAAATGAATTACATTTACAAAGTGATTGTGTCTACTTTTTCCCGTTGAAAGATTTATTAAAGTAAGTATTTAGTCAAATTTGCACGTGTTACGACAGTACGTGGCGGTTAGGAAGCAAAGACACACGTGTTCTCTAAGTTCGACTCGTCAGGCAAAATGACGCTAGTTTAACGTACATCTTTTAAGTGGATAATGGAACAACTTAAATGGACAACCAAGTATCAATGGCATTTGCTGGTTTATATTCTGAAAACGGTTGGGGAAATGAAATGTCAATTATTCTAAGACTTCTTTTCAATACTTTTTTTGGCGGGCAGTAGGGGTGGCAGAGTCGAGAGTGATCAAATAAGTTTACAGCTGTATTACAGTAATTATAATAACATCAAACTAGCCTCATTACGCCCGACATTAAATCCACTATATAAACAACACAAACTAATTAAAAGTTATTTTATTTAAATTATTAAATACATGTACATGAAAAGCTTGATACTGTTTCATCCGCTGGCTTGATCGTTTTGAAACTGTTGCCATTTTTCCCTGAAAGATAAAGAAAGAAAATTTTATAGACATGCTGGAATACACGAACAATAATTTATTAAAAGACCACTTATCACATAGTATAAAGAACAGTATCCTTTTATTTTAATACAAATTGTACATTGATAATGTAATTTAAATCCGTGATAATGTCCATGCTGAAAGTATCAGATTCGGCAATATGCAAAAAGAACACTATAAAAACTATTCCAACGTTGTGAACTCCTAACACCATGTATGAATAACATTAAATTGTCTATTGTCTGTTGTATATTTATGAATGTGAATCCATTTAATGTTGTTTCTGGTGTATTTTTTGAATTACTAAGTACGCGCTAGCCAACCGCAGACGTATTACATATTGTTAAGGTACGGCCATCAAGTGCTTGTGAACTTATTTGTTGGGAAAGTAGCAAAATATAAACACGGCAGTAGTTTGACTTCCATACCAATTACTAAATAACTATAAATGTAAATTTTTGCCGAAATTTGCCAATGAGTAACTTTTTGGAGAAAAATATTTTGAAAAATTAAAGTAGAATTTATGAGTCATAATGGGCTTTTAAGCGGTGATTTTAGAGGGGAGTGTCCTATATACATTTACATTTTCAAAAGTTGAAGATCTATGTGTTTTGGAATATTTAACCTTGAATTTAGCAATACAATGTATATTTGATTTAAAATGCATTTTATGGATGTATAACGAGACCATTTCAATGGTCATCAATCGTGATGTTAATATTTTCTTTATAATATTTCACATTAATGTTGATTTTTATTGAATAACCGTTCCGTGTGCTTTATTCATATATATAATATAAACGGATGTAATAATATTTATGAATTAATTTTCATTTGCCGTTTAAATGGGTCATATAACCTGTCAAAAGATATATACAATGTAACTGAAAATATACACGGCTTTAACAAGTTTTCCAATTGATTCTTTTTCTTAAAAATGTCCAGTTTTTTAAGTACAAGTACATTTCGTTCTGAAAGATATCATTAAGTTATATGTCCGTGTTGAGAAGGTTGTTTGCTGTATGTTCGGGTTATCTCATTAGTTCTAAAGATTTTGACAGGTTATATGACCATATGTAAGCGGTTGATCGTATATATAACCCGAGCCGCTAAGCAAGGGTTATATCGCAAATAACCGTTTATATACGATCATATAACATGTCAATAATATTTATAACGAATTAACATACATTACAATACATCAAACGTCCTTTGTTTAAGACAGAATGAAAATTAATTAAAATAAAATGAAGATTATATAAGCGACTCGATCATCCAATGAAAAGCGACGTTGCAAACGTACAGTATTATACAAACTTTTATATTTTAAACTAGACCATTAAAATTGTAAGATTAATATACGAACTTTTCAATTGAAAAAAGCTACATAACAAATTAGGTAAAATATTTCCTGGTTTGCATACTAAATAGACAGATACGCATACTTTTATTTAAAGGAAATTCCTTTATTATATAGATTCTACGTATAAAAGAAATATTGATGAAATATAAAAGCGTATTTATTTTCTATTTTCATGTTATTCTCATCTGTAAAGGTTTTTAATATTTTTCAAACATGTCAATGTTGCAAAAAACTTTAATTTTTAACGAATTCAGTTTTCTATGACTGTGTGAAAATTGTGGTAATCTTTCATACCAATCGATGAAAAACAGAGCTGATAAATAAATATAGTCCGTCAATAATGATCCTGATATAACTATACTTATTAATATTAATAATGTGACTGCCATACAAAATGCTTATTCAATATATCTACCCTTATTGTCACAAATCAACACATGAAAAAGATTGTTCAGTTCAACTGGGATACTGTTAAAGTACACCAAAATTAAAAAAAGCTTTCGAGAAATAAAAAAGAGGCATTTCTGAGGCATAATGGGTCTTTTAATAAAATTGACCCACTCTTTAATCATTTTATAAAACATTTAGGTTATCTTGAGGCAAACTTAGGTATATACAGTTCAATGAATATTTACCTTCGCCGTTACTAGCAATGTCCAGCCACAATGTCAGAGAAGGTGCTAGGTGGTCTTGGAATCTCGTCTTGGTCATGGGTATGATCACTTCCGGCACTCAAGATACTTATGTTTAGTTCATTGTCATTTCTTAAACCCACTAACGGTGACGTTATCGGCTCGGGCTTTGAACCGTACATCTTGGAGTTTAGAGGTGTTGCAGAGGCAGTGTAACGTCGAGCCCTCGGTAAAATATGGTGTTTGGGTTTTACTGGTGTTTCGTTTATTCCAGCTAGAAGATATTCCACTGTGTCATCCGAGGCGGGTGCTCTATGGTTCGCTGTTTTATCTTCCGCTTGCAAAGAAAAGTCAAGCGGTCGTGGTTGGTACATTTTTTCCTCAAAACTTTGAACAGGCGTCTGATACATTGAAGGTATCGGTTCGGCACATAGCGGTTCGAGATACGGGTAGTATGGAATAACTGTCGTCTGGCTTTGTCCGGGTTGATTTGCAACTTCCGGTCTATTCGTGATAAATCGGACATCACACATAGATCTTACATAGTCCATTGCCTGCATATACTCTCGTTGGCGTCTAATATTGTCGTCGTTAATCATCTGTGACAAGTTCCTGATGTACATCATGGCACAACGCAGTGCTCGAATCTTTGACATACGGCGGTGATTCAGGTGAAACTGTTCTGGCAGACACTTCTTTAAATCCTCGAGTGCACCGTTTATCTTTTGCATCCTTATTCTTTCCTGTGAGTTTGCTGTGAGTCTTTTCAGTTCGTTTTCACTGTCTTCATCTTCAATATTCCGTTTTTTACATTTTCGCCCAGGTCTTATTTTGTATTCCGTAGTTTCTTTTTCACACTTTATTTTCAGTGCAACATTGTTCTTACTGTCCTCCATATTTTAATAACTTAACGACTCACACCCAAGCACGCTAAAATTGCTAGTGTTTTTTTTAAAGTTTTCAAATATTGTATCATGTATACTGATGAGCCTCTCTGGCTTACGAAATCACGTGACATTAGGAAAATGACCAATAAAATTGCGATTTTTTGCTAAATGGCAATTTTGGTTCTTAGAGGGCGCGTAACTTTTCGCGCCAAGGTGTTAATCAGCGTCATATGCATTTATCAATTCTTTAGAATACCACCAGTGCCGTGTTTTATTAAGACATTAGACCAGAATATCGTACATATATCATACTTTATCAGTCAATGAAATTCTTCTTATCAAAGATCATCAAAAAAGATTCCAACAATTTGAAAGCGTTTAAGAGAAAAATCATTTCTTCTGAAAACATGTAAATCGGTTTTTAATAGTCATTTTCCGGACAAATAGCCGTAGCGCTGCCACTTTTATTGATGGTCATTGGGAAATAGACGATGGTAGAATACCATTATGTAAGGAGTATTTGATGGTCTAAAACAAATCGTTCAGTCGCAACAGTGCGGAGAAATTAATTCCTAACGCCCATTAAAGATTTTTAAACACTTTATTGCTAGAAACAGGAATTTGAAAACCTTTAGTAAGAATTGAAAAAAATGTACCATATGTAAAAATGTCGAAGATGAATTCCACATAACTAATGATTGCTAATGATTTTGTAAGGAAAGGTACTCGTTTTTTTTTTAAAGAATATACTGCATTTTGTAGCAATATGAAAAAGTGAGACTAGTACATAAACAAGCACCTAAGGTCGTCCCTCACTGACACCCATCACAAGAACAACCAACCCATAGACAAATGATATACATAAATTTCATTAGAAATCCACAAACAGCAGATTGAATACATATTTTAAAACCAAATGCCTGAAAAAAAAACTGTCGAAATCCGCGGAATATTTGATATTTTATACTTTAAGTTTATATGAAATTTGAATAAATCAAACTTTTTTATATACTTATGTATATACATACATAAAATAACATAACATTTTACAATGATACGCATTCATACATAAATACATTAATGTTAATATACAAAACGGTTTGGCTTAAAGTTTAATCATACAAAAATACTTTAATGTAAATATACAAAAGGGTTTGGCTTAAAGTTTTAACAATATAATATAAAATATGCTTACTGTGATGCTATAAAAGTAGATTTTAAACACATCATATGTAAAGTATGATAGTTTACATTATTACATATCATGTAATGTATGATACTTTACATTATTACATATCAATATGACAGGTATGACATTTTACATTACGTCAAGTATGATATTTTACATTATTACATCATAAATATGAATAGTTAATAAAATAGTATATAATTATAATGACATCAAATGTAAGTTTCATTATAGCTCATTTTTATCATTACAGTATATAATCGTTATATAGTATAACGTGTATAAATAAGGCAAAATCGATCATTGTTTCATGAACCGTTTTATATATCACGCGTTTGTAATATTAAAATACGTAATAAGTTATATTGCATTCGACATAAGAGTGAGCGCATTTTTGTCATTGTTATACAGAATTTCTTTTTTATGAAATCATGTCCTGGTCAAGTTTAAAGGTATATAGTTTATCAAACAGGCACGCGGGCCTAGTAGCTTAAAAACTTTATGCCTCCAGATAATTCAAAATATTTCAAGACAAAAAACTTGAGAAAAATTTACTAAGATTTTAAGAAAAGTAAAAAGATTCAAGTATAAATTTACAATTTATGTGCAATTTCGGACTGCACTATTTATCTCCATATTTCTACTGCGTGACTAAAGCAGTAAAGACTATTTTTGCATATTTTGGCCGTTTTTGTTAATTTACTTTCTGGATCGTAAGTGCTGTTTGCAATGTGTAAATTAATATCTTTGTCAGCTTCACAATATTTATCTTTTAAATTTATCTTTTTTTATATGAAAATTAGCATGAATCTGGAGGCACGTTGCTTTAAAACTACATATGTAGCTCAAATAATGAAGCATATTCAGTCTTATCCTGAAAATGAAATTCTGGTTCTAACATTTGAATTAACTCAAACTTAAGGGGAAGCAATTTGGGGCAAGTATTTTTAAACTTGACAGATTACTAAATAGTTGTGATAAAAAAACTCTACTAAAACTATCTTTATTTTTTAAAAACATTATGTTAAAATTTAGATAACACTTTTCATTCTCCGTTCCCTATTTTTTACTTAACTTATATTGAAATTACTTAGTATGATCTCCTATTTTTGTTTATTAACCTAGTCATAATTGTATTCTTTTATGTGCTATTAGTTGATTTTTTTCTGTTATTTTCTGATTGATTGTTTGTTATAACCAGTTGCAAATTACATGCCTTGGTTTAATAAAAACTGAAACTGTAAAAAATATAAGAAATTCAACATTTTTCTTCTTCGAATGTTCGCGGAACTAAGACAATGGATGTCAATAAATTAATTATTAACAAATGATTTGCAAATTATATATCTAACTACAAATCAGTCATTAGTACGTATTTTTGCACGTGCTCGAGTGACATCACAGCATGAAGTTATTCGAAGATCTTTATTACCGATAATCGCCGTAACGTACCGATTAGCACCTAGGTGCGAGATGTTGCGGAACCATTTCCTGACAATCGATGGAATCGTAAAGTGGCGCTGGGTGGTCGGTGATGGGTAATTAATAGCCTTTCTTGTCGTGTAGGGAGTTAAGACAATGTTGATTAACGCTCGATCCTCTGTGAAGTTTCGCAAGAACTTGTTAAATGATGACAGCTCAAGTTATCATTTAGAGATTTTATTGGGAACAATTTGGTAATCATTATAATAACCATTTTTTTTAAATAAAATTGCATAGACACATAAATAATCAATTAAAAACTTTGAAATGACGAAAATTAAAGTGATTTCTTATTCCATAAATGTATCTTCAATACACATAAAGCAGTATTAAAAAGATTTATATTATCGAGACTTAACATGAGTACAATTTCAGGCATTTTTTTTCGGAGTATTTTTTTTTATTCACGAACGTACTCATTTTCTATATATAAAACCAATTAAGGTATTGCTGTATGCAGGATTTTAAGGGTTTCCAACGATTGATTCATGTAATAACTTCCGGCAAAAAAAACAACAAACAAACAAAAAAAAACAAACAAAAAACAAACAAACAAAACACAATTTTAAATGATTTAAAGATGAGTAGGTCTACAATGGGCACATTTTCAATTAGTATTTCAAATATTGCTAAAAACAGTAGAAATGTATCATTTTGGATTTCTTTTTATAAAATACTGCTGGATAAAAAATGTTGATAAAGTTATATTTTAAGTTGATTTAGATGCAGTTTTGTACAACTATGTCCGTCGTAAATGCATTTAGTTTTCGGTAGATTATGTCATTTTTGATAAAAAAAAACATACACTGATTCAACCTTATATATACTAATGATGATTTAATTGCACATCATTGATGTGGCATTTCCTCGTACTCTGGTCCTGCCCACCACAAAACAACAACAACAACAAAACAATAAACAATCAGGCGGCTAGTGACTAATACAAAGGTAATGAGGCATAGTATAAATCAGTCATTAAATTGATTATTATACATGTAAAACATAATGTTAAATAATTTTATACGCTGTTTTATATTACACACAATAATACGGTTCTATCAAATCACTGTGGCATTTTTACAGGGTATTTTTTGAACCAGGGTGACGCATGATTAGAGTACTTCATTGAATAAAACCCTTTTTGTTCTTCTTTTATTCTTCATATGCAAATACCGTCAATGGGCCTGATAGACAAGTATTGTTTGATTTAAGATAATAAAAAAGACACTGATTACGGATAATCGATAACGAGTATTAATGAAATCCAATCAGTTTATCCCTTTAACCTATTTGTTAGAGCACTAAGATTTATTCAACAGGTAGCTAAATCAGTAAAATACGAACAACGTCAGTTTTAGATACGTTCAACAGCAGTTGAACAAGAAATGGTATATATCATTAATATATATTATGCAATACTATCTTTTTTACATTGTAACATGTTTATTTAAAAAAATAGTTGTAGCCCGACAATGCGAGTACAATGCAAGTAAACAAATTCTTGCAGCTTTTGTGAATCACTTTCGAGCCGGCTTCCTGGAACTAATCAGAACTGGTGTCTTTAGAAGTAACAGCCGTCCTTGGCCAGAGTATAGCTTGAACCATCGGTCTTTGAGTTGGGAGGCAGGCACCTTAATCACAAAGCAATTGTTGCCATAGACAAGTAATCGCCGAAAATATACTGACGTTACGTTATGTTACGCCGTTGTAAAAGCAAACTTCCATTGTAATATTTCCTTTATACTGATAAACAACAACAACAACAAAATAAAACAGAGAACTAAGTCAGATTGTAACCGTTGATGTTGGTAAATCCCGGAGCAATCCATACACGCACATTGACAATCTTATAAATGAAATAAAAATAAATCAAAACGAGAAGTCGAAAGAAGAAAATGAATGAATTTGCATTCATTCATTTATTTATAAAGGGAACTATGTATATTCATTTTTTAAAGAGTCGCAACAACGTTCCGATCTGCCGTTAAAGGAATTCTTCTTATAGTTTGAGCGCGTGGAGTCGTATCTATTTAAACTGTCGTCTGATGACAGCAGTATATACCGGGTGGATTATTGTTTCAATCATAACTGTGAAATAGCAGACCCCACTTTACAAAAATGACACGTAAAATTCTCGGTGCGTATTACCTTCACGTATTTGTAATACTTAAAATGCATAGTATAGTATTGATGGCAGATTTGTCATTATAAATAAAACAGGAAACATTATAAAGTGTATCTTTACAAAAACATACATTATTTATCATGTTTAATTAATTTTCGGATATTAATTTAAGGTTTTTTATTGCTTCTTTTTAAGGTAAGCGATTTTCTTATCTATTTTTTCTGTATCTACATGCTCATGTCATTAACTGGTATATATAAGGATTTTTGGCGGATAAATATAATACATGTACATGAATTTTTCCCGTTTTTATTTTTCCAGATTTAATTCACTAACCAAAAGTTTGAGCCTTGTGACCATATTCCGACAAAACCAAAAATACAAAATACACAAATATATAGTATACATCTTTTAGAAACTGTTTAATGTACCAAATTTTCACGTCCGTGTGAACAAGAACATAAATGTTCATTATAAATATACAGAAGTATTTTTGTAAGCCTTTTTTTTCTAAACTGTACCAAGCTATATATCATCAGCAAATCTTGAAGAAAAAACAACTAACTTTCGAATTCTTGCATGATAAAAATGTTTGTATGTTAAAGCAGAATACCTCCAGATTCATGTTAATTTTCATGAAAATTTTAAAGTAAAACATTGTGTAGTGAACATAGAAAGTAATTTACACGTTACAAACGTGAATTACTATCCATGTAAATTACCAAAAATATATCAAAATATGCAAAAATACCTCTTGCTGCGTTAGTCACGCAGTAAAAATATGGTGATAAATACTGCAAAATCAGTCATTAATCGCACAGAACATGTAATTTAATACTTGTATCTTGAATCGTTTTACTTTTCTTTTAATCATAGAACTTTTTTATGCTTGTTTTTCTTGAAATATGTTTTGCCTCATCTTGAGGCAAGCAGCTTTAAGAGCGGGTGGCGCATTCACGAAATCATTGCTTACCAGTAAAAACCCTACCGCAACAGTTTCTTCTGTTTTCATACAATATTCATCTGTGCTAAATTATAGGGACATCTTTTTGAGAATCTATTACATGATTTATGGTAACACCATGATCTTACTGTTTAAAAAATAAAAATATTCATTAATGAAGCTTTGTACCTTTAATACTTATGTGAAACCAAACGACTTTGAGCAGATTTTTTTTAGTACAAACATTCATTCAAGTATATAGAAAATTGATTCGCTTCTTTGAAAATTAGAATTTATTACAGTCTCATATTTACACGTAAACAACATTGAGTGACGATAGCTAAATTTTGCCATGTAAAACGTTTGTGCCCGGACGAGAATGGTGAAAAAGAGAAAATGACAAGGTTTTTGCTCAGTTGCCTTTTTCACAAACACACTAAGATATATCATAATAATTCATTAATTAAAGAAACCAAAATGGATCATTAAAAACTGCTTAATATATGTATGTTTGTATATTAAGGTATCTTTTTCTTTTCTTTGTTTATATTTTGCTCTAAGATTACAACCTAGTGTAAGAAATATATTTTTTTATTTTAAAGGGACTCCACTGAGTTTAAAAGCTTTGAATTTCATACATAAATCAGCTGGGGGCACTTAAAACAGAAATATATGCAAAGATAGTTAAGAAATATACTTTGAAATAAATTGAAAATCGTATTTTTATGCTTTTCTTAGCCCGATTTGAGTTAAAGCGTTTAAATGCTTTTGATTTTGGGTCATTTCATTTGTTTACAATTTGAAAAATTATTTTCAATCCCATTATGTAAAAAAAAGACAACCTCAGTGGAGTCCCTTTAATCAAGGATGATAAATTAAATATATTTCAAGCCTGCCACGTATACGAACATATACCGTCATAGATGTATTGTAAGGCCTTTATAAACCAGATTTCGGGCTCATTCCCTTTCATGTCTGTATCGGGTAGGTTTGTATTTTTATATGTATATGTGCTTCGAATTTTTGTTTGAAATCAACTTTACATAAATGTACACCTATGTTTTAACATGAACAGACCGCTAATTTAAGTGAGCCTTGATGTTGAATTCATCGCAGAAATATATCAATGCCTTCGCTACACAAGACTCTGTTAGATACTTTATAAAGTTATATTAATACTTAACAAGTCTATGCACCCTAAATATGGAACTATTTTTTCAGTGAAGTGAAGCAGGTAAATCTGCAAACTGTCTCTTGAAGTTATTCGATATTTCCAGATAATTTACAATATTTGCGGACCATTAATAAATTCTGGACCTATCAGTTGCATCTGATATCTTCCTGACAGAACAAGGCTGAACGACACTAAATCATGCGAAAACTGATCACCATAAAATGGATATAATTTGTAAAACACATTATAGCGTTGTATAAAGACAAATATTTTCCAACACATTAATAGATAGAATAATCTAACTGCCCATTTAGATATTGTCAAAAATCGATCACTCCTGTATAAAAACAAATAACTCGTTCAGTATCTATAAAACCAATCTGGGAACCAATTGTGCCCGGTCTGCAATCTAACTAAACCATCTTTTAACTATTGTATGTTATTCATTTTTCTTAACTCTTTGATGGTATGTATGGAAGTAGATATCACTGATTTTTTGGACTAGATTACTGGATTATTATAATAGAGCATAAATTCACAAATATAGCTTGTACACGTCTACATTACATTACATAATTGAGAATTCATAAATATTGGATTGTAAGTAGAAATGGTGATAATAATGATCCTAATAATAATGATGATGATATTATAATGATATTGATGATAATGAAGGTGATGATGATGACAGTTATTATAATGATAATTACGATGATGATAATTATGATGATGATAATTATGATGATGATACTTATAATGGTAATAATAACAAGAGTATCTTCTCCGGGAATATGCTCCCTTTTCACAGTAATAATAATAATAATGATGATGATGATGATGATGATGATGATGATGATGATGATGATAATTATGATGAAGAAGTAGATGATGATGATGATAATGGTGATGATGATGGTGGTGATGATGATGATGATTCTCCTTCTTCTTCTTCTTCTTCGTCGTCGTCGTCTTCTTCTTCTTCGTCGTCCTCTCCGTCTTCTTCTTCTTATGATGAGGATAATGATGATCGCACAAAAATATGATGATCATAACACATTTCCATTTGTAAAAGACGATAAACTATTGAGCGCAATGCTCAGTTTTAAAATTCTTTTCAAATAATGTGTCTTTTTTAAATAACATGACACCAATATATACTGTATACGTAGATTGTAGATTTGATCTACAACATCTTAAATCATTTATAAATCAGCTAAGTGCTCATTGTTTCTTTGTCACGCTCTTAAGGAATGGTTTGTTTTAAAAGTGCAGGATTAGAGAAAATTTATGAGGTGCGTGTGTCTTAATATATGTGTGTGAAAATTTAACAGGTGAGAGAAAACGGAATAACGTAGAAACCGCTTTATGATTTTAAAAAAAACTTTTTATATGTTATGCTAATATTTCATAACATGGAAATGACAAAAATAAATTGGTGTTGAAAATGAAGTATTTTAGGATAATGCACTGTCTGAAATGTATTTAAAGGTAACAGAATACAGTTGTATACTATTTTAGAGTAATGCAACGTGGTTTTATAATGGTAGTGAAATGAAATTTGAAGTGTAATACAATAAATGTAATTTTTAGGAATTTTCTATTTTAGAGTAATGCAATACAGAAGCTTCTTGTTATAGGACTATATGGTATTACGAGTAATGCAATGCATATATTTTCGAGTAATGCAATATAGAAGATTCTTTTCATAGGACACTATAATACACCAAGTAATGCAATGTATACATTTCAGAGTAATGCATTTTAGAAGATTCTTTTCATATGACTATGTGATATTTTCGAGTAATGCAATGTATATATTTTTGAGTAATGCAATAAAGAAGATTCTTTTGATAGGACAATATGATATTTTAGAGTAATGGAGCGTATATATTTTAGAGTAATGCAATGTATATTATAAGATTTTTTTCAAAGGACAATATGATATTTTCGAGTAATCGATGCATATATTTTAGAGTAATGCAATATAGAAGATTCTTTTCACAGGACAATATGATATTTTAGAGTAATGCAATGCATATATTCCAGGGTGATGCAATACACAGGTAGATATATTATGGTAATATAATATTATGATTTAGCGATGCGATCTAATGTTTTAGGCTTATGAAATATGTATATATTAGCACAATTTAGTAAAGATGTAATTAAAGTAATACAATATCATATTTCAGTGTTATGCAAAGTCACAATAATATTTCAGTGTCAAACATTGTGATATTTTAGAATATTGCAAGTTATCATTTTTTAATTAAAATGTCCTGTAATATCAAGGTAAGGAAACTTTTACACTCATTGCTCAGTACAGGTTTGTTCCAGGAACAAATTCGAGAGTGTTTCAATAAGTTTATAGCCCAAACACAGTCGAACTAAAATTGAATAGTGTAAACTAAGGTAGAGAAATGAAATAAAATATTCTGTAACAACGAAGGTTTCAGGGTCATTCAAAGAAACATGTTTGGCAAAAAAAATCAAAGATTTCTCATGATTCCATCATTTAATATGTTACATGTATATAAACGTTACGCTGAATCAAATGAAATAATTACATATTTCATAAAAAAAATTTAGTAATGAATATTATTCTTCACTCAAAATATATAAAACAATTGAAGCAGAAAAATGTCTTGCTGGCAATATTTGTTTTTATAGACTTTAATGAGGTATCAAGGGTGCAATTTGTAACTTTATAAATCATTTGAATTTCTTTATTATATCATATCCTTGCTTTACAGTGAACTTTATCAGGTCGTTACACTTCTTCAAGTATTATTTGTTTAAGAAACAAAAATAAATAAAATAGATTTCATTGTGTATAATAACCTACAAATTAAAGTTCTTTTAACATATTGTTTTCATAAATTTGACATGAACATATTGAAAATTGTGCTCAAAATTGGAACGAAAATGTGTGTTCTGATCATACATTGGGGGGAAAAGAAATCGTAGAATTTAGTCTGAAAGTAATGGACCACGCGCTAATTCCACGCCTAAAATGCGAAAAGATTCTTGATCTGAAATGCGAATCCCACAAAAAATGAATAAACGATTTTTTTTTATTTCAAATCATTTGAGTACATGAATTATTCTATCTTGAAGAGTTTCACAGCTATTGACAGGTAGGAGGAAAATTCTGACGGAACCAAATAAACATGATAAACTTTAAGGATTATTTCTAGAGTGCTTCAAAATCCTAAATAATGCAGTTCACCTGCAGATACTTGAAATTCACCTAGTTTAGAAGATTTATTAATGTGTACGACATGGCATTAGAAGAAATAACACGTATTTAAGCAGTTGTTTATGATGATATTAAGTCAATGGTAAAAATAACTTAATACATGTGTACATGTATATGCATCTAGTGTATGCTATTAAATATTCACAAATCTATCTGTTCATTAGGATTATTCCTTTTTATCAATCATTGAGTGCAGCACGTTACTCTGAACATGTCAGGTAGACGAAAAAATTATTCGTTCTAAAATGTTCACTCAAAAGTCAAAGTATCTCATGATTTTGAGTAAATTCTACTTCGTTCGTAAAGTAAAAGTTAACCCAAACTTTGCGATATCCGTAACTCGCCGCAAAATCTGAAAAGTGTTGTTATTTTTATATTTTAGATAGTACTGCGGATGGAATCAATGATATAATCACCAATTTCATAAAGGAGATATTGTTAGGAGTTTGAATATAAATTCATATATTTCTTTCTTATATGTATGTACCAAGTAGTTTTATTATGCCTTTATGTTTTTAAACACTTTTGGAGAATTTTGAAGAATGAAACCGTGTAGTCATTCAGGATAAAATTAGCGATTGTTGCAAAAAAGCAGTTGTTTCTGCTGATAATAATACCATCTCTGAAAAATTACTGCTATTTTAAGTGTTGAGTTTTTATATTAGCTTGAATGTAAAGAAAAAAGTGCGAACGAGACTGTGAGACCATCTGAGTAATCAGTATATACAGTTAAACCTGTTTTCAAAGACCAGTGTAGGATATAAAAAAGGCATTCTCCCAAATAGGGTATTGCCATATACATGTACTGAAACTTACCAGGTTAAGGATATATAGTTTAGCACTATATGGCTGTCCCTAAAGGGACAATAAAATGTTAGGTTGCTCTGCAGCTGGTCAAAACTTTCAAAAAGGGAGAATATTGGGATTTAAAAACATTTTTTTTCTGTATATTATTTCGCAAGTGGCCTTTACCCTAAGTCTGACTGTATCTGATACTATGAATCTTAAACAATACCAGTAACCTGTTCGCACAGATAGAGATAAGTTAAACAATAAATCAGAAATAGATTTTTCCGTTTATGTAATCATTTCTCCAATTTATCATTTCTATCTTTTTATGTCTTATTTAAGTTATTTTTAATCTTTTTTATTGTAGTTAAACGAGATATTAATCTGAGATAATGTTTGGACAAGGTGGTAGGGGTAAGATTAGAACGAAATTAGAAACACTTCTTCGCCAGGACCACAGTGACGTCTATTTTGACAATGAAAGGCTTAACGATCAACTTAATCTACGTATTGATGATATGCAAAAAGAGCTGCTGCGGAATGATTTACAACGCGGAGTTGAAATAGGAAAACTGCGCCAGGAGATACGTGAGTTTAAAGCGTTACAAACTTCAAACCAGGAAGAAAAGGAGACAGCACCAAGACCTCATACTTCTGGTATGTTTCTTTATTATCTTTTTCATTGTTTATTTTTATTTCTCAAAAAATATCTATTTATTTTTATCTTTATTTTATATCTCTGTTTGATAAAGTATTGTTTAATTTTGTTAAATGCGTCAATAGGTTATACTTTTGAGATATACATTTTTTTAATAATTACATGTATATGAAGTTTGTTTGGGTACGAAGAATATACGTTTTTACCCTTAACTTTTTATACATGCACTTACCGACATGTACACTTTAAGTTTTTCATAACATATACAAGTACATGTATTGGGCACGTCTGTTCTTTTCTGTATAACTCTTTGAAACTTTATTTTGATCTACATCTGTTGATATAGATTTATTCCGTTTTCACTTATCTTACTTAAGTTATCTACGGAGATTTCACATTTTAACAACTAGTAATTGAAATTCTAAAATATGTTGGCAAATTTAAGCATTAATACTGGATGAAAGTTTAATTAACTAACTGTGTACACTATTTTCAACAAAATGCATGGTTCGCACCATGCACATGTTTGTAATACATTAAGTAATATAATATTGTCTTCTTTTATCAACAGTTGGACATTCGTCGAGAAAAAGAACAGCCAACGCGGGTACCAGACAGAGAGCTCAGTCCGCGTGGGCGCGCACCCAAACAAAAGAAACTGAGACCAACGCCGAACCGGAACTTCCGGTAACAGAGGAGGAAAGTAGTCCGACAGCGCGGAGTGATTCTCCGTCTTCTTCGGTTTCTACATTAAGGAACACTAAAACACTAAAAAAATACAGAAATATAGGCGCAAGTAGCTTTAAAGAAAACAATAGATTCCCAGAAGAGTGGTACATTAAATGTTTACCAGCGTCAGACGCAGCTATACATAACGCGCGTAAAAAGGTCAACGGAAAGTTTGTTGCGCCTAAATTTGGTTTGCTAGGTAAACTCCGAGAAAAAGAAGAGATGGAGAAAAAGTTAGCCGCATATTCGAAAATAAAACCGAAACTGGCAGAAAATAAAAACGGTGATAGCAGTGATAAAATTGATGAGTCAGAAGGAATGAACTTGGTTTGTGAGGAACAGGTTAAACCCGTTCTTATGTCGCGTAGAAGACTGATGGAAATTTCAAACGCTGAAAATCTTGTGGACAGGGGACCTAGTAGAAATACCGTTCGAAAACAAAACTTAAAAGACATAAATGAACAAGATAACAAAAGAATAAATGACAAAGTGAAAGATTTTTGCAAAGATTTTGAAGAACGAAAAGCCAGTGAGCTGAAAGCAATGAAAGAACGCGAAGAAGCGAGGCGACAAGACGCATTAGAGAAAATACAATTGAAAGCCATGGAAGAAGCGCAATTAAAGAAACAGGAGGAGGAAAGAAAGAAAAATGAAGATGATGACGATGATGATAGATTTAAAAATAGATGGAAATAAAGTTTTTATTAGATAAAGTTTTAAATTGCATGTTGTTGGCGTGAATATGACTTATTGCTTGAATGGATTATATAAAGAGTAGCATGTGTTCTAACCAAGATGTAAAAACACAAATAAGAAAAAAAAACAAGACAGCAGCTGGTGCTTTAGATTTCTGTAAATACATTGGAATCGTTCAGTTGTTGCACAAGAAATGGTTTAGTACATGAAAAACAGATACATGTACGGGAATGTTGAAGTCTTTTAAAATAATATTTACAACCAAATTTTAAGCGTTTCCGTATGAATTCGACATAAGAATATCTTATGATCTTTTGGAAATGAGTTAGCCAATCGCTGTCACTGAGAGCTTTGTTTTTCAAATTTGAATTTTGTCAGGTTTCGCTGAAAAAAAAATTAAAAAGTTATTATTTAATTTTTCTTTCTTTCTTAATTTTTGCATAAATTTGCGGTATTAGGGATAATACTTAACTCAGGGTAATAGCTTTTCATGTTGAGCGATGTATATACATATATGTATGCAACACAAATGCCTTATCATAAAAGAGGTACACTGTATTTTCAAATCATAATCACAGGAGCTAGATTTACAATAAAGTTTTGAAACAATCTGGTTTAAAATCAGGTCCTAGATACGCTTTATGTAAAACGTAAAGCCTGAACTTTAGTTAGATTGATTTTGTTTCAAATGAAAAACAAACAAAAATGTTTGAAATTCTGGTAAAACTGAATCCTTCATTTAAACAGCATATTTCACATCATAAAAGTGTACAAAAAGAAGAATTTTCCAAGTTTTCTTTTGACATAGAATATTGTGATTGTTTTTATAGATAATAAAATAGTCTACAAAACATTGTTGCCTTTGTTTGCTATGTATCCTTCTTTGAGTTTAGCGCCATTTTATAGTATTTCATTTAAACTCATTGGAGTTCTTAATATCGTAAAACAAATGGTGATGGCGTAAATCATAAAATTACAATAATTCACAATTCGCAGTGACCGTAAAATAGCACCCTCCTGACATATTGTTATTGCCTTTTTTAAATTGCATACTGAGACTTATTCATGTATTCAAAAAAAAATATTTTATCATCAAAGCTAGTTAATATAGAATTCATATTTCGCTTTTAACTACTTATGGGTTAAAAAGAGTAACTACGACGGGACCAAGTCCTAACCGTGGTCCCTTTAATAGGTTATCGGATATCTGTTTTATTTTAATTCATAACCATTTATTTAAGATAGAATAGAAATCAATTGAACTTTTTGTAATAATTTGTCATTTAAAACGTTTGATCTTTTATTGCCTCTTAACAGTTGTCTCCGCATGCTGATAGTTCAATGATTAAAGTTCACTCAAAGCATTTATTATCCAAAGAAATTACCTTTTGACTTGTCCACAATGCAAAAAAATTCTCTTACTATGTTAGCAATGGGGCTAAAAGTCTTGCATATAACTTATCAATTATTTTACACATTTGTGCATTCAAATTTTCACCTGTATTATCAACATTTATACTTTTGTTCGTTTCTTGATAATTAATTTTATTAATATGGATTTATTTTGTTCTGGTAATGTTTTATGTGGACTAACACAGTATATATCATATGGTGACTTTCCAGCTTTACTGGTGGAGGAAGACCTGAGGTGCCCTTCCGTGTAATATTTCAAGTACGAACGGGACCAGAACCACCGACGATCCTTAAGCTAGCTGAATAGCTTCCTCACATTAAAGAATCCAAAGTCCCGGGGGGATTCGTACCTACAGCGGTGAGGGGCAAGTGGTTGGAAGTCAACGACCGTAACCACTCGGCCACGGACGCCCTAATTACTCATCTGGAGGCGTGTCAATTTAATATTCTTTATTGGGTTAATTTAACAATGGAAAGCACACTGAATTGGTCATGTTGCAAACTAGAAACAAAACTAGAACAGTAAATGCTATTTTTCTAAACTGTGCATTGGTAGATGATGGTTTCTCACATGGCAAGTTTTGGCATGGGAGATTATACCTTTATAATTATTATAATGTGACTTTTCCTTTGAAATGACAAACTGTTTAACAATTTTTGGAAGATATGAAATGTGAAGAAAAACACAAATGATCATCATTCAAACATGTTTATTTCCTAATTTCACATAAATTACCATCATATCAAATACCTTTAAACAAAAACAAATGTGACATATCATGATAAAACATTTACCATACATTTTACACATGACTTAACAAACAAATGTAATGTTATAAAAATAATCAAATTTTCATATCACTTTTTTATCTTTAGTATAAAAATATGATTTCTGTTTGGATTTGTTGAAAACAAAAATTATATGCTACAGGAGACAGTTGTAAACTTTCAGAATGGCAGTGTGTATTAGTGTCCGGTTAAGTATATAAGAGACAATTTTGTGTGAAGGGAGTGTATAGTTTAGGTTCCAAATAAATATCACTTTATGAAATATATATTTTATTTTGTAAACAGGTGCTGGGTAGTAATTTTGTGCTTGATGATCAAGGGGAGATAATTTTATGATAATGTGACCATTATTGGTAATACAAATGTGCCCAATGGCTATGATAATTATATTTGCTTGCCTTTGTTTGAAATTTCAGGTGCTAGTATTTTTTAGTTAATATAACTTGTCCATTTGGCACTGACCCATGTATTGTAAGAGAGTACAGTGCCTGTCAGATGCAAATTTACTGTTAATACAGCTATCCTGTAAACCAACTGTTCAACTGAATAGAAACAGTAAACAGGTGTTTCCAAAAGGGATACAGCATAATAAACTAATCTAAGGCTTGATAGTAACAGAAGGTAAAATTGTTACTAAGAAAAAAATCATATTATAACTAACATTTAATCTTATCAACTAAAAATTATGTCATAGTCATACTATTCTTCATTCCTCATACAGATCAAGGGAAGTAACCCCTGCAAGGAGTTTGCTCTTGTGTATCACTCATGAATGTATAAATAAAATGAACAAAATTATAAACAGCAATTTCAGTATGGTATTTGAAAAAATCAGAATTTTTACATGATACGATAGCTGTTAACTTCACTTTGTACAGTGTTAAAGAAGAAACAAATAGGGTACAATGTCTAAACAGACTTAATTCCTTGTCAGATTATACAATGTATGAGGGGATTTCACTACAATGTATTATGTAACACAATGAAATCCAACCTTTCTTAAAAATATTTTCTTGAATTGGATATTAATTATTCATTCTTAACAGAGAGACAAATAAAATACTATGTTAAATATGAAATGTATTTATGTAATATGTACAGACTTGTTTGTGAGGATTTATTTGCGACATGTCAGATATTTACTGATAAGCCATGAAAACAGCACCCTATACATATAAATATTCTGTCACACAGCTTTGAAAGTTCCTGGCATGTTAATTTATGTTACAAATGTCAATGTTGCCCTCCAATAAAAATTGCATAGTCATTTACCAATTGACCTCAACTCGGTGAGTTTATTATATTTTTCTCTCTCAATTTTTATGAACCAAGTTTGTTACAAATATTCACTTTTCATCTACCAAATTTATAACACAAATATTCACTGTTAATCTTTTACTTAAGAGTTTATTAAACAAATATTTACTATAGATCTACGGAGTTTATCACAAATATTCACATCCATTTAGCACTTCGACTCTAGTTCATGTTTATTTTTTTTTTTTTTTTTCATATTTCCATTCGACAATGTAGTTCTTATAAAATTAACACATATTTCATATAACAACTTCATAGCTATCAATCACATCATGAAGTTTATGTATATTTCATACACAAAATGTTGATCTTTTATTACTCAGCATTCAAGCTTATATCAAAACATGGTCCCTTAGCAGACAGCCTTTGATATAACAATATCATGTTGTTTCCATACACAGCCCTCCTTGTTACTTCACAGTGACAGCTTAAATCTGAAAGTTTCACAGTGAGTTCTTATTTACCACTGTTTTATCATTTAGAAGTTATATTCAACTCGGATAATTTTAGAGTACACGCTGGATCGTCATTGGTCAGTTTCAAGGTAAGTTCTGGATCATCATTGGTCATATTCAAGGTAGGTACTGTATCGTCATCATTTATTTGTCATTTAGCAGCGAGATTGTAGAGCTCCGACAGTTTCATAGCATGTTCTAGCGCGTGTATGTTCACTAACAGTTTACTGATCTGCTTCATTTGTTCTCTGAAATAATTTAAGTTAAAATATATAGATGACATACACAATATATATTTTATACACCATATTGTTTCCAATAACCCCCCGCCCTTTCTGGGGATGTTAAATGGAGGCAATACGGTTATTTATTAAAACCATAAAAACTGGGAGTGGAGGTCATACTTTTTGAGTTATCTGCCCTTTTTGAGCTAAAAATGATTAGATAAGAGATGACGTCTTTAAAATCAGTGAAATAAAACCTGAATCTCAAGAGAAACAAAATATATCTTACTTCAGGTCTTTGCGCTGTATTTCTGATGAAGTCACAGCAGCTTTCTCCAACAGCTGTGCAGCATACAAAAGAAATCGACAAAAGTTTTCAAGCTGGGGTATTGTCTTGTCCTCGTTCAGCTCTTCAAACCAAGTTTTTGGCAGAGAAGAAACAATCTGAAATATTTTGAAAAATACATTTTGAAATTTAAAATGTATTTTTTCTAAATATGGTGTTTTTGTTTTTTTTTCTTTTAGCCTATTTGTATTTTGTCAAATATCAAAATTACATTTCATAGATTAAAAAGAGAATTTTTTTAGAAGACCATATAACCAGAACTAAAAGATAAAATCTCCTAGTCATGTTTAACACATGAATTCACATAAACTACATACAAGTTTTAAAGTAACTAAAACAAGAAGTAGCAAGAACCACAGGAACAGTGCTCTATAGCAAAGCAGAGCAACTATAAATAAACGATAAAGAAATTAATGTTTTTATTGCACTACTGTACAGTTGACTGTTTCATGCTTTTAGCAATCAACAGGTACAAATTTGTTTGTTTGTTTGTTTCATTTTACGCCTTTTCCAACAGTATTTAAGTCATATAGGTGGGTAGTTTCCTAACCATCGTTGCTGGAGAGTTACACCAGTACTAGACTACCTTCCTCCGTGCTAAACTACCAAAGCATCTCCTGGGGATCGAACCCATGCCAGAGAGGTAACTGGATTAGAAGTCATCGACTCTAACCCCTCAACCACAGAGGCGGTCAATCAGGTACAAATGATGATTGCTTAATGCATGAAACTGTACAGTAGTGCAATAAAAACATGATATGTCGATTCCTTATATGTTAATTTACATGTTATAACATAAAGTGCAATAATTACCGTTTGACATTTGAGAAGTGTTTCCTGGTTGAAGGGAGCAGTCTGTAGACCAAGCAATATATATCTGTTGAGGAGACCATCTAGAGCTAAGCCCTGTAATACCTTCCTCGAGATTATACCATCCCATGATAAGAAATGCCCCAATAACTGAAACAAAGTAAAACATGTATTTACTCAATTATAAAACACGGATACAAAAAGGTAATTATAACAAGAACTGTCGGAGGACAGTAACGCTCGACTATTCGAAAATTTGTCACAAGGGTGTTTCATTGAGTATAATAATGCTTACCTATATGAATACATGAAATTGTCCGAAAAGGTACAAACTCTTCAAGTTTCAATACATTCCCTTCAGTAGTTATGGAGAGACAAGCTTACATGCAAAAAACTTTACCAAGAATATTCATGAGTCGAAAAAGGGGCATAATTATGCAAAAAAAGCAAATCAGAGTTATGGGACTTTGTACCAATCATCTTAGATAATCACAGAGACCAAGTGTTGTGAAGTTTCAATCCATTCCCTCAGTAGTTATGGAGATACCAGCTTACATGCAAAAACTTAACCAAGAATTTCTAAGTCGAAAAAGGGGCATAATTATGTTAAAAAGCAAATCAGAGTTATGGGACTTGTGCCACTCATCTAAGATAATCACAGAGAACAAGTGTGTGAAGTTTCAATCCATTCCCTTCAGTAGTTATGGAGATACCAGCTTACATGCAAAAACTTAACCAAGAATTTCTAAGTCGAAAAAGGGGCATAATTATGTAAAAAAGCAAATCAGAGTTATGGACTTGTGGCAATTATCTTAGATAATCACAGAGAACCAAGTGTGTGAAGTTTCAATCCATTCCCTTCAGTAGTTATGGAGATACCAGCTTACACGCAAAAACTTAACAAGAATTTCTAAGTCGAAAAAGGGGCATAATTATGTAAAAAAGCAAATCAGAGTTATGGGACTTGTGCCAATCATCTTAGATAATCACAGAGAACAAGTGTGTGAAGTTTCAATCAATTCCCTTCAGTAGTTATGGAGATAACAGCTTACATACAAAACTTAACCAAGAATTTCTAAGTCGAAAAAGGGGCATTATTATGAAAAAAAGCAAATCAGAGTTATGGGACTTGTGCCAATCATCTTAGATAATCACAGAGAACAAGTGTAAGAAGTTTCAATCCATTCCCTTCAGTAGTTATGGAGATACCAGCTTACATACAAAAACTTAACCAAGAATTTCTAAGTCGAAAAAGGGGCATAATTATGTTAAAAAGCAAATCAGAGTTATGGGACTTGTGCCAATCATCTTAGATAATCACAGAGAACAAGTGTGTGAAGTTTCAATCCATTCCCTTCAGTAGTTATGGAGATACCAGCTTACATACAAAAACTTAACCAAGAATTTCTAAGTCGAAAAAGGGGCATAATTATGATAAAAAGCAAATCAGAGTTATGGGACTTGTGCCAGTCATCTTAGATAATCACAGAGAACAAGTGTGTGAAGTTTCAATCCATTCCCTTCAGTAGTTATGGAGATACCAGCTTACATACAAAAACTTAACCAAGAATTTCTAAGTCGAAAAAGGGGCATAATTATGAAAAAAAGCAAATCAGAGTTATGGGACTTGTGCCAATCATCTTAGATAATCACAGAGAACAAGTGTGTGAAGTTTCAATCCATTCCCTTCAGTAGTTATGGAGATACCAGCTTACATACAAAAACTTAACCACAGGGACGCCGACGCCGACAAATGGGTGACTGCATTAGCTCGATTATTCTGCGAATAGTCGAGCTAAAAATTCTTGATCTTGCCAGTGACTTTTCCACCTTGTATAATAAAGGCCTATAAAAGCATCTTCCCAGTTGAAATTTTCTTTAAAATCCTGCAGTTTTTCCAAAAATCTGAACTTACACCAGCTTTTATACTTTCCAAATTAGCAACTTTTGAGATTCCCCCCCCCCCCCCCAAATATCAGAGGCTAAGGCTTCTTCCAAATATAGTGAGAAAAACCACTGCTTGTGTTTGATTTTTGCAAATGACAATTTTTATAATTCACCTCTGCTTGTTCAAATAATGCATTCAAACATTATAAAATCAAGGTATAATTGAATATCAGCTTATTTTGATCTTTTTTCTTCAATTTATACTGAAAAGAAAGCCTCAAAAGAGGTAACCGAAATCAAAAATTCTTCATTCAAAAATATATTTTTTCTAAAAGCTGTCAGACTAGTAATCTAATGGGTTCAAACCCTATCTGGGGCAAGTTGTTGTTTCCTTGAGCAAGAAACTTTACACTCATTGCACAGTACTGATTGGTTCCAGGAACGGATTTGAAAGTGTGTCTATAAGCTTATAGCTTCCTACAAAATCAAACTAAAATAATTTCTGTATAAACCAAATGTAAAAGTATTCACAATTAAAGCCACACTGCATATTTTATGTAAAATATGATTGATAAATGATAACATAAAATTAATCACTCCTATCAGATTCTATATATACATATTAGAGAGAGTAACTTGTTAACTTGCTAACATACTTACTTTTATACATGTCCATGACTGTCTATGAAAGAACACACTTGGTCCAGAATTTCTATTCTCCAGAACTCTAAAATTCAGAGTAAAATATATTAAGAAATGAAATGCAGAAATTTTCGTTAAACATAATATTTCTTAAAATGCTTTGTCATAGTGAATTGTCAAAAAGTTAATGACAGAAAAAGGGTGTCACAAGGTAAGGGTACTTTATCAATACTAGTATGTATAATCATTTATAAATCATTGAGAAAACTTTACATGATATTGTTTATGAAAGCTAACTTTTCTATTACTTTTAAGACTCAAAAGAAGAGGTTATTCAAAACTAAGTACTTACGTTTTTGGATATAAAGGCATAAAAACATCATCATCTAATGTTTTCTTCATTCGTAAAACCAATGCCTTCAGTAAATTCTGAAAAGCATCCAAGATAATAAATTATGCTTAAAAGGATCTTATTTTTTTTTTTAAAGATTAATTTCAGAAGTGTTCTTGGACTACATTTAAGATAAAATCTTTATAAAGGAAACAGTGGGTATAATCAATTGTTGCTTGTTTTTTGGTTTTTATTTTATGTTGCACCTACACATTTAAGGTCACATGGCGACTTTCCAGTTTTACTGGTGGATGAAGACCTCATGTGCCCTTCCTTGCATTACATCAGGCATAAAATGGGCACCTGAATAGAACCATCAACCTTCTGTAGGCTAGCTGGAGAGCTTCCACACATGAAAGAATGCAAAGTCGCTGTCGGGATTCTAACCCACAGCGTTGAGGGGCAAGTGGTTTGAAGTCAATGATCTTAACCACTTAGTCACAGACGCCCCTCTATCAATTAACCACTTGGCCACAGACGCCCCTCTATCAATTTGTCCAACTAAAGCAAATAATTCTATAAAATTATAACTATTTTATATGAAATACTTCTTTTTGAACACAATACCATTACTAACAAAGTTTTCAAAATACTCTAAAACCCACTTTTTGTATTTTTGGGGGGTTTGCATTAAAATGTTTGGAAATTTTTTTAGAACTTTTTAAAAGTTTTTTCAAAAACCCACAAGTATTTGGGGTTGCAAGGGTCCATAAAATTTCTGCTAAAAACAAAGAAACATTTTTTTAAAATAAACTTAGGGTTTTAAAATTAATTGCCCAAAATTAAAAACAATAAAAACAAAAATTAAAAAAGAAAAAAAAATACTTTCAAAGGACATTCAAACATTTTTTTAAAATTTACTTTTTGTTAATTTCCCTCTTTTAAATTTTAACCAACATTTTTATATATCAAAATTTCTAAAATAATGCCCAAAGCATTTAAAAAAATTTACTGCCCTAAATTATTCTAGGTTTTTTTAAATTTTGTTTATCTATATTTCCCCAAAATTTAAAATTTTGTAACATTTTCTTTTAAACCCCCATTTTTTTAAATTAGGGCATTTAAAACATTAAGTTTCTTTGTACAGTTCCATATTTAATGCCAAATGCATTATATGAATTCAAGGGCATAATTGTAACATGAAATAATTCTCGTACAAAGTCACATGGACACACAAGCATGTGAAAAAATGCATTAAATAAATCTTAAAACATGAAAAAATTAGGCAATGTATGGGACAGAACACAAACAGCTGGGTAAAATTCATTACACATGCCATTAGGATAACAAGATAGTTTTTACACTCATTATAAACACGGTAAAATGAGATTTGATAACTTACAGGAGAGTTTAGGTAGCACTATCTTATCTACTACAGCTGGTATAAGTTTGTTATCATCATCATCTTTATCTATTGGGCTGCCTTCTTCAAAACCATAGAATAACAGTGAATCAAACCATTTCATCTCTTCAACGTCTTTACACCGTTCCTGTGAAATTATATAAATCTTACAATTTTATTTTTAATTCTGAAATTCTAGAATAATCCTGAAAGAAATTAACTATGTACCCTGACACTAACTTACTTTTTTTGTTCTCAACACACATATTTTATAAGATTATAGAAAATTACTCAACATTCATTTCCAGGCTGCCACTTTGTGCATCATTTTTTTAAGAACGGACATCAGTTAAATGCTAAATCAAAGACTTGTCGCTGAGAACATCTCATGGAGCACAAAAACATTTACTTGATCACAACCACAACCCAGATTTGTTTTTGCTGGTTTTTAAGTCACATCTACACTGTTATGATCATTTTGACAACTTATTGTCCAGCATAACTGGTGGAGAAAGACCTCTGAGGCCCTGATTTATTTCAGCACAAACAAGAACCTTTTCCCCAAGAACCACAGATTTTCCCCAAGTTAGCTGGAGAGCCTCCTCTTGTAATAAAAGAATCCAAAGTTCCTGACATGATAAGAACCCACAGCTGTGAGGGGGAAAGTACTTCAAATCAATGTTTAATACAAACTTACATCAAATGGATTCCAGTTGATTAACTGCAGTCTCACAAATGGGTTGACAAGTTTAGGGAGACAAAGTCCTATATAAGCCTCTTTATATGTGTCACCGTATTTACGTTTCCAGCTCATGAATCTCTCTCTAACACAATCTGTATCACTGAAGTCATCTACCACATCCTCTAACACTTCAGATGCTCTCATCTCTATCTCATCTAGAAAACAAAATCATTCAATTAGAATTCAAACAATTCATTTTTCTTTCTTAAATACATCTCGGCTGATCTCGGGTGTTACAAACTTCAAAGCAACACCAGGGATCAAAACCACCCCACCTGCTGGAGCTAAGAAATGCATAGACTCAAGTTGTTCGACGAACCCAATGATCACATACTGATAAACAGTGGCTGCAGTTCTTATGCCTCAACCATTAAAGGCAACCCCTCAGCCAAGGGGCACACAGCATTTTGACTAGACATAAAAAATGTTTATCTTAACCTGGTTAATACCAGAGTTTACACAGAAAATGAGCAAGTTTTTAATTTTTTAACTTTTTAACATAAAGTTTAAAGATTTTTTTAAATTTTATTTTCGTTAACTGCTTTTTGTTTCAAGTAAAAAGTATAAAATTGACAACAGAAGGTAGAATGTTGTTTTTACAAGGATGACATTACTGGTAACAGTAAACCTTTTCAATCTTGTACTCCAATAAAGCAAAACTCTCTTATTATAAATAGAAGAACAAAAGAGAAGAAAACTTTAACGACAAAAGTACAACTTTGATCAGAAATCATTCCTGAATATTTAAAATATTATCTCTGAGTATGCTTAAAATTTAGACCCAGAAACAAAAATAATCCCTTAAAAGAATGTTTTCAAATGATTTCAAAAAGTTCAAACATTCAAATACAAAGTACAGTTTAATTTAATGTTAAGTATACTATAAGGTACATAATCTGTATAAACAACGAGAAAATAATAAAAATAAAACAAAATGTAAGAAAAAAGTCCAAAACAACAGGACAATTTTCATCTGAAAAGCTAAGGCAATAGTGAAATAATGTAAATTGATTTTCTAGCACAGAAGAAACATTGTTTAATCATACACATATTGTGTACTGAAGTTTCCATGTACAAATAGCAGATAAATCACCACCTCTTTCCTGGCAATATTTAGTAATTTCTGATTGATTCTCTTCATCGTCAGATGACAGACCCTCGTGATGACCCGAGATGTTCTTTCCTTCCCGCCCTCTCCGTCTCCGAGCCCTGAAATACAAAGGAACACTGTGTTAAACTATAAATAGCTTTTGTTTGCTTGTTATTTAACATATTCAGCTCTTAGCCCTGAAAACCAAAAGAACACCATGTAAAATTTGAAATTGATTTGATTGGTTGTTATTTAACAAGTTTTGTGACTGAGGGGTTGCTTTTAAGGGTTGAGGCATCAAAATTGCAGCCAACGTTTATCCCTGTGAGATTATAAGAAGCGACAAAATGGGTTGGAACTACTGGAGTCAATGAATCTCTAAGCTTCAGTAGGTGGTTTTGACCTTTGATGTTGCTTTAGAGTTTGTAACACCCGAAGGTTAGCTGAAATCATTTTTCCTGTTTCGGCTGCATGTGACATAAAATGTGTTGGTGTGCAGTTACACCCCCACCCCAATTTAACAAGTTGCATTGCATGACAGAATTCAATTTGGTGACTGTCTAGCATTACTGGCTGAATGAAAATTATCTCAGTTGTCACATGTATCAGAACTATAGGCACAAACTGACACCTGAGCAGAACCAGGGACCTTGCTTAAGATTGATAAGTCACTTTTCAAAATAAAAGAAATTAATGCTCTTTTTCAAGATTCAAACCACAACAGCAAACTGTATTGACTTGAGGTATCTTTTAATCCATGTAAATTACCAACAAGAGGGCCATGATGGCCCTGAAGTCGCTTACCTGTATATAGGCCTCCAGGGCGGGGCCAGTTTAAACCCCAGGGCTTTTATTTGAACAAACTTGGTAGACACCCATTAGAAGATATTTCACGCTAAACACGCTAAGGACTAGCTCGTTGAGTTTTTTTTAAAAAAGATTTTTTAAGTTTTAATTATACACATATAGTTAAAAGCAATGACACCCCTAGGGTGGGGCCAGTTTTGACCCCAGGGCTTTTATTTGAACAAACTTTGGAGACACTCACTAGAAGATGTCTCATGCTTGATATCTAAACTCTAGCTATTCTGTTTTTTTTTTTAAAGAAGATTTTTAAGTTTTTGCTATTCACATATAAGGAAAATCAATGTCCCCCAGGGCAGGGCCAATTTTGACCCTAACGCTTTATTTGAACAAACTTTGAAGACACTAACTGGAAGATGTTTCATGCTAAATATCTTAACTCTAGCTATTTAGGTTTTTTCAAAGAAGATTTTATAAGTTTTTGCTTTACACATAAATAAAATCAATGATCCCCGGGGCAGGGCCAATTTTGACCCAAAGGCTTTTATTTGAAAAAACTTTGTAGACACTCACTAGAAGATGTTTCATGCTTAGTATCTAAACTCTAGCTATTTGGTTTTTTTCAAAGAAGTTTTTGCTTTACACATATATGGAAAATCAATGACCCCCCGAGCAGGGCAAATTTTGACCCCAGGGCTTTTATTTGAACAAATTTGGTAGACACCCATTAGAACATGGTTCATGCTAAATATCTTAGCTCTAGCTCTTTGGGTTCTTTAAAAGAAGATTTTATAAGTTTTTACTATATGCATATAGGGAAAATCAATGATCCCCTGGGGCGGGGCCAATTTTGACCCAAGGGCTTTTATTTGAACAAACTTTATAGACACCTATTAGAAGATGTTTCATGCTAAATATCTTAGCTCTAGCTCTTTGGGTTCTTTAAAAGAAGCTTTATAAGTTTTCACTATATGCATATAGGGAAAATCAATGACCCCTGGGGCGGGGCCAATTTTGACCCCAGGGCTTTTATTTGAACAAACTTGATAGACACCTATTAGAAGATGTTTCATTCTATTTATCTTAGCTCTAGCTCTTTGGGTTCTTTAAAAGAAGATTTTATAAGTTTTTACTATATGCATATAGGGAAAATCAATGACCCCCCCCCGGGGCGGGGCCAATTTTGACCCCAGGGCTTTTATTTGAACAAACTTGGTAGACACTTATTAGAACATGTTCATGCTAAATATTTTAGCTCTAACTCTTTTGGTTCTTTAAAAGAAGATTTTTTAAGTTTTTACTATATGCATATAGGGAAAATCAATGACCCCCTCGGGCGGGGCCAATTTTGACCCCAGGGCTTTTATTTGAACAAACTTGGTAGACACCCATTAGAACATGTTTCATGCCAAATATCTAAGCTCTAGCTCTTATGGTTTTTTAAAAGAAGATATTTAAAGTTTTTTCTTTCGGTTGCCATGGCAACCAGAGTTCTGCATGGAATTAAATTCTTTGAACAATTTTTAAAGGTGACCACCAAAGGAACATTCCTGTGAAGTTTGGATGAAATTGGCTTAGTGGTTTATGAGGAGATGTCATTTAAAGTAAAAGTTTACGGACGGACGCCGGACGAAAAGCGATCACAAAAGCTCACCCTGTCACTTTGTGACAGGTGAGCTAAAAAAAGGTCAAAATATGCAAAAATTACTCAAATCACGCAGTAAAAAATATTGTAATAAATACTACAAAATCAGTCATTCATTGCATACAACAAATGAACTGTAAATCATTATTTAAATCATGAATATTATTACTGTACATTTTTCTCAAAGCTGATTTTCTTGAAATTGTTTGGCTCATCTTGAGCTATGCAGCTTTAATAACACATTACAAATAATTATTTGTTTGGGTCGTCAGACCAAACAAATAATGGTAGCGAAATTTCAGACCCTGATGCTGTTGATTGCAAATGCCGAAAGTAGTCCGCCTTTTTGAAGCGGTTACTTCCCTTTATATGTACACTAACGCCAAAAAATTCAGGGGAGATCACTGGGTAAAGATGGTCAAATGACAGGCGCATTAATTTTCAAGCAAAATAGTTCCCATTGGTCGAAGATTTCTAATATTATTTTATTCTTTATAGATATACATGCTTATAGTAAGCTCCATGATTATTACATCTGTGTTAAACAAAAGTTAGCGTCTAAATAATAAGGGTTACAAACCCTAATTTAGAATAATATGGTTTTCTTCAAGCCGTTAACATATAACTTCAACATGGCCGAGGGGTTGCGCGCTCACTTCAAAAGCCAGAGGTCTGGAGTTCGAATCCCAGCTAAGGCAACACATTTTTTTCCCCAAATTGTTTAAGTCAAATAAACATTGAATTGAATATTCAGTGTTGCAATAAGTCTTATAGCCAATTAACTACAATTAAAACGCTGAAAAGCATTGGTGGCACTATACAAAAACAAATTCGTTTATAATCTCACAACCTTCACCTGTCTGACATTCTGAGACCAAACAAATTCAGCGCCTTCTGTGCTTTGATTTTTTTCTTGGTCTGGCTTTTAGCCACATCAATACTAAACTCATATGGTGATTATCTGACTTAACTGGTGATTAGTAAATGAAGCTGTTCTGTATTATTTTAGACATGGGCAAACTCCAGAGTAGACTCACCGACTTTCTGTTAGCTACTACATTGATAAACTCTAACATATTGGCCTAAAGTGAATACTAGGGTGGTTAGAAATTAACTAATATTACCAACAAAACTATAGGGCTCACCTTCTAGCCTCTCTTTCAGCTATCCTACGCTGTCTAAGCTGATTGTCATGATCTACAACAACTTGTGCTTTGTCTGAAACATAAAATAATCTTTTATACAATCGAGAAAATCACACATTCACCAGTATTGAAATAAATAAACTTTAGTCATACAATTAAACTTACCATTTTCTATTGTTAACAATGATAAAAGAGGAAGAATTGTTAATAAAAAAATTTCTGACCATAAAATTCACTTACCTTTGTGTTTGTTTAAATTGACAAAACTAGCCCACCCACCATATAATAAACATTACAATGCTTGGAGTTATAAATAGTATCAGGAATAAGAAAAAAAAACTTTATCTTTTCACAAGCTGACTTATGTAAAGCGGAGCATTTAAAATTTTGCAAATTTTCTTTCCATATTTTCCACTCCCTTTATTAATAACTAGAACTATCGCTGAATGCGATTCATACCCCCACCAATGTCCTTGACAGAAGACCACTTGGAAAGGTGGTTAAGGGAATAACTTATGTGGAACAAATACATAAAAAGAAATTATCTCTGGTGAAAAAAAGACTAACTGTACAGGTAATAGTATAAATATATATATATCAAATCATGTTCGAAACAGTTACAAATAACCTTTCATTTTCCCAATGTATTAAACATTTTATTTATAAGTCAATTTTTGACCTTCAAGTGTGACCTTGACCTTAATCTGACACAAGGGTAGATTGGTTTTGCACATCACACAGTTTGGTTGAACATTTGAGTAAAAGTTTGAAGAAAATCCTTCCATTAGTATAGAATTTATAGAGTAGACACAATATATTGTCTAGTTCTGGTTGTACGTAAATTTGAAGACTTAAAAAGGGGCATAACTTTGTCCAAATTCAATACAGAGTAATGAAACTTGACCTGCATATCTTATTTGCCACACCTCATATATCTTTTAAGTTTCAAGCAAATGCCTGCGTTAGTTTCAGAATTATTCAAGTACATGTTAAAATTTAAGAACATTTTCTAAGTCAATTTTTGACTTTCAAGTGTGACCTTGACCTTTAGCTGGCACAAAGGTGACATGGATTCTGCACATAACCTTGTTGAGGTGAAAATTTGAGTAAAGATTGAAGAAAATTCTTCCATTAGTATTGGATTTATAGAGCGGACACAACATTTTGTCTAATATTTGATTGTATGTAAATTTGAAGACTTAAAAAGGGGCATAACTTTGTTAAAATGCAATACAGAGTTATGAAACTTAAACAAACAGCATATCGGAATTGTGACCCTTCAAAAATATTTTAAGTTTCAAGCAATACATTTTCTAAATTTAAAAATATTCAAATAAATGTTAAAATTTAAGAATATTTTCTAAGTCAATTTTTGACCTTCAAGTGTGACCTTGACCTTAAGCCAGCAAAAGAGTGACATAAGTTCTGCACATCCCCTTAGGGACGTAGGATGTAGGACTTACAGAGCGGACATGACATACTGTGTAATATTTAATTGTTTGATATTTGACCTACAATTGTGACCTTGACCTTGAGCTGACACATGGGCAACATGGGTTCTGCACATCCCCTGGTTGAGATGAACATTTGAGCCAAGATTGAAGAAAATCTTTCAACTAGTGTAGGACTTACAGAGCGGACATGACATACTGTGTAATATTAGATTGTTTGATATTTGACCTTCAATTGTGACCTTGACCTTGAGCTGACACATGGGCAACATGGGTTCTGCACATCCCCTTGTTGAGATAAACATTTGAGCCAAGATTGAAGAAAATCTTTCAACTAATGTAGGACTTACAGAGCGGACATGACAAACTGTGTAATATTAGATTGTTTGATATTTGACCTTCAATTGTGACCTTGACCTTGAGCTGACACATGGGCAACATGGGTTCTGCACATCCCCTTGTTGAGGTGAATATTTGAGCCAAGTTTGAAGAAAATCTTTCCATTAGTGTAGGACTTACAGAGGGGACACAACATACTGTGTAATATTGATCGTTTGATATTTGACCTTCAATTGTGACCTTGACCTTGAGCTGGTTCATGGGCAACATGGGTTCTGCACATCCCCTTGTTAGGGTGAACATTTGAGCCAAGTTTGAAGAAAATCTTTCAAGTAGTGTAGGACTTACAGAGCGGACATGACATACTGTGTAATATTTAATTGTTTGATATTTGACCTACAATTGTGACTTGACCTTGAGCTGACACATGGGCAACATGGGTTCTGCACATCCCCTGGTTGAGGTGAACATTTGAGCCAAGTTTGAAGAAAATCTTTCAAGTAGTGTAGGACTTACAGAGCGGACATGACATACTGTGTAATATTAGATTGTTTGATATTTGACCTACAATTGTGACCTTGACCTTACACATGGGCGACATGGGTTCTGCACATCCCCTTGTTGAGGTGAACATTTGAGCCAAGTTTGAAGAAAATCTTTCAAGTAGTGTAGGACTTACAGAGCGGACACAACATACTGTGTAATATTTGATGGTGTTTGATATTTGACCTTCAATTGTGACCTTGACCTTGAGCTGACACATGGGCAATATGGGTTCTGCACATCCCCTTGTTGAGGTGAACATTTGAGCCAAGTTTGAAGAAAAGCCTTCAATTGGTATAGGAGTTATAGAGCGGACATGAAAATGGAGACGGACCGACCGACCGACGGACGGACCGACGCGACAAAGCGAATCCATTATAGCCCCCCCCACATTTTGTGGTGGGGGTATAATAATTGCTTAATTTTCCTTGCAATAACAGATTAAAAAGTCAGTAAACTTGAAAATTTGGCTTAATCTATGATAGAACTCTATGGCCTTACATTATTCTCAATATTAGAAGTAAGTCCTCTTCCTAGAATTTTCAACAGTTTATCTTTATAAAAACTTTCGTTGTCTGTATTTAGGTATCAAGAAAATGAATGGGATTAAAACAAAAATTTTGGACAAAAGTTTCATAAATCAAGTAATACAAGACTCTTTTTATATATAAAACATCACTAAGTTTTGAATTTAATATCATCAAATGAGGGAAAACTCCATATAGACATGAACTAACACGTAAACCTGACTTCAGACATACTTAGAAGGACTAGATATGTAACCATGAGGGAAAAAACACACACAAAAAAACCATGGGGAACTAACAAGTTAATGAGATATATGCCATGAGGCACTAAAAATCATGACAATCAAATACCGACTTGTCATGTAAGCTTGGCATTGATCTTGTATATCCTGTTGACGACGGCTCGCAAATTTGGCCGACCTATTTCTGAGTAAATTATTCATCCTCGTCTCCAAGTCATTGATCATCGGAACCTAAAACATAGAAAAATAAACCATGTTGTAGAACGATTGTAAACTATAAATGTAGTACAGATAAAACTTTCATTTTTTTTTCATTTAATTGATATTAAATATCTAGCTTCGAACAAAAATAAACACATTTTCTACATTAAATTATAATTAACATTCAATTTTTCCACCCCAAAAAGTTTTACTGATAGTGGATTTAAGTTTACTCTTCTTACCAAATATTATTGCCAGAACATTTAACTTAAACGTATCTCAATTTTATGTAATACACTTATTCTATACCTCAATTCAAATAAATTCACTTTTCTTACATGTACATTATCTTTTTAAAGAAATCGGGAAAAAAGGTAACATAAAAGAAAGGACTATCCCATGCAGTTTCCACCGGTTAGCAACATTACCTTTATCTGGACAGAAAGACCAGGAAAGCGATGTTTAATCACTTATCCGTGAGCATATAACCTACCTTTATCCCAGTTGTGCACAACTTAACTCGTCTATCAAGACTCTATGGTATCAAATTTTTTTCAATTTTTCAAATCTACTTGTAAGTAATCCAATATAGATTTACTTATTCCTTATTGTTAACAATCTATAATTTGCCAGGAATTTTCCAAGTTGTGCAATATGTATAATGAATACTAAATATCAAAGTCTTGGAATTATGTAATAAACAGAAATCATCATCTAAGTGCACTAATGGGTAAAGTTCTTCTAAATTTAATAGGAGTTAACAAGTTGTTGCACTGCGGTGACAAAATGTATGTCAATGTCCAAGTAAAACCACTAATCATTTTAGCCTGTAAAACCACTTTGGTGGATGAAGAATGTTTCAACATAAACTGGAAACCCATAGATTAAATACCGACCTATCTTGGTCATATTTACCATCTTAAAATACATTCTAAGAACCTTAAGTCATGTATACTGTCTTAAAATGCATACTAAGAAACCTAAAAAGATATTTTAAGAAACCATGCAGGTTCCTATCATGTGGTAGAGCTTTCTGTCAACAGCATAATTTCGAAGACAAATCATTCTCTGTTATAATAATAACATATATATCACCTCAACTAAATGGTAAATAACTTTTTATCAAAAATCAAATATACTCCTGCTGAAAAAGTATCATGGATAACAATGTTCATTTTTGTAATATATTTAAAGTTGAGATATAAAGCTAAAGACAGATAAAAGACAGAAACAGCAAGGATGACACGTAAACCCAACCCCAAAACACATGGCCTCTGTCTGTCCCACACCTTTATTGACACAGCTGGCTTACAAAATTATAATGCCTTTATATATCATTTAGCGCTGTCGTATTTAAAAAAGAAATCATGTCTGAGGAAAAAGCGTAACAACTTAAATTCAGCAAAATATTCTTGAATATTTTGCATTCTCTTAATTACAAATAGAAATGAATCATTATATGCATTCTTAAGCCAGCTGTATCAAATAGCTTCAATTTTTTTAAATTTTTTTTTTACTGCCCCACCCTCACACTGAACATGTCACAGGAGGCCACCCCAACATGTATTAGGAACCCACCTTTTCATTCAAACATTCAACCAAGTCGCGAACATACCCCCTCATTTCTTGGAAGAACCGAAATCGGTCCTCCAATTTTGGTGCACTTGCTTCACAATTTACGATGCTCATCTGTGAGTCCTCTATATCGTGTTCCAACTTGTCCGACTCCTGCTTGTGTGTCCGATGAACCTCATCCATACTTGTTAATCTGGAATTTTTGATGGTTCAAATATTATATTTACAGCCTTGTTACTTTCACTAAGTTTCACTCAGCTTCACCTTTTACTAATTTTGTGGAAACATTAAAGTTTGCGTTAAAATTTGAAACTGTCAAAGAATAAAGTCCTCAAATTTAAGGTACAATTCAAAAGACTGAAAAAAAAGCAGGAAAGAGTCCGACCAGACAACATGCAAGTTCCTGTTGGCAGGGATCTATTATCATGATAATGTTACCTTCTTTTTGATTTATTTCAATTTTATGGCATCAAAGACTGTAACTCAAGTCAAAGATTACGTTTGTTTGTTTGTTTTGGGTTTTATGTCACATCGACACAGTATAGGTCATATCGCGACATTCCCGCTTTACTGGTTGAGGAAGACCTCAGATGCCCTTCCGTGCATTATTTCAGGCATGAACGGGCACCTGAGTAGAACCACCGACGTTCCGTAAGCTAACTGGATAGCTTCCTCACATGAAAGAATCCAAAGTCCCTGTCAGGATTCGAACCCACAGCGGTGAGGGCAAGTGCTTTAAGTCAACTACCCTAACGACTCGGCCACGGACGCCCCCAAAGATTATGTTCTTTAAATCTGTCTGTTAAGAAACTTCAACACACATATTTTTCTGTTTTGAAAAATCTATTGGAAAACAGGCCCTTGGTATATTTTTATTGTACTTATTTCTTTAAAATCTACATGGGATTGATTATCCTATGAATCTTTCTGAAATGTATTTCTGTTTATCCTTTAATTTTCCAGATTCATTAAAAGAAATTCTTACCTTCCTGCTGTAAAATAAAACTTTATTAATATCATTCATTTCTTTATTAATGATTTTATTTTTTCAGTTTATTCTTCACAGAAGTCAAATTTTGATATTGAAATGTTACGAAGTTGTTTTTTTTACAAAACTAGAAAAGAAATTTACAAATCTAGTATTTTTAAAACTATAAACCTGAAAGGATTCTGAAGAAAATATGATCATTTACAAAGGATGTGATAATATGGTCAATTTCAGAGGATGAGATATATAAATGTACATCCAGGTCAATTATTACATATTCCGCACTACCGTAAATACTTCTAGAGTTGTTATGTCATTATGTATCTATGTGCCTGTCATACTAACACATTAATAACCTGGTGTGAAGTCTTTTTTAAAGGAAATTTATTCCTTTTGTTCTTTTTTTTAAAATTATTTTCAGTGTGCATTTTACAGAAGGTATCCTGTGATTTTTCAGCACAAAACTTCGGTAGTGCCACCAATTTTCAACAAAACCAGCTTCACTGCTTCCTGATAAACATAGCATATATAGTAATACAAATATGAGCCACGTCATGACAAAACCAACGTAATGCGTTCGCGACCAGAATGGATCCAGACCAGCCTGCGCATTCGCGCAGTCTGATCAGTATCCGTGCTGTTCGCTTACAAACCCTATTACAAATACAGAAACTGATAGCGAACAGCATGGATCCTGATCAGACTGCGCGGAGGCGCAGGCTGGTCTGGATCCATGCTGGTCGCAAACCCACTATGTTGGTTTTGTCGTGACGCGGCTCATATATTGCGCTAGAATTCAGAGCTCACCTATCTTTTAGTCTTTTGATGAGTGACTCAAGTGTGATATCTTCAGTTGACTTTAACATCCTCATCTTAGGCAGACCCTGGAATCCTCCTTCAGCAGGTGGCATGTTACCGTGGAAACCATTGTTACCTTGGAAACCGTTACTAAACATGGCGTCTGCTGCTGGCTGGCTGTCTTGGTCGTAGCTTAACAGATCTTGTGTAGAAGGTACCTAATTATAAATAGCAGAGTTAGACACTAGATTGTATATCCCCAAGTCAAGAGTACTGACTGCTATTTTTTGTTCTTTTCACCAGCAAAATTGAGTCATTTATACAAAGTTATTTTGTTACTACTGAAGCCATACCTCTAAATGAATTTGCCCAATACCAAGCCTTTCATGTTAAGGAATTTGTCCAATACAGGCCTTTTTATTTAATCTATGGGTTTCCAGTTTTATTTAAGAAAATGAATTTGTCCACTATGGACCTATTCAAGAAAGTAAATGACTTTTTCTAATTCATACCCTTATCATTTATATAAGGAAATGAATTGTGTCTAATGAAGGAAATGAATTTAACACTAAATGTAATTTTAAAAAAGTTCCATTTACCCCCTTTTCTGTAATGAAATATACTTTTAAATATTAGAACTTTGTATGTTAGGGAATAAATTGGTCCAAACAGAGCTTTTTAGTAAATGGAACATTACAAAAGTTATACAAGACATTATAAAAAGATAGTCTGGTCTATTAAAAGGTCTTGTCCTAATGGTTGTTGTAACCAAGTATGAAGACAATACACAAAGAACTTAAAAAGTTATGATCAAGGTACAAGTTTGCGGACAGCAACGGCATTGGCAACGCCAATATGACTGTAACAATACCTCTATTTAAAAAAATATATATATAAAATAACAATAGATCTACCTTTATTTAAAAACAAGTCAAGCTAAAACTAGAAATGTGTCCATAGGACACTGATGCCCCCACACGCCACTGTTCTGTCAATCTTATGACTCTAGGTCAAATATTTTTTGGACTACATGTGCCACAAGTTGAAAACTAAAAATCAACAAAGGGCCATAATTCTGTTAAATTTGGTCGCAGCAAAAAATCCTTCCTTCACTACGATCTACACATTAAGGTTGTTAATCCCTGGAAGTTTAAGCAAAATCTGCCATCCGGTTTAAGAGGAGTTGCGTTCACAAAATTTCTATATAGTATATAATGAAAAAATCAACAAAGTGCCATTATTCTGTTAAATTTGGTTGCAGCAAATATTCCTTCATTTACTACCATCTACACATTAAGGTTGTTCATCCCTGGAAGTTTAAGCAAAATCTGCCATCTGGTTTGAGAGGAGTTGCATTCACAAAATTTCTACATAGTATATCGTGAAAAAATCAACAAAGGGCCATAATTCTGTTAAATTTGTTCGCAGCAAAAATTCCTTCCTTTACTACCATCTACACATTAAGGTTGTTTATCCCTGTAAGTTTAAGCAAAATCTGCCATCCGGTTTAAGAGGAGTTGCGTTCACAAAATTTCTACATAGTATCTAGTGAAAAAATCAACAAAGGGCCATAATTCTGTTAAATTTGGTCGCAGCAAAAATTCCTTCCTTTACTACCATCTACACATTAAGGTTGTTAATCCCTGTAAGTTTAAGCAAAATCTGCCATCCGGTTAAAGAAGAGTTGCGTTCACAAGATTTCGGGACGGACTGACGGACGGACTGACGGACAAGTGCAACGCTATATGCTCCCACATTGTGGGGGCATAAAGATAAGGTGTCAATTTACCTGTTGTATAACACTGACACCTTTCTGTATTTGCTGATCTTCCCATTCCCTCTCCTGGTCACTGCCTTCATCACTCCCTACAATATAACAACGCGATATATGTGAAAGTGTAAGTGTTACAAACATTCCTCATTCCAGAATTTATTTTTAATACATGTAAAGCACAGTAATCAGGTCTCAGTTAATAGTATCATCTGAATGACACAGTATAAGTTTCTTTGTTTGGTTTTACAGTGCACCAACACAATTTAAGCCATAAGTGCCGAAAAAGGAAAGATGATTTTGGCTTACTGCAGGTGTTACAAAATTCAAGCAACACCAGGGGTCAAAACCACCTCACCTACTGGAGCTAAGAGTATTAGTAATTCTTGTTGGCAGAAGCTGGGTATCAAACAAACGGTCCATGTTTTTGCACTGCAGAGACATTATTAAACAATAACAAGTAGTCAACAACAAATTCTTAAAATTCCCTTTCATATACCAATGATTCTGCTGAACAAACTTCTTCAGGGTACATAAAACAATAAACAAACAATTATGTCAGCATCCCATGACATCATCGCGACAACATTCTCTTAAAGTGAAAGTAGCAACATCATTCAAAACATGTAATATTAGCCACATACCGTGTTCAGCACGGAGGAAATTCTCCTTCACTTTCTGTCTCTCTATGGCGTGCTGATTGGAGGAGAAGTCAATCCTTTCATCCTCGTCATCACTCTTATCATTGTCATCTTCCCTACAACATGTAAATTATCAACCCTTTTCATCATGCTAAATATCTTGGTAATGTTGTTTGTTAGTTGAACATAATAACAAGTTTAAATCTCATAACTTGCCTTGTATACAAAACCTGTTTCTCCACAAAAGATTGACAACTACCCAACACATAAAAGGTCAAGTAAGGGATTTTCCAACTACACGTTTGAGAGTCAGTGTGAAAAAAACAAGAGCTGTCGGTAGGACAGCACGCTCGACTATTCTAAGTGCTTGATAGTAAAAGAGCTTTGATAATGTTAAATTTTTTAAGTTCACAAAAGGGCTAAATTTTTTTTATAAATTCATGTTATAGGCCTTAGAGAGAGTTTAATTATACAGTATTGGCTTAAATTTTCGGAAGGTAATGTCACAAGGGTGTTTTATTGAGTATAATAATACTAATTACCTATGAATACATAAATTTGACAGAAAAGGTACAATTTAGGCTTGTTATTAAGATGTTTTATCAAGTAAATTACTGCTTTATTATTATGAATGCATTAAATTGTCCCAAAAAAGGCACAAACCCTTCAGTAGTTATTGAGATAACAGCTTACAAGCAAAACTTTACCATGAATTTCTAAGTTGAAAAAGGGGAGAAAAATCAGCCTAAATGCAAGATAGAATTATGGAGCTTTGTCAGTGACCTACAATTATGACCCTAAATGCATATGTGAAGTTTTAAATAAATATCTTTAATAGTTATTGAGATATGTAAAAACGTGTATGTAAACATTAACCAAGAGACTAAGTAGAAAAGGGGATATGAATCAGCCTTAATGCAAGATAGAGTTATGGAACTTGGTCAGTGACATACAATTATGACCCTCCAATTATGACCCTAAGTGCATGTGTAAAGTTTCAAGTAAATATCTTTGAATACCTTTAACCTTTAACCACAATTTCTAAGTTTCAAAGGGCAAATAATTCTGCAAATATTGCAGGCAAAGTTATGCAATTTTGCAAACTGATGTACATTGTTACTATAAAAAAGCATTTTAAATTTCAATTGAATATCTCAAGCAATAATTGAGATATTTGACTTTACAAAAAAACTTTAACCAAAATTTCTAAGTTCCAAAGAGGCATAATTCTGTCAATATTGTAGGCAGAGTTATCCAACTTGTCAATCTGATGTACCTTGTTACTATAAATAAGTATTGTAAGTTTCAATTGAATATCTCAAGCAATAATTGAGATATTTGACTTTACAAAAAACTTTAACCAAAATTTCTAAGTTAAAAAGGGGCATAATTCTGTCAATATTGTAGGCAGAGTTATCCAACTTGTCAATCTGATGAACCTTGTTACTATAAATAAGTATTGTAAGTTTCAATTGAATATCTCAAGTAATAAATGAGATATTTGACTTTACAAAAAACTTTAACCAACGCAGACGCCGACGCGGACGCTGACGCGGACGCCGACGCCGGGGCGACTACAATAGCTCTCATATTCTTCGAATAGTCGAGCTAAAAAGAACTTAATTTTTTATCAAAACTATTGTTTCTTTGATCATAAAACTGACATTTCATTGCATTTCTGACTGGTGTTCTTGTTGTTTTTTCCACATACTGACAAAGATGCCTTACCTTATAAGGCGAGATTTGGTATTTTCAAACTTGACTGTATCATCGAGGGGTAGGAAATCTCCCATGTCTCTTGCCATTTGACGTTGTTTACGTATCTGATGTATTGTAGTGGCATCAGGAATCTCTCCTCCTATAACATAATAGACTTTTTAAATTTTGTTTATTCAGCTGAACTTTACATACCTCTTCTTCTTGCCAGAGTCCTTAACACGAAGGTAATATAAAGTTGATATGTTTAATCATATGTTCAAAGATAAAATTTACATATCTATTCATTTGGCCCGAGTCCTAAACACCAAGGTAATGTAAAGTTGATAAGTTAAATTGTCAGGCTCGCTTTATTACTTATTGGTTGTGCAAGATAAATATCTTAAATGGACTTGTACATTACAGTCTCTTAACCTTTACCATGCTAAATATCCTAAATGTGTCTTGTTCATCAAAACCATCGTTATTAGATTTTATGTTGGGGTTTACATAGCACCAACACTGTAAAGGTCATATGGTAACTTTCCAGCTTTACTGGTGAAGGGAGACCTCAGGTGACCCTCCTTGTGTTATTTCAGATATTAAGAGCACCTGCCTGAGTAGAACCTTCACATTCTCTAAGCTAGCTGGATACCTTCCTCACATGAAAGAATACCCTGGTAGGATTTAAACACACAGCAGTAAGGGGCATGTGGTTTAAAGTCAACAACATTAACTACTTGGCCACAGATGCCCCCCATCCTTTATAGAGAAGATTTCAATATAAGAAACTGAGTAGCAAACCATGATAAAACAGCCATAAAAAAAATCATGACTGATATTGGTCTGAGCTGGTTGCATTGGTAGGATTAGTTAGCACCAGTAGGCTAAAGGTAAAAAAAAAAGTTTTTTTTATCAAAATACTTTTGAGCATTTTCTTGAATGTGCCTTCATCATCACTATCAGGCTCCTCAAGTGCAGCAGCATCATCTCCATTCATTGTAAGTAATTCCTCACGCAATTTCTACAATAAAGAAACACAATACTATCATATACAGGGTAAAGTACATAATAATTTGATAAATGAATACATGAATGATTTGCTGAACAAAAAATTGGCACCAAAAAAAAATAATTTTTATAAGGACATTCTATCTGGATGTATGTTGATTGTAAAATATTTTAACCTGCGATTTTGACTGCTTTTTTAAGAATCTTGCCAAGCTAACCAAAAGGCAATTATGTTTATCCCTTAGTCCTCAAATAAATAACTTGTTCCCAGTTCTTCTTAATCACATAAAGACTTTTAAAGATTTAAATATAGGAAGCTTACTCATTTTACTTTGACTTATTACCTTAATTCTGTCTTCCACATCCTCAGGATCTTTTGGCTCTTCTTTAACTTTGCCTGTTTCTGTCTCAGATTTGACAACAGTATTATCATCAGACTGTTTCTCTAGCTGAGATTCTTTCTTCAGTAACTTGGCCATCTTCTTACTGTGACTAGACTTTTTCACTTGAAAAGTTGTGTCACCTAGAAGTATAATCATACAATATTTATACAATAACATTAATAAACAGTATTATGTTGGACACATGCTCACATCTGTGCAGGACCCAGTATGTTTTCTCTTTTTAATTTTTCACCTCAAATTGCTGCCAATAAAGCATGTTATTGGCATATAACAGCTGAAGAACATCAAAGACAAATTATATCACTGTATCAAACAATAATGATGGAACACTTTTAGAATCTATCCACAGTAAAATCCATGTTTTAAAATCCTAACCCATAACACAAACCCAAGCAGTAATCTGTGTGACTTTGTGGAGAAACATTAATATTGAAGGAATATTGGGGGTAGTCAGACTATTCTCTCCCTTACCAGTTCCTCCCCTGACGTTTCCTCCCTGACGGTTCTCTCCCTATTTTGGGGGAGAACTGTCTGCATATTTGCAAATTAGAAGACAGTTCCTCCCCATTCTTATTTTAATAATTACATTATTATTAAAGTATTTAGATGATAAATAAATGGGTAAGTTAAAGTTTATTATCAATTGATATAAATTAGAAAAAAATAGATTTTATTGAAGTGTTTAGATGTTAAATAAATGGGTAGGTTTATTATAAATTGATATAAATTAGAGAGAAAAATACTTTAATGAAGTATTCAGATGTTTAATTCAAGCACGGATTTATATGTAATATAAATCCGTGATTCAAGTTTCAATTTTGTTAGCATCATCAGCAACAATAAATTGGTAAGTTTATTATCAAAAATTAATATAAATTAGAGAAAAAAATATTTTATTGAAGTATTTAGATGTTTAATAAATTTGTTACTTTATTATCAATTGATGTAAATTGAATTAGAAAAACGTTTTTTTTAACATATAATAATAATTGATCAATGATGATATTAGTTAATTATTCTGATTTTTTAATTAGATGTAATGTATACTTTTTAATATGTTTAGTCATTGAAAATAATTAATGAATAATTAACTTGATTAGGATAATCATAAGATATTATTTTTTTTTTAATAAATAAAAATGAAATTTATAGGCAAAAAATGATTAATAAATTTTAATTGCTAAACTTTTGTATAATGAAAAAAGGAGTTCAATACACACATGTATGCGTTAAGTTTGTCAGTGATAATTCAGGTGTTTATTAATTCAAGAATCAAGGTGTTGATTAGATTAAAATAGCTGTAAAAAGGTGTTGATGAATAAGTATTGTATTAGTTATTTGGTATTATATATTGTTTCAAGTTAATGACTACATGTTTTTAAATCAATTTCGTAAAAAAGTAAATGTGGAATGTGTTTGCATACCAGTTGTTGTTTATGTATTTTCTAGAACATACTTGTTTCCACCTTATTCACTATTTAACAAATGAATGAACATCCCAAGCTAGACCTTAACATCATTACAGGTGTATATCAATCACTGTCCAATGATCTATATCTCTCACAATAAAGGTGTTGATAGGATTAAAATACTGAAAAAAGGTGGTAAATTTACAAACACTTTTCAGCTGATAAACATAAAACATAAAATACAGTTAATATCAAACACATTCTTTTAATAATCTTCATTAAGAAATATTATTAGATTAAGTCAAAACTAAAATGACATCTTATAAAAATAAAATTGGGGGAGAACTGTCTGCATATTTCAAATTTGGGAGAGAACCGACAGGGGAGGAAATGGTTAGGGAGAGAACCGTCAGGGGGAGGAACTGGTAAGGGGTAGAATAGTCTGTCATTCCCCAATATTGAATGACAGACTATTCTCTCCCTTACCAGTTCCTCCCCCTATAAATATAATGTTAAAAATATATGAGGACATATTCTAAAGTCTAGTCATAATGGATAAATAGAAATTAAAAAGTTATGATTTCTTTTTCGAGGTGTATTAAAAATGTTTTAACATTTTCAAAGCACATCTTATGTGTCAAATCATGAAGGTTTTCAACGTGGATCATCTATATTAAAGTGGAGCGAGCTATTATGGGGGCGAATAAAAACCAGATCCGGTGAATAGTTCCAGCATTTGATTCACACCGTTTAAACTTGATTAAACACTGTTAAAACGATGTTAAGGCCTCTAATTATATTCAAATTTCATTAAAAGTATTCATTTAAGTATCATTTTAAAAGTTATACAACAAACAATCATGAACGGTACACAGACTAGTTGTAAAATCATTTTACCCTCGTCGTGATCAAAACTGAGAACGGATTTCGACTTCTCTTTTTTCTTCTTTTCTTTGACAGGTTTATTTACGTTTGGTTCCTGTTTAATTTGGATGCGAGGAGCCGTTTCCTCTGTCTCCATTTCTTCTTCATTTTCATCATCAGATTCAAATTTAACTGGTCTTAAACGGAAATTTCTTTTAGGTTTCTTGAACATGGTTGCCGATTCCGTCTCTCGCAAAGATGGCGCCACCCGTGCATACAACAGTGAATAGCTTCCCCTGTTTTTAGTTGTCTATCGTCACGGTGTCTGACTTTCTGTTACAGGTCACTTTTATCTCAAAGAGACCGTCTAAATCATAAATTAAAATAAAGTTTCCTTTTAAAAGGAAAGGCTTGCTCAGTTGTGCCATCATCCCATCTCTTTAAAATTGTTTTTTTTTTGTTTCAATTTATTATCACAATTTTTTTGAATTACGGTCTATCATAAAGGGTTTATTTAGTTTTTTTTTCTCGAAATTTTTTTTCTCACTTTTATGGGGATAGGTAGGGTAAGCCCAAGACTGGACGAGCACCTGTGTCCATTTGTTTGAGCACCAGTGTTATGCGTGCAAATTTGGACCAAAGAGGGACCAGAAGTCCACTGATTATAACTGAACGTAACAGTAGCATTTTTTTTTTTTAGTAAAAAGAATATTTTTTTACAAAAACGATTCGAAATCTATTCTCTATTGTATAAAACTAATAAAGAAAATAATCAATCGTAAGATACTAACATTGGCTCTCATGTGCAGATCTATCTATCACAAGTGTGCACATTTGACATTTCATTTCCACTTTTTTCGCAGAGAGAGTCATTCGTTTTGGCAGTTGCTAATTTCATTTATATAGCAACTTTAGACTTAGAGACAAGTAAATGCATTAATATAAGCATGTATCAACTATGTTACACCTTAAATATCTATGATAACAACACAGGAGATCAGCATGTGGTAAGGTTAATGATATGCATGGCTATTTTTAGATTACCTCAACTCTGTCAGTAGATCTAAATATAACTTGATCATGCACTAATGGTCACGATCTTTTGGTAAGCAGGACCGCCTTTGGAGACGGAATACTACTAACACTAATCATTCTCTATTGTATATAAAAAACTAATAAAGACAAAAACGAATTTTAAAAAGAAAATAACTTTTTGAGTCTTGAAAAAGAATAGAAACGGAACAATTTTCGATAAATCAAGTAAAAATAGAAATCCTATTTTATATAAACAAACTGGGATTACCGAAGTAACTAAAATAGCTTAGATTTCCGTAATATTACTTCGTCTGATTCCGCAGTATGACGGAATCGCCCGAATTGTCACGATTTCAATCGGAACTACCTCGGCTATTATCATTAATCCGAAGAGTGACGGAAAGGGCCGAAAAGTTGCGATTGCACGATTGCAGCTGGTTTCCCGTTCAATCATGCACTAACAAATGTAAGCAGGAAACCACCTAACCGGAACAACTTTTCCAAAACAAAGGCTTGCAGCCGTGGCTGCACACAGCTGCAAGCCAAAAATAGAAAACGTACGATATCGGAATGTAGAATGTGCATTAACTCATTGAGCTAAATATAAGATGGTTTAACTGAAGAACACTTTATCTTGAGGAAAGAACTCTGTAATAGAGCTAATTTCTCGAATACAGTATCTGAAAATGCTAGAAAAAAGTCTGAACAGATTGTTAATAAGGAGATGGCCCACTGAATTTTTGTACTATATCCTATAGTGGTCGTAGGACAGGGCGGACCGTAAGATATTGAAAATAAAGATATATTACAACGCGTACATCCTTCCTGTGCTTGATTATTGTTGTACGGTATGGGGAAAGGACACATACTCATACATCAATAAAGTAAACTCAATTCAAAAAAGAGCTGCAAAAATTATACTTAATAGACCGATACGTTCACCAACATTAGATCTTTTTAATAAACTTAAATGGCTGAAATTCAATTTCAGAGTGAAATACCACACAGCAATTATGGTGTATAAATCTTTAAACAATCTGTCAACGTTATATATAAGAAATTTTTTAGTTTCTCTCACAATGAATAAAATATTTTACGCTCAATCGCTCATAAAGATCTTGTCCTCATACAAATTATTTAAAGGATTCTTTTTCTTATTTCAGTATTGACGTTTGGAATAAATTGCCTATTACTATTAAACAATGTTCGACTTTACAATCTTTAAAAAACAACTGTAAAATTTATTTTCTAAGTGTACAGTTAGATACATGATGAAAATTGATCAATTTATATTTTAATGGTTGTAAATTTATGTTGATATCATCATATTTTTTCTCTCTTTTTTTAATCATTACGAGTTTATCTATGATTACCATAATTAATATGAGTGTCAGCCGGATGAATGAATAAAAAATATCTAACCTTTACATTAAATAATATAAATATTTTTTTTATATATACCAAAAGATTTTAAATATTTGTATAGATCTACATTTTTTCTTTGCTATTGTTAAATCAGAAGGCCATACTGAAAATAAGTATACTTCTTGCTGTGAACTTTGTATGTTACCTTCTATAAATAAAGATTTAATTATTATTATTATTATTCATTCATATAAGATATAATGCTGTATTTTAAAAGAAGTACACGAATCTATATGCAAAAATCGTAACTGTTATTCAAAGTCAAAATGCAATAACAAAGTAGCAGTAATAGTAATATTTCTATACTAGCATTAATTTATATTGTTCAATTCTCTTGAATGATGTCATAATGACTCTAATATGACAATGTTAATATCGTTATATTGTACATTTTTACTATACTCGTATACTAAGAAAAATTAATACAACAATTTTGCAAACTTGTTTCTTCTTGCTAAGATAAATTAAAGCATAATGTTTTCAATTTTTATAATAAATCACTGCTAAATATCCAACCCAAAGCTCTATTACCATTTAAAATTTATTGTTAAATACATTTGTTGAACATATTTTATTATTCTATGCTTAAACTTTAACAGCGAGTTATATGCATCCTTTTGTGGAGAGAAGCTTTATGCAATTCAAACACCTGATGGCTTATGCTCATAATATTACATATACATATATTTTACTATTATTAGGAAACCTAAACGTGGTTTATGTACGTTGTATATTATGTCAATGTCTTTATACTTGTATGTTCTGCAATGTATATATGTTGTACTCTTCAAATTTGGAGGAATAAAAGAATCTAATATAATCTAATCTAATCTTATTAAAATAAAGTATGCATTAATGTGATGCACAGCTACATTGTATTTGATATTGTGTTGAGCAAGTTTACTGTGGCATGACCAACTTATAATTGTTACTTTCTGTTTGATGTTCTGGTCATATACAATGCTACTTTAAAACGCAATTGTTATTGCCTGGATGATGTAATTTTATACCACACGAAACATAGCTTCTTTATCAATAAAAGCCCACTTACTCGAATCCGTTCCTGGAACCAGCCAGTTCCAATTAAGCAATTAATGTAAAGTTTCAACTTTCTTGTTCAAGGGAACAACGGCTTGCCCCTGTTATGTTTTGAACCAAATCGGCTAGCAATCCTTAGATTACTCGTCACACGCGTTAACCACAGGGCCATGCCGCCACACGATATTAATAGAAATCACAGATTGTCAGTCGTATTTATACCCCAAATTTTGATATGAATTTATTTTTCGAATAAAATCATTTCTGCATTTTTTTACACCATTTCTCCTTAGCCGCTGATTTTACTTGCCGTGCCCTCACCCCAGCAAGTCATTTTCCTTCCTTAGCACCCTTCACATTATAATAAAATTCTGTCTCTAATTTATATTGCAACATATTGATGCAAATACAGTCTCTTATTTCTGTATATATACCGCCAGTATTTTACTTTCAGCGCCTAGTTATATTCGTAGTTTTATTTCCGATAATATTCACACTTTCAAGTCTTCCTATCAGTCATTTGACTGTAATTAGAAATTTAATAATTCTAATTTTCTGATCATATTGTATTCTGTTCTTTATTTATGGAAACAAGCTATTCAGAAATAATAATGAATCATTTTCTAAAGAAGAAGCTTTTTCAAAATTTCATTCAAGATCAATATTTGTATGATACGATTTCTTGCCATTTTTTATATAAAGGTAAACGAATAACGTTCCTGCTCATTGTGCCCATTTTACAATGTAATCATAAAGTTTACTCTCAGTAACTCAAACTCGCTTTACTCGCAATCCCGCAAATTTCAATTCGTTCCGAATTACTGTGTACATGAATTTAATAATCTGCATCAGACCATAGTTAAGGCAACGACGTACAGCTGTAACTGTTTATTTTCCAAGCAGGAAAATATAAAGCTTCCTCCCTCACTACATATTTTAGTGAAAACTAGATAGTAATAAACCTGTTCTACAAATACCCACTTATTAGTTGTCGTAATAAACACGTGTATTATTTGTTTGGAATTTTGTATTGATGATGCATTGCTGCATACATAACAAGACGTATTACAGTTGAGATATTTATCATCAGAAAAGTCGTTTTGATATTTTGTTTAGAAAACTAATACTGCACAATAGAAAGTGTAAACGTAAGTAGTTTTGGTCTTGATTTTATTGATAATGTACAAAGCAGCAATCAATTACATCCAAAACAAAACAAATAAATAAATAAATATTTGAATAAATAAAGCAACCTATTGGCAGACGATTAAATACAAACATACCTTTGATAACATTATAACACAGAAAGACATTTCTCGAGATATATATAAAAAAAACAATCATTTAAATATATATTTTTAAAACCGGGTACATGTATTAACAGAACACTCTGCATCGTCCTCGACAAATGTCAAATTTAAATGTGCACCAGACTCGGAGGGAATCGCATGACCAGTGAAGACATTGCCTGAGCAAATTGTAACAGATATAGCTGTGGTCCTTGGTATTTCATCATTTAATATAACAATATCATTTGTTTTAGCATCACTGTTCCCTTCTTCGGATGTTTGAAGTTGTATTTTCTTTCCACACAGCGATGATAGGTTGATGACTAAGGAGCTTATTACCATAGAAACACCGGCAAAAAAGAAAGCAGTTTGGTATGTTCCGAACCCATCCCTCATCCAACCTGAAATTTGTCAATACCAAAATGTACCCTTTTTTGTTGTTAAGCATATTCAGTGGATATTTTCAACATGTCTATGCATTTTGTCGCCAATAAAGAAATGAGCATTTCATAGTTTTATGAAAGTTAATTATCCAATGGTATTCATACTTGTTGAAGTCATTCAAAATTTGGTCAATACGTTCCTGAATATTGATATTTGAGAGAATGAAATCACAAGAAAAGTACAAAAAAACATTCATTATGCCGGCTCGCCACGGCGAGCCGGTATTACGGTAGGATTTTACTGAGAAACAACCTAAAACTCCGAAGCCATCCAAAAATTAAATCGACGCTTGGCTTCCAGCTTTCTACAAAATTTATCTATCAGGGCTAGGATCCAAAATTATTTAGCACAATCAAAATTGATCTTAGCATAGGCGTCAAAAAACCTTCAATTTTCACGCCATTTTTTAAAAAATCAGCAAGTATTGTTTTGAGTCGCAAAGATATAATGATGATTAAAATGTTTGTCTTATGAATTCTTTTCAAATAAATCATAATTTACACCCTGGACTTCTGATTTTTAGCGATTTCAACCTCTGTTTTTTCTCTGTAGTAAGTTTTTTCGTTTGTTTAATTAACATAAGTGTACATCTGGTTCTGTGCATTTTTTATTTTTTCCCTTTTTTTCGGTCATTTTAATCCTTTTCCGGTAATTATGTATGTATTTACTGGCCGGGATCCGGGACGCCCGGATCCCGGGATCGTATAAGATATGGAGAAAAACCTAAATGAAACTATAATTTTGTGTTGATTGTTTGTCGTTAATGAGAGACCATTAAAACGCTAATTTTTTTAATTGTATGTAATTGGACGTTAAATTAATTTAACTGGAGAATAAAGATATATTTAGAGCTATTATTAACAAACTTAAAATGCGGAAATCCACAATACTTGTAATATATCCTAATTAATTGGAAAATCAAGATATTTTTCTTGAATTGGTCAAATGCCCGGGACCCTATTGTTTTAAAAACGATCCCAGCTTTCTGAAAACTATATACTTGAACTGGCCAATCCGTGAGATCTATTTAACATTTTAATACGGATCTCCGTGCTTTTCTTGCAAACTATATTCTTGAACTGGTCAATTCCCCACGGATCGCCTAATATGTTTTAATAGGATCCCGGCTTATCTGAAAAACTCTTCTTAGACTGGTCAATTCCGGGAATCCCTATATTTTTTTTAATAGGATCCCGGCTTTTCTGGCTGAATTGATTGACCAACTTGTGTTTACTTTAGGACTTGTGCCTCTCATTCCAATACTAAATAACATACATGTTTACAACTTAATTTTGTATAAAGAGACAATCTTTATGAAATCTACCTATCTAAAACATTTTTGTGTCAAGGTCCAACAGGCCAATATGTAAATGTGCATAGACATAGGTTTTTTCATTCTATCTGTTTACATGCACCTTCATAGATATAACTTCAACTCATCTTTGGTTAAACTGAGAGAACTTTATATGTCACTTTCAGTCAAATGAGTTTAAGAAATTTTGAATTTACTGGCCCGAATTCCAGTTTTGAATTTATTCTACTAAATAATTAACAAAAATTTTCTTTAAATTTAACACTGGCCTGAACTTTATACTACACTGGCCATCGGGCACCGGGCCAGTGTTGACTTCACTTTTATTTTGATGTTCGCTGAAGTCTCTTCAGCTAACAGAACTGTCATTTTTACATTTAAACACACCCCTTGAAAAAAATTACGAAGCGAGTCGCTACTAGCTTTTTTAAAAGCTAACCTTGTATATATATAAAGTATATGAATTGCAGAAACTTATTATCTTAAAATACGTAAGTGAATTACGGCATTGACTTTACTCTTTAAACTTACCTGCGATTGGTGGTCCTAGAAGAAATCCTGCACCTTGGAATAACAGAGACAATCCAAATGAACTGGATAGCTTGTCAACACCTAGAAGATCAACCAATATCACAGGTGTGAGAGCATTGTATGAGCCGGCAAACAATCCAAATATCACAGAATATGTTGCAAATTGCCAATACTTGCTTGCAAAGCCACAAGTTATATTTGCAATTCCGCTTATGAAAATCGAAGCTACGTACAGATACTTTCTGTTCTCTTGGAGGGCTCTGATATCACAGACAGCACCGAAGCAAAGTCTTCCAATGATATCAGCTATACCCGTAATTGAGAGCAGGAACGCTGATTTCTCAGCCGTGACGTCATGTTGTAGAGCAAGCGGAGGTAACATGACGGTCGCCGGGGAATGTCCCAATGTAGCTAACATTAGCGATAGTCCAAAAAATAAAAATTTAGGATTTTTCATCAGTGTGTAATCTAAATAGTCCTTTAGTGTTTTAAATTCTTCTCTCTTTTTAACAGTATCGTCTTTAGAACCTTTATTGGCCGGAATCACGTCTGGATGAGAAATAGTATTTACGCAGGTTTGCTCATCCATGACTCCGCACTCAGTTGTAGAATCTTGACTTGATTTTGCACCATCTATTGTAGGAACAGGACGGAATAACACTCCGCAGACACTCATTGCCAACATAACTCCGCCCATTATCACCATTGTATATGTAAATCCATATTTCGAGAGAAGAGTTTCCAAGAGAGGCGCAAATGCGAATGTTCCAAATCCAGCTCCAGCCACCGAAATTCCATTAGCAAGTGAACGTCTTTTATTGAACCACTGACCGACTATTAATATACTTGGTGTAAATGAAAATGACTTTCCTATACCTGTTAAAGAATAGATAATGTAAAAGTCAGTTGTTTAGGTCTTGATGGGGTGACATTTATTGTTCCTTTATTTTTATAGAAGGTGGACTAATTAAGTATAGATTTCTAGAACAAAGAATATTAATAAAGAAACAGACGAAAATTAAGACTCCAGATAAAAGTTTGCTCACGGTTGGTAAAAAGGCATCACAGTTCACAACCCTAAGTTTCTGATTTCGATGAACAATAATATGATTAGAAATAGTAATCTAACAATAATATAATTAGAGAATAGTAATTTTCAAGAAAGAGCATTGGTTACGGTACTAACGTTATAAAATAGCTGTCATTTGTCCAAGATATATCTCTACCGAAGCATCTTACAATAATTCTTATTTCGAACATGTTCAAAATTTCAAATAAAGTAACTACTATGAAATATAATATCTACCTGCTAGAAGACCATAGGAAATAAACATATATTCTATTCTTGGCATAAAACCGGTGCTGACCCAACCTAGTGACGTCAATATACCACCGAGAATCACCATCTTCCGGCAGGAAAACCGGTTACTGAGAGCACTTGATAATGGACCTATAAATATAAAACATAAAGTGTAAAGGAATACTAACATTTGATTCAAATTACAGCAACTAATGACACTACTTAATTACTACTTATGACTAAACTAAATTGTTCATCTTTAATCATTATCGCTTTATTATATGCGACTAAGAACACTTCCTGATTATCAAATACATGTAATACATTGTATCAAAATAGGAAAGTTCAAACAATCACCTAGCAATAGTCCCATGGCATTAGCCATTGATCCGACCCATGCCGTTGTTCCTGCACCTTGGTCGTACCTGGCTAGTAGTGCCACATAAAGCACACCGAAGGTGTTCACAGCGCCTCCTATCAGAAAGTTCAATATTGTTGCACCTATATGTAATAAAAATATATACTGTTTAATAGAGATAATAAGGACTATATTAAACAGTATAATATGCATTAGTTATGCCGTGTATTACCAAACAAACATGCAAGCAAGGAGTCAGTAACAAACTGCGGGAACGCCCAGAAAACACATTTTTACAGGTATAAAATCTATTTAAAAAGCCTTACAAATGCTGCAAATATCTTCAAGGCGGACCCAGTTAACTTGCTGAATTTTACACAATCTGCATGCATTAATTGAAATGAAAAATTGTATGCATCATATGTCTAAAGTCTTTTTTTCAAAGCAATAACAAATTTAATATGTAAAGTGTCCCTATTAAAAAAAATGTCAATTATTGCTTTTGGCCCGTCTCTTGACCTTTCTTATCATGCGTGGCTGAATGTTTAATTGTGTCCTGCATTCCATGAACGTCTCTCTTCCTTTTTGATCTTTGTGCTGTTTTAGCAATTCATGTACGGGTATATTAGAAGAATACTTTAAGTTAAACAATTTTTTTATTTATATTGTGATGATAAATCGGATTGTTATTTCAACTCTTATTTTTCTCTGTCAAATAGATCCACCTCCTGACAGTTAAATAATTCTCCAGTTTTACCTGCGACAACGGCCCATCCCCATCCTCCATCTGGTGCTTCTATCTTGCTTTTCTTATCATCAGAGTCTGAATCTGAAGAAGCACGTACCATATCTTTTACTTGGCGTCTCTTGGAATGGGAAACAAATTAAAGTCAGACACGAACAGGTGTCTGTTGTATTTTGCTGAAACAAAAGACATAAGGAATACCCAGAAAAGAAATCAATACAAACAACACATAATTTCCACAAACGACGATAAATTTTTTCCAAAAGATTATCCTATCATCGACAACATTTACACAATGCAATCCCTATATTTATGAACACCGAATGTGATCTATACATGTACCACTCCTTTTCAAGACATCCACATTCCAAAATATCATAATAAAATACCAAAAATACTGCTGCCTCATGGCGGATTTTGCATTTGTTTTTGTTTCCCGGTTTACAGTCCAATTGATAATAAGTATATTGTCCCTCAAAAAGCCAATCAGCAGCCATATCTTAAGACATTGACATATTGTCATTTGCATTTATTTTTTTTTACTTCAGATATTGACAGGAGGATGCCAGAGAATTTCCATATTCTACTTTCTACTTGGTAATGAATTCACGCATATTGGGATAACGGTTTTATCTAAATATTACGGAGGGTTTCAATAGAGCAAGAAATATGTCTCCTTTTTTGGAAATAGCTTGTTAATTTGTTTGTTGATCTGTTTTTTATTCACTGAGATTGATCTATTATGAACGCTATTGCTGAAAACAAAAACAACAACAACTAACAAAATATCATATATCACTATTTACATAATGTTTGTAAATAACCAAATGCAAAACGCGGTTAGCTAATATATTAGATAAAACCAGCTAAAACTGATCTTTTCTACAGATGTTGTGATATAAAAATGATTTTTTTAAAACCTTATATCCAAAGTTTGACACAACAAAAACATTTCTGTAAGTGATAAATCTTGATCAAAGTGAAAAATACGAAAGTAAATTATTATTTCATCGGTTAATTTAGGTTAATTTGCTATTCTTTCAAAGAAGTATGACCGACGACATTCTTATCATTCATTCTTTGAAAGGAAAAACAACAACAACAACAACAACAACAACAACTAAATTACGAAATACTTAATTATACTTTGTAAAACGTTACTTATACATGTGTACTTGTATGATAGTATGTCAAATTTGCTCGACCTAAAACTGTCATCTTTTTGTTTTTTCTTCTTCAATAAATTAATCATCTTGTTAAGCTGGCACGCAGCCACAAAAGTTTTGGAAGGAAATAAAAAAAATGAGAAAGAAATCAAGCAAAAATGAACTGTCATCGGAAGATTTTTTTGAGCATTTTAAAAACTTATTTTCAAACGAAGAGACATTCAAAAATAATTCCGTTGAGGAACATTTAGATAATAATAATATATTTTACAATAATGTTGAAGAACTTGACATGGATTTTACGATCGATGATGTGATAAAGGCTATTTCTACCCTTAAGAGTGGTAAAAGTGCTGGTATAGATAAACTTATTCCGGAGATATTTATTGAATGCAAAACAATTTTAGCACCAATATTATGTAAATTATTTAATCATATTTTTAATTCAAATGAATATCCTGAATCATGGTGTAGTGGTATAATTGTACCAGTGCCCGAGAAGGGTAATCTAAATGATGTTAATAATTACAGGGGTATCACCCTTACTAGTATATTTTCTAAACTTTGCTCAATATTGTTATACATGAGATTACGTAAATGGGCCGAAAGTAATGAAATATTGAATGATTTCCAGTATGGTTTTAGGAAAGATAAAAGTACCACTGATTGCATTCTTGTTTTATGTTCAATTATTAATAAGATAATACGTCATTAAAAGAAAAAGGTATCATTTATTGGTTTCAGAAAATGTTTTGTTATACAGAAATGGAATATGGTTTAAATTGATTGAATCTGGCGTATCATATAAAGTTGTAACAATGTTACGTAGTATGAATAATTGTGTGAAATCTTGTGTAAGAGCAAATGGTTGCCTGACAGATAATTTTGAGAGTTATATGGGCTTAAAACAAGGGGAACCACTCTCACCTCTGTTACATGTATTTATTTTCTTCGTTAATGATATGCACGAAAATTTACAAATAGATAATGTTGATACATTTTCATTAGATGATATACAAATATTTTTACTATTATTTGCGGACGATACAGTTTTATTCTCTTATTCTAAGGAAGGATTGCAATGCCTCCTTAATAAACTTCATACATATTGTACTAAGTGGGGTATTGTGGTGAATGTAGAAAAAACGGTTGCTATGGTTTTTAAATCTGGAAATAGAAATGAAAATGTAGAGGTATATTACAATAATGAGCTACTTAGCGTTGTTAAGTCATTCACCTATCTTGGTGTTACATTATCGTCTAATGGGAATTTTTATCAAGCCCAAAAGGCGTTATCTAATCAAGCGCTTAAAGCACTATACTCTGTTAATTCTCTATTTGAATCAATTTCCCTTAATGTCACAGAAAAAATCAAAATTTTTGATAGCATGGTTTTACCGATTCTTACATATAGTTCAGAGGTATGGGGTTTTCATAAGCCACCAGACATCGAAAAGGTACATTTGAAATTTTTAAAACAAGTTCTTGGTGAACGTCAGCAAACTACAACATCAGCGATTCTTGGTGAATTTGGACAATTTCCATTATTAGTTCTGCGAAAAGTCAGAATTGTTAAGTACTTGTACAGAATTATGAAATCCCCCAAACTCTCTTTTATACAAGTTGGTATTTTTAAAAGATGCAAATGGTAATTTGTTGAATAGCTGGTCAAAAAATGCTAAAAATATGTTGTCAGACTCAGGTTTTTCATATCTATATAATATTTCTGATAATATTTCACTTGAGCATGTTAATACTATTATAGAAGGAATATATGATCAGCAGCTACAGCAACGCTGAACTTAATACTTTCTCAAAGTTAGAAAGTTATAATTTGTTTAAAATTGAATTGACCCAAGAAAAATATTTAAGTTGTATTAATAATGTAAAACATCGTAAAATGCTATCAAGGTTTAGGTGCTCTTCGCACAAATTAGCTATTGAAGAGGGTAGACATAGAAATATTGAAAGAAACCAACGCCTCTGTACAAAATGCAATATGAAACAAATTGAAACTGAATATCACTTCTTATTAGTATGTCCATATTATAGCGACTTAAGGAAAACATGTTTACCTAGATATTATTGCTCATGGCCTAATTTAAATAACTTCATATCAATAATGAAATGTACGAACAAAAATGTAATTGTTAACTTAGCAAAATTTGTTTATTCTGCAATGCAACTGTGAAATGAATCTACTTAATACATTTGTTTGAAATAATGTACGCTGATAAATAACTATGTATATGTATAATTTATCATGTATGTATCTTACTTTTCTGTACTTTGTACCGCCAAAATGTTACTTGGCGATGAACATGTATATGTTTTTGCCAATAAATTATTTGACTTGACTTGACTTGTTAAACATAAAGGTCAAAACAAGTTAGTGTTTGGAATTATTTTTGCCCAATAGCATTTATGGTAAATCGGCAAACTGTTAACCGGTCTAGTAAATCGACTATTTATGAAAATAATTTAAAACACTTATTTAGCTGGTTAAAATGTATTAGTACTATACTAAAATTGTTATGAATTAAAGATTTTGAACAGACACTTATTTAAAACATCTTAGCGTTTCATATTATACAAGTAAACACAAATTCATTAAAAAGTAAACCACTTTTCTCAATATTTTGTTCCTATTGGCTAATGCTTATAGTTTTCTAAATTCGTTTTCGTCACATTTAAAAATAGAATTTCGGATGACAAATGATACTTTAATTGCTAATTGTAAACAATCTTTAACCGCAAAGGTTACTGTCACTTCTTTATTGATGATTTGTGGTACAGACCAAATTATGTTGGTTTCTTGCATTCTACCAAACGATAAGTTTCATGAACCTGTTTCGTCCGTTCACAATCTGATTGGTGTTTATTTGTAGCTTTGTTAAAATAAACTGATAAACATGTGTGGTCGGTCGGTGTTTAACCGCATGCTCATACTTTCTCTTTCGTATTTTTGGACATGTTAATGTAAAAAGGCAAAACATTTGTTCCTTGTTCAATGTTTATTTGCTTTGAGTAATGATCAGTGATAAAATAAATAAAATAAACATGAAATGAAATTTAAAATTGAAACATAGCCAGGCATGACGACAAGTTGACAAAATAAAATAAGTTGTTAAAAATAACAAGCAAACAAAAAGATCGTTAATTTCATTCCTCCAGTGATGACCCCCATCCCCCCGTCGGAAACTACACGTATATGCGAAATCCATGTTTTTTTTAATTCTTTAGAAATGTCAAATATTGTTTCAAAATGAATTAAAAGCACATTACTTGTTTAAATACTAAAGAAAGTAGCTCTGAATGTGCAGCAATGTATCGTAAAGGTAGCGTAATGTAAACGAATTAGTATACAAAAATACTACTTCACTGTAAATATACCAATTACTGAATGGAAAATGAGTATATTTTTGTAAACTATAACAAAATACCAAAAAGAAAAAATATTTTGAAAAGTAAAATTGATAGCATTTCTAAGGCATAATGGGCCTTTAATATAATTTTTTCTTATGAAATATTATGAGACATTTGTTGTTTAATCTAATAAATGTTGTAAAATGTTGTGTAAAAAATAAAATTACTACTTCATTCCAAGTTTAAATATTATGTCGTGTAGCAATAAATATAAATGAAGATAATTATGTTAATATGATGAATGAATATTTTTTGCATTTAAAAGTGGTATTAAGCAAAAAGAAAATAAACGTATGCATTAAAATCCTGTCGAATTCTTCCTCATGTTTAAAAACAATAATCATGGTGACTTATTTAACAACCAGTCCCTTTAGCAACAAGGCATGTCCTTTTTTGCAAATAATACAGCATTTAGTTAACCGCTTTCGCTGTTTTTCCTACTTTTTGGTAAGGGTTTTTCTTCGCTGAATGTTTCCACCAGGATCTGCTCAATGTCTCGGTTCTGGATGGCTTTCAGGATCTTTCCAAGTGACTTGTCTATCCCGTTCTGTCCACAGTAAAATGGAATCTGAAGATCTTTTCGTATGAAGTTGTACATTCTTTTCGTACCTGGAAAATGAAGTAATATGTTGATTAATTTGTAAATGTATGCAAGATTATATATTAATAAACGATTATATATTAATAAACATATTTTAAGATGCGTCTGAATTACAATTAAATTAATTTGAATACTTAAAAGTTTGTCATTTTTTATATATAATTCTCTATAAATGTGCTTGATGAAGCTTTTTTTGTTCGAGGGTTTGATTTTTATCTCTAAATATTTGCCATGATCATCTTTGATGTTATTTTCTAATCATGGTTAACATACTAAAAGAATATTAGATGTATAGGTAATATATGCTATATGTGGTAGTCATAAAATGTAGGAAAACAGTTTCGCAAGTGCTTAATTATGGTACTATATATTTGGAAACAATACTGTTATGTCATGACAAAAGATAACATTTTGCATGTATGTCCGAAGTTTATTTAAGATAAAATTATTACCTTTTCCCATCAATTCGGACACATCAATTGATCCAGAGCAAGCCTGCTTGTACAACGTAGCTAATCTGCCTTGAACATATTCTGCAATGATCACCTGTTCCTCTTCGGTCCTTCCTTTCTGAAGCTCGGCAGATTTTTCCTCGGAAAAGAACAAAAGATTGTACCATTCTATCTCCTTTAAAGCATCAGACATTTCAGGAACTTTTTGTACCAACTCGTCAATTTCTTTCAGTGCCAGGTTTCGGATATGACGTAAGTCGACCGCTTGCACATTGAGAAGTAAGATATTTGCTATCATCATTTGAAGAATCTCAACAGCTTCAGTGGTGAACCTTGCGCTTACAAGCGCCATGGAGTTTATTGACTGGTTATGACATTCTGCACTAAGGACGTGGTTACTCATTGGGTTTACAAAATGATCCAGTTCTGACATATAGGAGGCCATGGCTATATCGCAACCTTTAAATCCAAAGTCCGTGTTGATATCGCACCCGCTCAAGTTCGGAGGAAGACCAAAGTTCATTTTCGAATTAACAACTTCCGTGAACTGTGCAAAAAGTATTTTTCCACACAAGCCAAGTGCTTGCCGTGTTTGATCCATTGCAATTGACAATGTTTCTCCCTGGAAATTTGCGCAGTGAGCCACCGTATCTGTACGATGATCTATAAGAGGGTTATCTGTTGCAGCGTTCAATTCTATTGTTAGTCGTCTGCAAGTTTCTTGCAATGTTTCTGCTACAGAACCAAGCCATTGTGGGGAACTTCTTAAGCTGTAACGATCTTGCTTTAAAACACCATATTTGTCCGGCAGGTGCATGTCCAGCGTTGTAATGACCATTTTACTTCCATCAAGAACAGTCAGCATGTTTCGTGCAATCTCTTGTTGTCCAACATGCGGCAGACAATTGTGTATTACAGGATTGAAGCTCTCTGTTCGTCCGTGCAATGCTTCATGGGAAAGTCCTGTACTGATCTGTGTGAGAAGTAATAGTAAGTTTGCATCATATACGGCTGGTACAGCAAAACCAGCTGTAAATGTAGTAGCATTAACGATACCGAGTCCTTCTTTTGGTCCAAGTTCTACAGGTGTTATGCCAGATTGCTTTAAAGCCTCGGGACAAGACATCACAGTTCCATGTTTTGTAACTGACAAATCTTCTCTACCTATCATAGCAGCAGCTATGTAACCAAGTGGCATTAAATCCCCACTAGCACTGACTGATCCTCGGAGTGGAACTTGTGGTGTGATGTCGTTGTTAACCAATTCGATCAGTGTTGACGGAACTATCGGTCTTACACCAGAATATGCTTTAATCAAACAGTTTGCTCTTGTTACCATAGCTGCTTTAACGAGTTCGGCTGGAAAAACTCGTCCCATTCCAACATTGATATGGCGAATAAGTGCCTTTTGGACATTTTTCAGTTGCCATGATCGGACCTCGGCACTTCCTCCAAACCCTGTATTTATTCCATACACGACTAAACCATTATCCAATTTTTCTTTCAGGTATGCTTGATTGGCAGCAACATCTTTCATAGCCTCCTCAGATAACTCGACTGTTAGTCCCGGATCTGACATGACAGCAAGAACCTCTGCAATACTCAGTGTTTTACCATCGAGCTTGATGCTTCCGGAAATTCGTTTCCGTTCAGTTATCAATGATAAGGTGGTTTGTACGTGGCTGTTGCTCATCATGATATAATATTTATCTGCAATAAAACAACAAAACCATTAGATAGAGATCACACTCCAAACTTCAAAATAAAAGAAAATATAAATATCTTTGATTTACGTCGCCAGAATGTATTATTGATTAAAGCACATTGACTCTTAAATCACTTCTGAAATTTATGCAAAATTAGGAAAATATAACATTGTACGTACCATTAATATGCGGAATTTCCAATTTCGTCTGAAAATGCGGACATATTTCTTAAATATACGTTTTTGAAAAATAAAGGTAGACAAAATAATATCTCTACAAGAATCATAACAAGTTTACTATTATTATTTTGTTTTGAAAGCTCGCAGTCAGCTTCATTAAACACTCTGGGATTTTAGCAAAACAAATAGATTTCACAACGTATTTCAACGACAGATATTCCACATATTGTGATCACATACAAATGTTATAGCAATTGTCTATACAAATTCTTTAGTAAGCTAATTCACAAACAAATGTTAAAGCAATCTTACATGTATAAATATCATAAAACTCTATATACAAATTTTTCAAAGTGCATACAAACAATATGAAAAAAGACAACAAGTTATTTACGTAGATTATTTTGGTGTTTGGTAACTAAAATTTTAGAAGCTAAAACTTTTACATGCATGTGTCGAGTTGTCAACTATTACTATCTTTTAAATAATGATATTAAACTGCACTTATCAAATTTTTAGTAGTAATATATATATGTTTTAAAAAGTATGATATGGAAAAAAAACATGTTGTGATGTAGAAAAATCACATGTCATTTAAAATAATTATAGCAACAACACATAACGTTTTGTTAAAGAGTTATTTTAAACTTTACCTTATTTGGTGTAGTTTCGTAAATTTGTCGTAATCTGTAGTGTATGCTTCGCAAAGAACGCTTCGGCTTATGAAATTAAGATTCTCTTCTCGGCTTTTTATACGTTTGAGTCGGACCTATATCCGCATTGTAAAAAGGCCTGTGTCCTGTTAGTGCCTGGTACATTCAAATATGTTTTCATTTGTTCCCTTGAGGAAATCTTTTTCCAAGAACGATGAACAAGCCCCAGTTTCATTTTATTAGATTTAAAGTCAAACCTTTAGATCTTTTATGTACCTCCGGGTTTGCATACAATTTGTATTACAATATAATTAGTGGGACATCTTCAAAAGTGTCAAACAGTTGTCATACGTAATTTATCAGCCAGTGGACATTTAAATAAATGTATGCATGGTGTACTTTGAATCCGGATTTTAAACAATAATAAGTGTTTGTTTGTTGATAAATTGCGATTTCTTTGCGTATTTAATGGATATTATTCAGAAAACAGATTTTTTTTTCAGGAAAGTTATGGAAGAAAAGGAAATCACTAACATTGATTACAATCATCATGTCAATGATATTTCATGCATGAGTGCACGATCATCTGAATAAATCAAGTGGTTATCCTAATACTATAATATGTTTTACAAATAATGTACACATTTCAGAGGATCTTTGTATATTCCAAGTGTTTATTTTGTCTCATTGAATTTTCAGCAGGCGTTCTTTTAACTTCCATCGTTTTGTACAGATTGTTGGATGTGAATTTGAAAATGCATGTTTCGAAATTTAAACAATCTAAGTGTGTCATAGGAATTTTTTTTATATATAAATGGATAACAAAATGTATAGCTATGTATAATCGTGGACACATTAATGTTTGAGTATTTAGTTCTCGAAGAATCTCTGTTTCTGGAACTAACAACAGGCGACAGCTTAGCATGATAGCATGATAACCTTTGTAACTTCTTCACAGTTGTTGATTATATGAATTCCTAGTTCTCTGGTAAAATTGATTTCAGTACTCAATTACCTTTAAAACACAAAAAAATACATTTCTATTTGTTTATTTTCGTTTTACTGCTCTAGTTGGACCCTAGTTTACATAATACACCGTCTTAGTAACTTAAACATGTATTTAACTTTAATTTTATGGTTTACATTAAGTGAGTATTCATCTTTTATCATAGGGAGTTTTTATCAATTGTCAAAAGTCTGACTTGTTTTTGTTTTTTTAAATGGTGTATCCGACCATGAATATATAATGTTGTATATACACGGTCTTAAGCGTTTTGTTTATAGGTTAGAACTCGCTTAGAGTAGACAATTTCTGTATTGCATTGAATGAGTTTAATATTACGAAATTTACATTTTGTATAATTATCCTATGTAATGATTCATTTTTATGTTTATATCTTGAAGTGACATGGTTTATTAAATATTAACCTTTAATAGAACTATTTAAACAAATAACTGCACTAAAACCCTACAGTGTCTTTAATATTTAATAGGACATCGTTGTGCGCTTAAGTAAATTGCTATTCATTGTGTTGTTTCGTTGAAGGTTATCCAACCTTCGCATGGTAGTGGATAAATGTGTATGGTGTGTAGAGATGAACCGTGCTCTTAATTCTCTGAATTTTTCTCTCTTTGGGTCACTTTCTACAGCAGATAACTCAAAACTGGTGACAAACATCACCTTATTTGATTTCATATTCATATTTATTTCTTTATTCCCTGTCATGGTAACAATTTTGCTAAAATTCTATTAGGCATATTTAAAGCTAAAACTGCATATGCTAAATGAAAGGAGTTTGCTTTCAATTATGCCAACCCCATTTTATAGAAAAATGCAGTATGTTTTTTTTTTAATGAAATACATTATGTATATTAATGTGCCCGTTGAATAAAATTGTTTTAAACTTTGCAAAATAACCGGAAAATATAACAAAAAACATGATTTGAAGTAAAATAAGGTATCGAAATGCATGAGTGTTTTCTGCTCTTAAAAATGACCACAAAGAGCATAGGACTCACTTTTAGCTGCAACTTATTAAACAATATATAAATAGTGACCCTTATTTTACCATAAACTTTAATTTATTAATTTTCATTTTCAATCATGTATAGTTTAAGAAAATTCAACTAAAGATTTAAGTGATATATAACATGTCATAAAATTGCGCCAAGACATCCTGACAGTCAACATTGCATAGTCTCAGACCCGTTTTTGTTTTGATTGTCTCAGCATTTTTTAAGTTCACATTTAACATTCATTACAGGTTGAATTTAACCCTCATATTTGATGCAAGCATCATTTCCTCCTGCTGCATGTGAATAAATTTCGTTTTATTTTATATTTTAGTCAAGCAAGGTTGACATTAATTGAAAAATTGATTTCAACAAATTGGTTGATAGAGATTCAATCTGACTAAAGTTGAGATCTACTTATATCTTCCGTATAGATCTGATGACCAACGTATTTTTTCGCTTTCTTTATAATTTGGATTTTAGGAGAAAACTATTTTTAGCCATGCAATCAAACCGGTCTTTACAGATAGGCATTAGATAAAGTATCAAAATATCGTTATGCGTGGAAGTTAAACAAATTGTTGATTTTTGTTAGAAAATTTTTTCTTGAAATGATAGTCAATTTTAATGGGCAAGATTGTTTTGCCAGTTTACCTGTCGGCTATATGGACAACTCCATTTTTGTTCTCGAAATCGTGAATACTCAGTATTGGTTTTCCAAGAGATTAAATAAGAAACCGCATCATGCGCATCGCCATCAAAATAATGAAAGCTCGCAATTAATTGGTTGTTTGATAGACCACGAAAAGGTGACTACCTATAGGTGGATGTCAAATCCTAATGCGTAGCGTTATTTAGGAGCTGACTTTAATCAGGCTGAGAGAGATTGCAAGTGCTACGAGAAATATGTTTCTAAATAAGTAATATTTATAAGAGATAAAATAAGAAACCGCATCGCTATCAAAATTAATGAAAGCTCGCAAATAATTGGTTATTTGATAGACCACGAAAAGGTGATGTTAAATCCTAATGCGTAGCGTTATTTAGGATCTTAGTAAAGATTGCAAGTGCTACGAAAAATATGTTAGAAAAAAGTTTGATATAGCTAAGATATTTGAACAACAACAACAACAACAACAAACAAAACAAAACAAACAAACGAGTTTAAGGGTGTGATATATATTGGAAATGTAGTTAAGTGTACATTAAGGTAGAAATTTCTTTAATGTTTAAGTATAATACTTATCTATTTGGATGCTAAAACTCTTTAATATTTTAAATATTCCTGCAGCCCTTGAACATCGTGCATCAGAAGTATATACTATTAATAGATAGAAACACACTTACATATCGTAGTGCAAAAGGAGACATTGAGTAACATTAAAATTTTTTTGAACATAGGATATGTCAAATATCTAACATAGCACAGCCCATTTCTGCAATAGTGTATCATAGACTAAACTACGAAAGACCGGTGGGGACATTTCAACTTCACGAATTCACGATTTCAGCATTGTAAATTCACGATTTCATCTTCACGAATTCATAATTTCAGCTTTTCAAATTCACAAATTCACGATTTCAACGAAATCGTTAATTCACGAGGCTGAAATCGGGAATTCATGAAGTTGAAATCACCACACCGGTCTTGCGTACTAAACAAACTACTGTACTAAATATGTAACAACATGTATATAGAAACTAATAGATAAGAAGATACTTGGACAAAACAAGTTTGAAATATCACTCATTTTCACTCGTCAATTCATTGTCATCGGCAACAAAGCAAAAATGAAAATTTGTTTTTATTTTGTTTTTCTATATTTTGTTTTTTCGATGAGAACCATTCTATGTGATTCTCGTGATGATTTGATTGAGAGACTGCTACAAGAAACCACAGAACTTCGTAAAGAAAATATCAAGGTTTGGGAGAAAATTAAAGAGTTAGAGGAGAGAAAAGATACGGCTCAACATATGCCTAAAAGATGTGAATGTATAACTATTTATTTTTCTACACAATATATATAAATACACTACTTAGAATGTAATCGGTAAGTTGTTGGCTTTTAATGAAAACAACAATAAAGTACATTCGTACTTTGTCATTTCAAAATATTTTTATGCCCCCAAAGTACGGCGTATAGTAATCGCACTCTCCGTCCGTTCTTCTGTCAGTCCATTCGTCCCGTCAGGTAATCTTGTCCACGCTTCATCTCCAAAACCGCTGGGGGATTTCAGTGAAACTTCATAGGATTGTTTGTCACTAAGCCTAGTTGTGCATACTCTCTTGCTATTCTGCTTGAATTTTCTTTGGCATAGTTATGGCTCCTTAATGATCTATTTTTGAGCAAAATAAGCTTGTCCACACTACATCTCCAAAACCGCTGGGGGGGGGTGTTGTGAAACTGCACAGGATTGTTTGTCATCAAGCCTAGTTGTGCATAGTTTCTTGATTTTCTGCTTGCATATTTTTGGCACAGTTATGGCCCCTTAATGGTCTAAATAACCTTGAAATTTCATAGGATTGTTTGTCACCATGCCTAGTTGTGCATAGTGTTCTGACTTTGCCCTTAATCATTTTTGGCACAGTTATGGTCTCTTAATGGTCATTTTCCAGTAATAACCTTGTCCGCTTAAATGGTCAGTTTACAAGTAAAATAAGCTCGTCCACGTTTCAGCTCAAAAAGCTGGGGAATTGGGGAAATTTCAGTGAAAGTTCACAGTATTTTGTTTGTCTCCATGTTGTAAATAATATCTTTATTTTCTAATTGATATACATGTACTTTTTTTTTTTTGGGGGGGGGGGGGCGGGGGGCACAGTTATGAACCCTATATGGTCAATTTTCGGGCGGAGTAAGCTTGTATGCGCTTCATCTCCAAAGCTGCTGGGGGCCGGGAGATTTCAGTGAAACTTCACATGATTGTTGTCACCGAGTCTAGTTGTGCATAGTATCTTGATTTTTCATTAAATTAACTATGTCCATCTTTTATCTCCAAAACCACTTGAGAAATTTCAATGAAAATTTATAAAATTGTTCGGATGGTGTCATGATTTCCCATGTCTAGTTGTGCATTGTGCCATGATTTTGTGCATGATTTCTTTTCGCACAGTTATGTGCTCTTGATGATGATTTTTTAGTATAATTTGTTTGGACTATTTCTCCTACACTTCAAATGGAATGTCAATGAAATTTTAGAAGTGATATTTATCAACGCTTTTGAAATGTTTGACACGGAAAGTGCCAAAGTTGGTCGGACGAGCTTTTGGCGAATTGAATCTCTTAAATTAAGGGTTCACAAGAAAATCTAATTCAATGTACGATTATGAGACGGTTGCTGATAAACAAGACAATTTGCGAATAACATATACATGTTCAGCTAAGACATTACATTTACAAATATTTATTTTTTAAAACATTCGTATAATTTTATTGACTGCGAATATATCTGTATTGAAACGTGACATAAAGAAAACTGCAATGCTTCTAAATCAAATGTAACTTTATCAATTTCTTTTTTATTCAGTGCTGGATTCGCTGATACAACAGCCACAACAAATTTAAAGCAAAGCCGCCTTTTCCGCCAGTCTTACGAATCACATGCTCAATGTTGGAAACTATCAAACCATTATTTTCGACCACATGTTTACCAATGACGGGAATGTGTATTCACCGTATACCGGGGTTTTCATCGCACCAACCAACGGGACTTACTTCTTCACATCGACGGTTATAAGTCATTATGGACAATACCTTGAGACGGAGATTTGCCTGAACGGAAACAGCCTCGTTTATATGTATTCTCAGGATACTAAACAGGAACAAGGAACCAACAGCGTTGTTCTAGCATTGAAAGGAGGCGACCGAGTATGGGTCAGACATCAAGGGACAGAAGGAAGTAAAGTGTATGGTGGTCACTGGAGTAGTTTTTCTGGCTTTCAGATAACCGGCTGATATTGCTTATTGCTTTAGAACAGGACTAGTAATAAAGATGAAAGTTCAATGAATATTTAATATTCATTTTTGTATTACTTTTAAAACGTCTTTCTAACACCTTATGTTAGACCGTAACAATTGGCTTAAAAGTACTTAAGAGTAAAGGCAATGGTCTTTTGCTTTGTTCAGTGTTGCTAAGGTCTCTATTAACAGGTAGTAATGTAAGAGATATTGCGCAAAAACAGTTCAAGGTAGTGGACTCGAAAGTTGTTCTTCGTTCTTCGTTATCGGGCTAGAATTAGGGCAGCCAAAACTATTATCAAATGCAGAACACGACGAAGATTAATTATGTCGTACTTTTAACTATTTTTGTTCTGGTTTTCTTTATCACCGGATCATGTAGATTGAATGTACTTATAGGTATATGATAAAAAGATGATATTTAAGTTATTTATCAAATAAATACAGGATTTATTTTCATCAAGTGGTATGAAAATAGATATTTCATGAGTGGCGGTAGCCATGAGTGAAATACGATAATTTTCTCACCACAAAATGAAAATAAATCCTGTATTTACAGAAAAAACTTGAATTTTCCGTTTATTATATACATTTCTTTTTTTGACATTACAATATGCAAGACTTCCTCTTAAATTTTGGGTATTTGCTAAATTTAGAACAAAGTAGTCTGGCAAGACACCAGTGAAAGTACAGAAAATATCTTTCACTGCAGTGAAAAATATTTCTGTTTTACATAGAAAATACGAAAATGAAAATGCGCATTTTATTTTCATTATTTTTCAACCATATTTTTCAACATTTCATTGATAGGTTCACGAGTATAATAAATACAACGTACCATTATTTTTATGTCTGAGAGAAGATGTGTTTAATTATACTCGTATAATGAGAGAAACAGAACAATAATAGTAACAAGTATAGAATTATTTTACAATACTACTTTGTTACTTTTCACTTTGAAGAGTACTTAAACCAATGGCTTAAAGTCTATGTAGGACTATCTTGTTAATATAGTATACTATCAATAAAATACTTTCTACTATCTGCGAAATAGCAAAGGTCTACCTGGGGGTTATATTCCAGGTAATGAACCGTTTTCAATAATATTAACATAAAGATAGATTAAGTGGGATAAACCCATATTAATTAAATTTATTAATACTGATAGACAAACCGCAGAGACAATTGTTTTTGCCATTGGATCACGTGACACTTAACATAAAAGTAGAATAACCCCATGAATCCGTGACCTTTTTATTAGTTTCGAGCAAGGACAACTGAAAATATTGAAACCTTTAATATCTACAAACGTCGTCAATTTCTAATATTACATGTTTGAATCAATATTATTGTATTGTATTCTGATAGTCGTCCACGTAGTCAGTATCTTTAAACTAATATATAAAGCTCTGCACATTGTATATTGCACAGAAACATTTTCGTGTTGAGCCATTAAGTGACCACGTTTTAATCTCATTAAATTTGAAATCTGATTGAAATTAGGACCTTCATGACGCTATGCCAATAAGAAGAACTGGGTTACTTTAAATCCTACGTCTAAAATATTTCTTATGACCAAAACTTTGACAATTTCTGTTTCAAAGAAAAAGTCCTAACTTATGCCTCCTATGATATGACTCTTTTAATTTCTGAATACCTATGTTGCATTTACACATTGTGCGAATAAAAGGGTCTGTCATTGTATCTCTTAAGTTTTCTCAAGAGACTGGTTTTATTTATAGTCTACAAACAGTATTTGACTGACGATAATATGTTTATTGAAACGATCTTAAGTTAATCCTATGTAGGACTATCTTGTTAATCTAGTATACTATCAATAACATACTTTCTACTATCTGCGAAATAGCAAAGGTCTACCTGGGGGTTATATTCCACGTAATGAAGCATTTTCAATAATATCACCATAAAGATAGATTAATTGGCATAAACCCATAATAATTTAATCTTTATAAATATTGATAGACAAACCGCAGAGACAATTGTTTTTGACATTGGATCACGTGACACTTAACATAAAAGTAGAATAACCCCATGAACCCGTGACCTTTTTATCAGTTTCGAGCAAGGACAACTGAAAATATTGAAACCTTTAATATCTACAAACGTCACTTGCTAATATTACATGTTTGAATCAATATTATTGTATTGTATTCTGATAGTCGTCCACGTAGTCAGTATCTGTAAACTAATATATAAAGCTCTGCACATTGTATATTGCACAGAAACATTTTCGTGTTAAGCCATTAAGTGACCACTTTTTAATCTCATTAAATTTGAAATCTGATTGAAATTAGGACCTTCATGACGCTATGCAAATATATAAGAAGAACTGGGTTACTTTAAATCCTACGTCTATAATATTTCTTATGCCCAAAACTTTGACAATTTCTGTTTCAGAGAAAAAGTCCTAACTTATGCCTCCTATGATATGACTCTTTTAATTTCTGAAAAGTTATGTTGATGAGCATTTACACATTGTGCGAATGAAAGGGTCTGCCATTGTATCTCTTAAGTTTTCTTTATTTATAGTCTAATGTATTTGACTGACGATAAAATGTTTATTGAAACGACCTTAAGTTAATCCTAAAGTTAATTTTATGTTCTATGACTTAGGATACTATGAAACGCAGCCCTGAACTTTAGTTACATCGACCAGATATGTTGCTTGACACCCAAAATTGTTTATTGCGCCTAAAGGGCGTTTCAAAGGTCGCGCTGCTACCCTTTAGAACAAATTTACAGATTTTTTTTAACTCGTGGCACCTTTTAAAGTTTCGGAACCAGACTAAAAATATCAGGCACTTTGCCTGTATAGCTTTTGAAATCCGGTTACCAACTTACATTGATGTAACACCTCAGGCTTTTGTTCAAAAAGAGATTTGGCATGAAAATTGTTGAATCTAGCGAATTTCCGAATTGATCTATTCAATAATTTCTTCCTTTTTATGTGATAGACCGATGATTTCAGTGTCAAATGCATTTTGTTATCCCGGCAATGTTTTTCTTCCAAATGAAAGCTTTAACATGTGAGAAGTTCGTAAAAAGACAAACTTCTGTGGACTTTCTGGAAGACCAATAAACGAGCTTATCTAACACGTACTCGTTTTATTTGGGATATCTTAGTTTTACAGCATTCCATTGCTTTTTCACATACCACACTCCCTAAATATTTTTCCCTTTCTTTGTTTTTTTTCTGCTCGCATTTCGTTTCAGGATGATTTTTTTACTTACGTGTATTTCAAAGTCGCCGCTTACTTTCATACGCATGCTTATACACTCTCTTATTATGTTGCATTTTAATAGCGTTGTGTCCATCGCCTCTAGTTTGTCGTTATATCTTTAAGCCGATGTAAATTGAACAAAGTTATACGATAATTAGTTAATTTGAAATGTTGAGTATGAATTTAAAACAACCTCGGTCGATAGATTTCCCAAGTTGTAGTGCCAATACAGACCGGTTATTTTCTGAAGGTTATATCTTTTTGTTCTTGTACGAGCATAATTTGGTTGTAAGTAGCCAAAAACATGACACTTTTCACATTGAGTTTCGGTAACTTCAATAACAAATCTTTGTTCGTTTGAAAGGATAGTTACAGCCTGTTTTGATATATATATTAAGTCATCTTGTCTTTGATATACCCATATCCGTATAAGTGGTTATAATTCTCTGTCCAATTTTGATGTCAACATTTATCATGCTCAGTATCATCATTTTAAGGTTAAAGAAAGTTAAGAATATATATAAAGCTAATTAAGTGAAAAAAGATTAACTAACTAATCGCGCTTGATTAGCTACAGAAAGACCCCCTCTACTTCTGCCGTTGGGGATGTCATAGATGTCTGCAGCGACAACGGCAGGGGTATATATAAATGCGTACTTACAAATATGAAAATCATTTTACAGCATATGAAAGGCTCAAAGGTAAGAATTTTCAGTTTCTAATAAACTTTTTTTTCTTTAAACAGATAGAAATGTTTTATTTTTCAAAGATTTATTTTATACGTTTTGCCGTATGTTCAATTGTAAATGTATTAAGCATTACTAGACTTTAAACAGTTAATATAAGCATGTTGCTTTTTATTTGAATGAAAGATCCTTGACCGTAATTAAATTTTTGAAATGTATTATCATATAGATATCTCTTCAAAATAAGTAACCATAATAAATAGTGTAATAGATAAAACAAATAATCAAAGAATTTATTAAGTATCAAGAGTAATTTTGCGCTATGAATTTGAAAGTCGTTTATAATCAAATTAATGCCCGTATACAAATATTTTGATCATTTATTGACTTGAATGTTTTGTCCTTTTTAAACAAATTTAATATATCATTTCAAGATAATGCATAAAGCTTGGATAAAACATTTCTTTCATATATAAAAATATACATGTACATGTTTAGGAACCGAAAAATCAACCATATCGAGTAAGTGATTATAATATCAGATTAATTGGATGATATAAAATGTTTGTTTTTTTTTACAATTTATTTTTCAAAGTTCTATATAAAACACATTGTTTCCTCGAGACAAGTGTTAGCAACCGGTGGGAGGCTGATAATAATCGAAACGCTGTTATATGACATTACGGAATTTTAGCCTCTGACATCACGTGCTTTATAAAAAAAATAATATGCTAGTTTTTTTATAGGGGGTTATAAAAAATTATGAGTTTACGAAATGTGAGTGTCTAACATCACGTGAATTATAATAAAATAATACGCTAGTTATTTTAAAGGAGGTTATATGACATAACGGAATGTTAACCTCTATCATCACGTGGGCTATTACAAAATAATATGCTAGTTTTTTTTTATAAGGGGTTATATGAAATTACGGAATGTTAGCCTCTGACATCACGTCAGATATTAAAAAATAATATGCTAGTTTTTATAGGGGGTTATATGAATTTACGAAAAGTTAGCCTCTTACATCACTTGAGATATAATAAAATAATATGCCAGTTTTATTGGGGGTTATATGAAATCACGAAATGTGAGTGTCTAACATCACGTGCATTATAATAAAATAATATGCATTTTTTATAGGGGATTATATGACATTACGGGATGTTAGCCTCTGACATCACGTGGGCTATACTGAAATAATGTGCATTTTTTATAGGGGATTATATGACATTACGGGATGTTAACCTCTGACATCACGTGCATTATAATGAAATAATATGCATTTTTATAGGGGATTATATGACATTACGGGATGTTAGCCTCTGACATCACGTGGGCTATAATGAAATAATGTGCATTTTTATAGGGGATTATATGACATTAGGGGATGTTAACCTCTGACATCACGTGCATTATAATGAAATAATATGCATTTTTTTATAGGGGATTATATGACATTACGGGATGTTAGCCTCTGACATCACGTGGGCTAAAATGAAATAATATGCATTTTTTTATAGGGGATTATATGACATTATGGGATGTTAACCTCTGACATCACGTGCATGATAATGAAGTAATATGCATTTTTATAGGGGATTATATGACATTACGGGATGTTAGCCTCTGACATCACGTGGGCTATAATGAAATAATATGCATTTTTATAGGGGATTATATGACATTACGGGATGTTAACCTCTGACATCACGTGCATTATAATGAAGTAATATGCATTTTATAGGGGTTTATATGACATAACGGGATGTTAGCCTCTGACAACACGTGGGCTATAATGAAATAATATGCTAGTTCTAATAGCAGCATTTTGTAATGTCTGAGGTATAATAAACTAATGTCAGCGTTTTCTTATATCAGCGGCTCGAAACGATGCTATAAGACATAACGAAATGTTACCCTCTAACATCACGTGAAGTAAAATAAAATAATATGTTAGTTCTAATTGTTTCACTATGTCATTATTTTTTCAGATGAATACGAGATTGGTTGTTTTCTTAGCCTACTGCTTCGTTTTGGTAACTTTGGTAACTTCTTTACCAGCAGTAAGTACTTCTATCTGTTTTTAGACATCTCATATAACGTTTTGTCATTATATAGATACTGTTCTCTTTGGAAAATTATGTCGTCCATTTCCATTTAGACACTACCTTAAATTCTATAAAATGTTATTTGTTACTAAAACTGATTCATAAATTAACATGTTTTTTTTAATCACATAATTTGAATTTTAAAATTAGATCAGAACTTCTGCAACAGTAGTGTTTTGGTATGATTTTCGTGCGTGAAACTTATATCATCTGTAAGTATGTTACCTACGTGTTATGCTTTGTTATGCATCATAGAATATACGAAAATATATGTAATTGCTTTATGGCATGTTGCCTTTTTTTAATTTCAGAATCCGGAGAAAGCAGGTAAATCAAAGAAACAAATAGAAGAACGATTCTCTGATATGTGTGCTGATTTGGAAGATGGTTCTATTGGAAACATCGATCCTAAGTTTGATGATGTGTTCAAGAACCTAACCCAAGCATGTGTGACATTTTTGGAAATAGAGAACGACGTGGCAGTTGTCGAACAGTACAGCCGCAGCTCTGGTGATTCGGATAGTGATTATGTATGTTACAAGTTTTTTTAATTGTTTTACTTTAAGCTTGGGCGTTATATCACTGGACATGCAACTTAAGATTATCGCGCATTATCTTTTCGACCAGTCACGACACTGTCGTAAGATTGCTTATCTAGAAGGCAGATATGCTAGTCTCGTTATATTATTTTTTATGTCCCAGGTTTAGGACATCAACCTATAGGAAAGACTATCTTGCTAATGAAAGTAAAATAAAAAATACAACGACCCCAAAATCCGAAACAAGCAGAACACACTCGCACACGCACGGACGCACGTTCACACACGCATTCAAGAACGACAATAACAAAAACAACAACATGAAAATACATTTCATAATTGTTGAATCTATGCAGCAAAACGAAAAAACACGTGCGTTATCCTTTTAATAAAGCTCAAGCTCTTGTTTTCACGTAGAATAGCTAAACTTGCATGGCAACTATGTTCGCAGTTATCGTTATGAAATTCAATTACTACATTAATATCTTTTTGATCATTATAATAGGTTTAGATTTTCTTCATACTTGGACAAAGTATTAGGATATATACAAAAATTAATGTTTAAGCTGTCAAGCATGCAGTATTTTTTATCAAAAATATCTTAAAATGTATAAAGCATACTAAATCGCCGAGTTAAAGCGATTGTGTTCAATATTGCTCTTAAAAATTCACTTCATTTTAGGGCAAATGGCCAGGCGGAGGATGGAAGGGAGGTAAAAAAGGAGGAAAAAAGGGAGGGAAAAAAGGAGGCAAAAAAGGAGGTAAAAAAGGTGGGAAAAAAGGTTGGGGGAAACGCAAAACTAATTTCAAAGTGAGAAAGTCACCTGCTGTCGTTTTTCTGGATTTTTGTGATGAACTGGACCAAGCTGTTAATGAAGGGGCAAGTATTGCACAATATATTTTTCGGTAAAAATAATTATATAAATTTGCATAAAAACACTTGGCTCAGTATGGGAAAGAAATCAGAGTTCTGCTGTACTTTTGATAAAGTTATGTGCATAGAGTTTCTTCTGGCTCCCCGCTATCATTAATGACACTACTTTTTGTATTAGATATTGCATATATACATTAAAACCGGTACAGGGATACGTACATTACAAATTTCTTTTTTTTCATCAACAGACTCAGTCAATTCGAGTATTCCTATTTATTAATATCGAGCGAATATCCTTTTTATTTGTTTGGGTCGTCAGACCAAACAAATAATGGTAGCGAAATTTCAGAGTCTAATGCTGTTAATTGCAAATGCCGAAAGTAGTCCACTTTTTTTGAAGCGGTTACTTCCCTTTATATGTACACTAACGCCGAAAAATTCAGGGGAGATCACTGCGTAAAGATGGTCAAAGACAGGCACATTAATTTTCAAGCAAAATAATTCCCGAATGGTCGAAGATTTCTTATATTGTTTTATTGTATTTTCTGATCGAAAATAAGTAAATACAAAGCGGAAACAGAAGTTTACGACAAACCTAACAACAAGTAGTTCTCAAAACAGCTTAAAACTAGCGATTTAAAAGAAAGAAATATTTTTATTTTGTTACAAGTATCCAACAAATTACAACGCGTTCAAAGTTTAAAAATAGCGTTGGCTTATAGAATTGTCAATAAATGCACAATCACAAATTACGCGGATGAATATGATTTTATCAATGAAAATACTATTTTTAGCGATGTCGATTACCGAATACTACACAAACCGAGTAGTGGAATATATAGATTCTACATGTCGGACTGTTTGGGCGAGAAGATTTTCGCTAAATTATTTACTTCAATTTTAAACAACAGGTTTATCCTGAACAAAATACCTCGAAATCAATAAGGAGTTACAAACCCGAAATGCAATGGAAGTTCTAAATTTAGAGTGACTTGATGTTATTCAAACAATGTTTGTATAACTTCTCCGTGGTGCAGGGGTAACGCGCTCGCTTAGTGAGTGAGAGGTCTGGAGTTCAAATCCCAGTCGAGGAAACTTTTTTTTTTTATTCCTTTTTAAGTGTCTTTGTTAATGAAGTAGCCATGATATGCAAGGATAAAGTGTGGCTGTCGTAAAAAATGAACATAAATGATTTTTTGATGCAACTCTAGTTATGCAGAATTCCGTATGTATCAAACTCTGGTGCCTTGCAAAATGAATTATAATACATAAAAATAAACTTATACAGGAAAATACATACAGATATACAGTACGATTTAGATTGCAATCAGAAAATAGCATAGAACTTGCAGCCCTTTATTGTTTTCTTCAGACCGTTCACATATAAATTCACCTTGGCTGAAGGGTTTTCGCGCTCGCTTAGGAAGCGAGAGGTCTGGAGTTCAAATCCCAGTAAAGGCAACTCATTTCTTTTTCAAATGGTTTAAGTCAAATAAACATTGGATTGAATATCAGTGTTGCAATTAGTCTTATAGCCAATTTACTACAATTAAAACGATGGAAAGCATTGGTGGCACTATACATATAATCTCACAACCTGTACCTGTTCTTACATTCTGAGACCCAAACAAATTCAGCGCCTTCTGTGCTTTGATTTATATATTTTTTTTTAACAATCCAGCTGGGGTTAGTATCTCGAAGCTATCGTTATATTTGCGTTTACGAACGTGCTGACGATTGACGGAAGGTTGGTGAACGAGAGACTAGCGCGGGTATCTCGAAAGCGATAGTTAAGCAATCGTTCGTTCCTTACTCGTTAGTTATTAACCATTGAATTATGTAAACATTTGAATACCGCGAACAGTGTGTTAAAGCAGGAAGGAATGGTCGTAACAAAACGTAAACCAAGAAAAATTGCAAATGTTGAAAATTCCTGACGTGATTACTATTGAAAGGTCAAAACTTAAAATAGAAACAGCAAGACTAGTATCTGAGGGAAAACGACTGTAGACTGACGATTGTGCAGTAAAGGCTGCAAGTGGAAATCAGGCTGTTAAACACTTTACTAAGTCAAAACAAATATCCTGGCCGAGCTTCTTCTCAATACCCTCCCTCATTTTTTCAGGCTACAGCAATTAACATGTTTCAGGGTGTAAGTATACTCTCAAGATTCAAACTTGAAAAATGTTGCTTTCATGGATGAAATATTAGAATTGCAAATATCTAAATGAATGAAAATAGCGAACATTCAGTCGTCATAATGTCTATTTTGAATACTGGTAGTCGGTTTATTTAAACACATATCAGGACAATAAATTAAGATTCAAGTTAGTCCATAACTCGGCTTAGTATACAATGTAAACGCTTAATCTCACCATAATTAATCTAGAATTCTTTTTTCTTATGTAAGTTAAAAAAAAACGATCGTGATATACCAGTGACAATGCTTATTTCTATGATAATGATACAACGACGACAGCGAGGATGGGTTAAGTTTTAAAGAAATATTAAGATGTTTTTCGTTTCAGTGAAATATAGAATATGTTCACGAAACATGATAAATTTCCATATATTTTCACGAGCTGGAAATCTTAATTTTACTCTTTAAAAAGAACTTCCGATTTCAAAGCTTTATAAGTTCGTTATAAATATTCCTGACAAGTTATATGGCCGTATATAAACGGTTGTTTGCAATATAAACCTCGCCTGACGGCTCGGGTTATATTTACAAACAACCGTTTATATAAGGTCACGCAACCTGTCTAATATTAAAAAATATTATTTTCAGTGGAAATTCACTAAGTTCACTTCAGTGTTGTTATATTTTTCTGGTCCTTCGGGATCATTGATGCCAGCACTATTAAGTGTTGAGAATTGAGTACAGCTCAAGCCGGTGCTAGGGGGCGTGAGGGATGTTGCACGTATTCATTATTCCTCATGTACAGACTCAATCAAACCGAGCCAGCAGTTCTCTTGTAATTTTGTTGTGATTAATGTTTCCGAGGGATCACTTTGTTTCCTGATTTTTATATAATCTTCTGTTAATTTATGGATAAATTTTCATTTTTTCTTTAACAAAGGATTAAGAAAGGATTATGTATTACAAATTTAAATATAGCAAGTAAAAATATAACAGCTGGTGTTGGCAAAAGCAAAATATTTCAATCTGTTACGTTAAACAAACAAAATTTCCATATATTTCATGCCTATCTGTTGTACTGATTTTTGCAGCGTAACGTAATGCATTTTTCGTCATGTCATTAAATCATTAAATCACAGGTAACTTTTCGAAATATAATTCTGTAAAAAGTACCGAATTTTGTTACATTTTTAACATTATGTACATGCAAATATTTATTAATATTGTCTTGTGCAAAATTACAGAATTTATTCATTTCGATGCTTCTGTTATTATATGATTTTTTTTCATCTGCATTTAAATATACATCTTCATGTAAATTAAAAGAGCTCTTACATATGTTTGATATGTGAGAAAAAGAGATAAAATATCATATTTATGTAGGTTCATCATTTTTATCAATAAGGTGATATAATTCTCATTTTTTTGTGTATTTTAAATTCGAAGTATTCTTCCTTTTGTGCCAAAGTGATAGTAACGAGAGCTATACGACACCTTCAACGCAACCGTTAATAATTGGGCATTTTAACGATTATTCGTTAATTACGAGAGTTTCGAGATACCAGTAAAAACCTTAACGAGAGGCTTACGACAGTCGTTATGCTAACGATAGCTTCGAGATACTGACCCCAGGTCGGCAATTTTTACATACGTTTTGATTTTCATTGCCTCCACTTTTATGTCATTGTGAGATATTTTTACTATCAAAATCTATGAAAGTCTGCTATTGCAGTAAAATTCATGAATACTACCAAACAGTTATATTAATACAAGAAACATTTACTATACCACTGTGTTCCGTCTCAGAAATACATATTTATTAAATCTATTCAAAATAACGTTGAATGCGCAGTGAGCAAAATGTAAACAAAGCAGTATTTTGAATTCCATACAAAATACCAATTCACTATAATAACACAAATTGCTAAAAGGGCAAAAGAAGCAAAATTGTTCACTATATGGCAAATGAGTATTTTTTTTCAAACTGTAAAAGATACCAAAAAATAGAAAGTGTTTGATAAATAAAAAATGACAGCATTTCTGAGGCATTTTGTACCTTTCAATAAATATCACGTCATCATGACACAAATACGTGTATATTTAAGACATGTATGAGCCGCGTCACGACAAAACCAACATAGTGCGTTTGCGACCAGCATGGATCAAGACCAGCCTGCGCATCCGCGCAGTCTGATCATGATCCATGCTGTTCGCTGTCAGTTTCTCCACTTGTAAACTGGAAACAGCATGGATCCTGATCAGACTGCGCGGATGCGCAGGAGGCTGGTCTGGATCCATGCTGGTCGCAAACGCACTATGTATATTTAAGACATATATATATATATGTATATTTCAGGCTGTGGTTGTTATGTCCAGTGAGCTGTCATCTATCATGGAATCAGTCGTGGATTTATGTGAAGAAGCCGGAGCTCTAACTGAAGCAAATTCTTAAAATAATGGCACATATGGACGGCTATCCGGTTACTTGGACAAATACTGATTACATATATTACGTGAAATGCTTTAACAACGACAATATTATCATGTCATCAAAAAGTTTTTTTTTTTTGTATGTTACTTTCTATTATATATACGAACTGGTCGTCAATAATAAATGGAAATTATAATATTCTTCATCAATTATGTCTTTGTACTTCTAAAACTGGAAGCACAAAACGTTTAACAACAACTTGAATATTTCTTACATTTTTTGTCCATTTTATATTTCCCAGTTGGTCTTCAGCAAGGAGACTTCCCTCTGCCTGTTTGATTACTATGTTGCCATTAGAAACCAGCTTCAGAACCTCTAGTGATTGGTACCATGTACTTAGTCCTACTATATTTTTCCGCTCAGAGAATATGATTTGTATATTGCATATACTCCGAAGGGAAAAAGAAAAAATAACGCGCCAATCACCTTTTATTAATCATGATTTTGCATAAATGCTTATTCATAGATGGCTCGCAAACCGGTGACATACACAAAACAGCACCATATTGCGCTATGGTATGAAATCCGTAACGATTTCCAGTTATCATAAGAACTCCTGACAAGTTATCATAAGAACTCCATCCTTCGTATAACAGTTCCTCCCCCGTGTGCAAATTGCATGTAACATTTGCACAAGTTTTTTTTATTATACATGTAAATTTTGTACGAATTCAATGTGATTATTTTGTTTGTTTCTTTGACTGGGCTTTACGTCACACCGACACAGTTTAAGTCATATGGCGACTTTCCAGACTTACTGGTGGACGAAGACCTCATGTGTCCTTCCGTGCATTATTTCAGGCACGAACGGGCACCTGAGTAGAACCACCGACGTTCCGTATTCTAGCTGGATAGTTGCCTCATATGGAATAATCCAAAATCCCGGTCTGGATTCGAACCTATAGCGGCGAGGGGCAAGTGGTTTGAAGTCAACGACATAAACCACTCGGTAACGGACGCCCCAAAAGAAGATTTAATCATTTACAAGACAAGATAGTTGTGAGAACCCATGAATTAACTTTATCCCCAGCAACAATCCTAAGATCATTGAGTATGTTTATATGGAAGCCTTGGAGGGTCACTTTTGAGTTTTGACTTATATATTTATTTTACTATTTTCTTATGACTTTTGATTTATGACTTTTGATTTATGACTTTTGATTTTTGACTTATGGATTTTGTTATTTCCCACGTGCTTTCCATTATAATTATAATTACCAAGGAAAATATGGTAGAATATGACAACGATTCAGACGAGGTAAGTTCATTTACCTAAGTTTCCTGGAGACTTATTTAAAAAAAAACAAAATATGTGGGCTCATATGCAAGAACATTATTCTTATATAAGCCTTTTAATTAATTAAGAAAAGAAAAGTCTTTGCTTGCATTGCATTGCATTGGGTATCCATTGTTTATTTTGATTTCCGGAACAGGGATATATAATCTCAAATTGACATACAGCGTATGAATCAAACGCTTTATTTTTATATGGGTTCCAGTTTTAAATCCAAACCAGTCTCGCATTGTTGTTTGCTGCAGTTACAACCGGTTTTCACCCGTAGTTCATTCTTCGTCCATCTAATATTGAATATAGACCAAATTATAGGCCTTATTTTGACAAAGAAATTTGTGGTTAAGATGTTTCATGAAACATGGTATTTCAAAAATAATAAATCATACAGCTTTGAAACTTCACACACTTGTTAAGAACATGCTCTAAGTTAGAAAGCTCTGAATTGCATTGTTATCAATTTATGCCTCTTTTTCGATTTTGAATTCATGGTTTAGAATTTTGATGAAAAATGGTTTCTCAAACACTATTGTAGTGATTCATTTGAAACTTAGAACACATATTAAGTGTTGACATCTAAGATCAATGACCAAGTTTCGTATGTGTAGCCCACAATTTGACATACTTATGCCCATTTTTAAGCTAAAATGTTTTGTCAGATGGTTTTGAAACATGGTCCCATAAACCAGTTATGATATTGTATTGAAACTTTATTCACTTGTTCAGTATCAATAACTTAGGTCACATACCAAGTACAAAGTACATGTTATTTGTTTATAAACTTTTGTATACAGTTATGTATTAAGGGTTTTTTTTTGTATTTCATTTTGTATATATATGTATTTCATTTCAATTGAAATAACACATACTTTTAATGTTTTCAGTTTAAATTCTAGTAAAGCTACCTGTAGGAATTAAGGACGTGCTGTCGAATGGTTTCAACTACAAAACAGTTGCAAGAGCATCAGCAATACATATTTGTCAAGTTTTCGGAGCCAGTTTAGAAGACTAAGAGGTTTCATGGCAAAACAGCATTCGTTCCGAGTGAAAAGTAGTACAGTTTAGCAAATGCAAAATGTCCAAACACTAGTGATTTGGTTTTCTTCGTTATTGTCTATGGAAATATTCAGACATTTTTGGAATACGATCGTTACCTTTTCACACTTGTTTCAGACGCTCGATAATTTTCAAGTTTTAACCCCACCACTTATTGTCGACTCTTTATTGGAAACACGCAATGTCACGTCCCGCCACGTTTATTTTATACTGTCCATACCTCCAATATGGTACAAAACATGTACAGGCCATGGTGAGACAGAAAAAAGTGTGAAAAATCATGAATTCATAATTCTGGCTTTCATAATTTTCAGTATTTGCCCATTGTAATTTTCAAACTTAAAAGAAAGGTATCGAAATCAAACTTTGCATGTTCATATAGCTTGGCGAGGCAGAAAGAAACATACTTCTTGCTATCATAGCTATATTTTGGCAAATCCCCTTTGTTGTTGATTTTTTTCTTTTTTTTTTTCATACTTAGATTTTTGTTAAACTCATAATTATCTCAAAAACTGGCATCAACTTTAATTTACTGGCAGATATATCTCGGCGAGACAGAGTGCATTGCGTTGTTAACAAAACTTTTGATTATAACATTTAATCGTTCTTCTAAGTTAAACATTCCCTTTTTCGACATGCTGTGGGTTGGGGGTATTCTCATTACGAACGACTATGATATTTCCATTACATATAAAGTCGGTTATTCTTCGAAAAAAAAAAACGAACTTGTGGACGTTATTTAATATATACATTATACAATGTATACAGTTTCTTCAAGTTAACTAGGAAATTTTAGCTAGAGACTGTGTTTGTTTGTTTTTTTTTTCTCTTTTGAACATTTAGAGATGAAGAAATAACGCTTTGACAATGATATTAAAAATCTTGCCATCAATAATAATACAGTCACTCTAGCGTTGCTAGTTTACCTAATTTATCTTATGTTTTCAAAAGTTACGTTAGATCACTCATGATTTTCTTAGTTTTTCATCAGTAACGTATCAACGATGTGTTGTTTTGTAGAAATATTGCATGTATATATGTCTTCTGTGTCGTAAATACTTGATGTTTTGTTAATGGCAGTGTTTATTTTTTAGCTGTTCCTTTGTGTAAGCTTTTAAGTAAGGCATGTGTGCTATTTTAGAAAAAAATGCTTACCTATGTATTTCTTATCTCTGTTTTTAAATTAAATATAATGAAGCTCAAATTCAGTTTGTTTTGCCTATCTAATACATTTGTTTTCTTATAAGACAACAATAAAAAATGTTTGTTGTTATCTGTTTCCAAACAATTATTGATAGCTCTGCCAACCTGTCACGGACAAGACCGTGAGGTAAAAACCTTTGGTAGTGTGGTCTCTTTGTAGAGGTATGTTTAGGTAGTCTGTTGAGGGAGCTGGCTGGTTCCACACAGCTTACTTCTCTAGTGATTGCTATTCTATTTCTACTTTGCTCATTTCAACCTCTTACTTATAATTTTAATGGACCACTATCTCTACATAGATAAATAAATTCTCTGTAACATTTAAATACTGTTTATTCCGGTTGGAAATTGCAAGTTTATTTTGGTTATAATAAATTTACAATAACACAATAATAAATTGTCAACAAATGAGGAAAATGTCTTTTTATCATTCAGGACCAGATTAAATATGATAATGTAAATAACTACAAGTTTGAAGTAGAAATCATCAAGAGTTTTCAAGTCATATTTGTGTCAAAACCGTATTCTAAATTTTATTTTATACCTATAAATTTTCTTCCAACGGATAGAAAATTCAGTATTATGTTAGTGAAAAATACGGAACCGTATATGGAAATGCCGGATTATTTTTGACATTGGTTCCAATCTTAGTGTCTTACGTAGCATTAGGAAACGGAAACCAAAATTATAAGAGGCGTCGCCGGTTTTGCATAAATTACGTATTCATCCGTCAGTCATAAGTTAATTTTTTATTTTCTGTTATTTCTTATAGAAGTGTAGTTTAATGAAAATCATTTTACTAAAAACAAAAAAGGTATATATAATAAAAGTAAAATTATGTTGTAGTAGCTTTCTGAGGCTATGCATTTTTCTACTTGCAACATTGGAAAATTGATATCTCACTCGACCTTCGGTCTCGCGAGATATCAATTTTCCACCGCTGCTCGAAGCAAAATACAAAGCCTTAAAAAGCTACTACTACATAATATTCCGTACATATATCACCTTTATTTTAATGTATTATAATGCCTAACGCTTGTACCCTCTTTCATAGTCAACACGGAAAAATAGCGTACCAGTCAACCGTGACTAACTTCAACAATGAATTAAATAATATATTTCAAGATGTAAAATGTTAATAAAAAATTGTAATAAAAATTCTGATAACAAAGTGATCCCTCGGAAGCATTTATCACAACAAAATTACAAGAGAATTGCAGACTCGGTTTGATTGAGTCTGTACATGAGGGATAATGAATACGTGCAACATCCCTCACGCCCCCTAGCACCGGCTTGATTGTAAAGCTACACATCTAGAAAATAGCTAAGAACTGTTTAATCTGAATAAAAAATTCGTTATTTATTAAGAATAGTTTATTTAATTTAATACTTAATGCTGCAGACGGCACTTATA